TGGCCTGGAACTTGCAATCCTCCTGCCTCAGCCTCCTGAATCAATGGGATTCCAGGCAAGGTCAACACACAGCTCATAAGTCCTTTTCTACTTTGTCTCCCTACTATTGAAAACTCCAGAGGCCAAATTTTTTAAGTTGATTAGTTTGAAGTTCCATCACCTGTTTCTGTCTGAAGTTTTCTTTTACTATCAAGAGCTGATTCGCTGATCAAGTTTGTCCCTAACATTTATCCCTCACTTGAGTTAGTATCAATATCAGTACATTTCTGAAAGGTTTCAGTTAAGTGAGTTAAATGCCCCCTAAACAGAGCAGGATCTCCACCTTGTCTCAGTGTCCCCCTGACCTCCTCATGACTACATGGTCCACTCAGGCTGGTCCCTAGTTTCCTGCCCCGGCTCTGTTTCTGACAATCCAGTGGACTCTGGACTCTGGCTGGGGACAGTATCCTTTCCCACAGGCTGCTCACTTGCCCTGCTGCTGCCCGTTCATGGGTCTTTCCCTCAGGAGGGAGCAGGTGGGAAGATGACTGGGTCCGCCCCCACGGATGACGCACAACGTCAGGGCCTGGAGCTCCTCCAGGAATACATCAGGGTCCTCCAGAAAGCACCTGTGCCAGTCAGTCATGGAAAAGGGTCAAGTCTCACCCAGCACCTCCAGGAGAAGGCCATGTTGGGGGGCTTAGAAGCTGGGTCAGGAGGGGCCTCACTGCCCTGCAGGGCTAGTTCCTGGTAACGAGGCTGAGGAGCAGATAGTGGGAGGGGAAGGGGTGGAGAAGAGGGAGAGGGAGGCTCAGAATTTTGTCCAGGGCTTTCAAACGAAGGCTCTGGGATGCTGCTGGTCCTGCATTCTGAGCAATGGGTGCTCGAGGAAGCTGTTGGGAGCACCTAAAAATGAATCCTCCATGGTCTGAGCATGACACCTTACAAGCTCTGTGATTTCAGGTTTTGATACAGGGTCATAAAGGCTTGAATATGTGGGATCTCTGTCCATTTTTATTTCCCTTTACAGAATGAATCAAGTTGATGTGTTAAATCTGAGTCCCATTTTTAGGCCATATTTCTCCACTGCCTAACACATATGAAGGCAAGGCTGAACCACAGAAGGAAATCAACTCCTTAAGCCCTCTGCCTTAAAATTATTCCATTACTTACTATGCTCCATGGGGTAAATTCTCAGTGACAGAGGCTGAATTACCTATAATCTTGTAATTTGCACACTTCAAGAGTTTTTTTCCTTGCATTTTTTTTCTGAAAAGATTCGGGGAAAAGGAAAGGATAATTTATGTCCACAAACTGGGTTTGGGGATCAGACAATTTTTGTCTATCCCATATTCCAGGATCCAAAAGGCTTAAACCTTTAAAGCAGAATTAGATAATAGTAACCTGCCTCATTGCTGCCACCTACTGGCAGACATTGAAACCATCAAGGTGGAAATTTGGTTCCAGGTGACACTGGGGGTTTGAAAATTACTGACAGGCGCCTGCAGTCTTAGCAGCTCAGGATGCTGAGGCAGGAGAATCCCAGTTCAAAGCCAGCCTTGGCAATTTAAAGAGGCCTTAAGCAACTTAGTGAGACACTGACTTAAAAATTTTTTTAGGGCTGGGGTTGCGGCTCATCGGTAGAACGCTCGCCTCGCACATGAGAGGCCCTGGGTTCGATCCTCAGCACCACATAAATAAATAAAATAGAGATATTGTGTTCAATTACAACTAAAAAATAAATATTTAAAAAGAATCTTTAAAGGAAGGAGAGYTGGTCATGGTGGTGCATGCTATAATCCCAGCAGCTCAGGAGGCTGAGGCAGGAGGATCACAGGTTTGAAGTCAGCCTCAGCAATTTAGCGAGGCTGTAAGCAACCTAGTGAGACCCTGTCTCAAAATAAAATAAAAATAAAAAGGGCTGGGGATGTGGCTCAATGGTTGAGCCTTGGGTTCAATCCCTGTTACAGGACTGGATTACATAAAGGGAAGATCAGAGGTCAGTAATGTAGGAGATCTAGATTACAGGGATGGGAAAGAGCAGGCAATGCAAAGCGAATTCTTACAAAACCCTGTTATGATCTTTATGCATGGGTGGAAGAACCAATCATCCATAAATAAATAGCAAAAGGAGGTCCAGCAGAAGAAGGAGAATGGAAGAGGGGAGGGAAAAGGCGGGGGGATCAGGAACTGAATCGAATTCCATGCATGTACGAGTTTGTCGGGATGAATCCAGCTATGTGTGACTATAAAGTTCTTTTTTTTATTTTTTTTTTATTTTTTATTTCTCGGCGGACACAACATCTTTGTTGGTATGTGGTGCTGAGGATCGAACCCGGGCCGCACGCATGCCAGGCGACTGCGCTACAGCYTGAGCCACATCTCCAGCCCCAGACTATAAAGTTCTAATAAAAAACAGGCTTGGGGACTTGAGCTGGGGCTCAGTGGCAGAGCACTTGCCTAGCATATGTGAAGCCCTGGGTTTAGTCCTCGGCAACACATAAAAATAACAAAATAAAGGTCTTGTGTCCATTTACAACTAAAAAAAAAAATAGGCTGGGATGTGTGTGCTCTGTGGCTGAGCACCCCTGGGTTCAATTCGATGCCTGATTTTCAAAAATAAATAAATAAACACCAGAGGCGGAGAGAATATCCTGAGATCTTAAATAATCCAGGTGTGCTTGAATTTGTAATTCTTTTGTGTGAGAACTTATGATCCTAAAAACAACGCCGACACACAGACCTTGTAGCCCTTAGGAATATCTAAAGGCCTTCCAGGATGGGGTGGTCAGGTAAGATTCAGTAAAAACTGACTTACAGCAGATGCCTCTTCATGGCCAGGTCAGACGCAAAACAAACCACGTCAGTACCGCCACTGTGCTCCCCGAGGTGGGGCTGCCAGTAAGGTGTGGGTCTGTCTTGACTAAGGTGGTCAAGGAGGACATTTTCTTTTAGAAATACATATATTTACATATAATACATGTGTGTGCACGCATGTGTGTGTGGGTGGTGTATATATACACACAGGTACACAAACATCAGGGATTAAAACTGCAACAGGATCAGGCATGGTGGCACACGCCTGTAATCCCATCGGCTTGGGAGTCTGAGGCAGGAGGATCACAACTTCAAAGCCAGCCTCAGCAAATTAGTGAGACCCTATCTCAAAATGAAACATAAAAAGGGCTGGAGATGTGGCTTAAGCATGGTTAAGTGTCCCTGGATTCAAACCTCAGAACCAAAAACAAACAAGCAAAACTTGGGCAAATATTGTGCAAAGAGAAGGTGAAAATTCACATGACTATCAGCATGATTTAGCAAAGCAGGGTTTGAGAATGCTTCCTCATTACCAGTAGCAGCTCAGGACAGACCAGTTTAACTGGAGCATGAAACACGATTGTGCGTATCACAGAAGTACCTCAAGAGTACTATGAGAATCCACCTTCAGAACTATCACAGCAGAAGCCTAAAGAGACTGGCAGTGAAAGTTGGGCTTGCATGTGGTGAATATCGGGGTTCACTCCCCCTGTTATCACCCCAAAAGTCATACCCCCACAGGATCTTGGCTGAACCCTGTTCTGAAGAATCTAGGCAGTCCTGGAAACAGGACTAACCCTAACCCTTTAAAGTAAAGGGGGGCTGGGCTGGGGCTCAGGGGCCGTTTGCCTGGCATGGGAGAGGCCCTGGGTTCCCTCCTCAGCACCGCATATAAACAAAATAAAGCCCATTGACAACTAAAAAAATATTTAAAAAAAAGAAAGTAAAGAGAGTGAGGCTGGGGACACAGCTCAGTTGGTGGAGGGCTTGCCTGGCAGGCTCAAGGCCCTGGGTTCAGTCCCCAGCACCACGGGGCGGGGGGAGTAAAGGGAGCAGAGGGAGAACTCTAAGGACAGGAGTTCACACCAGACACTTCCCACAGGATCCCGGGACCAGTGATGGAGAACGTCCACAGGCACCAGAGACACAGACGAGGATCTATTTAGGAAACAAATACACATTCCAGGGAGAACGCACTGAGAGAGTGTTTTGGGGATCCAGCTCTTTTAGAGCAAACCTGGTGAAAGTGGGTGTGAGAGGTGTGTAGGGATGTGGTCTCGTCCACCATCTACTTCATAGCAAACGTGCAAACTCCCATAGACTATAGCTTTCTGAAAGTGACATCTCTTGGCAGAACCTATTTACCGGCGCGCYGAAGAACACTGACAAGGTGATTACCACGAGTGACTTCCCACTGACTTGGAAGGGACAGGCCTGGAAGAGTATCCCAAACCGTTTTGGTACCAGGGATTGGACCCAGGGTGGCTCCCAGGGTGGCTTAACTACTGAGCCACATCCCCAGGACTTTCAAGTTTGATTTCGAGACAGGGTCCCTAAGTTGCCGAGGCTGGCTTTTCCTCGCGGTCCTCCTGCCTTAGCCTCCGGAGAGGCTGGATGACAGGCCCGGCAAGTATGCGGAACTTTACGCCAAAATCTTTCCTTGTCCTTCCTCCGTCTCTCCTTTCCACCTGTTCCTTTTACGCCTTCTATCCTACTTCAGGAAGAGACCAGCGGAGACTAGAAGATGGCCCCGGGAAGGGAGGGTCCCCAGCGCAGATGCCACCCGGCCCAGCGCCGGGCAGGAAGGAGGCGCGCGAGGCGGACTGGGCGGGAGGACGCGCGGCAGGGTGCTCGGGTTCCACGGCTGCCAGATCATGCAGGGCCCTGCCGGGCGCTCCGCCATGACCTGGGGACTCGGCTCCCCCTCTCGGGCCTGGTCGCTTGCCGACGGCCGCAACGGAAGCCTAGATCAAGTCCTGGAGCCGCAGACAGAGACTCACAGACGAGGGCCGGCGCAACCGCAGTAACTTGAGGCTACGGCGCAGGCGCGGGCAACCTCGCGCAGGCGCCGTACGAGGGATAGTGCCTACTGGGAGCCGCGAGGGGCGCGCGCGCGCAGTGGGACTAGCTGGGTAAGACGCATGCGGAATGGCCGGCGGAAGGTGCGGCGCGTGCGCACTTTGGAACAGAAGGATGGGCGGGGTGCGGCCGGCTCCGCTATGGCGGTTTATTTTGCCTCTCGGACTCGGGCTTCCTGACACCGCCGGCGAACGGGAGCTTGCGGGCCGGCGCGGTCGCCATGTACCCGCCGCCGGCGTCGGCGCCTCACCGGGACTTCATCTCGGTGACCCTGAGCGTCGGCGAGAGCTACGACAACAGCAAGAGCCGGCGGCGGCGCTCGTGTTGGAGAGTGAGTCGGGGCGGGCCGTCGGCGGGTTGCGCGGCGCTCGACCGCCTGCAGGGCGGCGGGTCGTCGGCGCTGGGCCTGGGGTCCTTCTGGCCTGGCCGCAGGCCGGTCCGCGGCGGGTCACCCGGCTTCCAGATGGTGTCGCTTCCCCTGGGACGGGAACGGGTCGTGCGCCCTTCTGTTTCCTGCTGGGGCGTTCACGGTGATCTTGGCCGGAGAGGCATCGATGCACCGCATCGATTATAGGAGTCTTTCACCAGTGCCCATGCAACTGGATCCGAGTGTCCTTGTCGTTGTTATTCTCATTGCACACGTATTACATGTAATACGTAAACCCTGCTGATGGGGAACTTCTCTGCCCTGAATCCGTGACAGTGGAGGAGATTCTCAATTGTCGCTCTTCACTAAGAAATGTCATTCTTTGTCCCTTCCTTAGAAATGGAAGCAGCTGTCGAGATTACAGCAGAACATGATTATCTTTCTCTTGGCCTTTCTGATTCTCTGTGGATTCCTGTCCTACATCCATATGGCAGACCAGTGGAAAGGTATCAGAAGCACCAGGGGTGCTAGAGGACACTTGTCAGAGGGCAGATACAACCTTGCAGTACACAGCTCCAGCAGGTATATGTAGCAGCATATTTGCAAGAAATGCAGAGGAGAGAAGTGGAGCCAGCTGTGACCAGTTGTTTGGAGCACAGATGTCCATATGCTGGCTGGCTGCTCTCTAGGAGTCTGGTGTCAACACTGCTGTCTCCACCCTCTGTCTCCTGGTCATTCAGTCTTGATAATTGCATTAGTTTCCTAGCACTTGTTACTGAGTGTTTGGAAAGACCAGCAGATTTCTGTAAGGCAGTGGAGAATCACTTTTGAGCTTCTCTAAGATTGTTGCTCCTGGCTGCAGAGCTTCTGGAGGTTGCTCAAATACATTGCCTGTTTGCCACCATGTTGTGCTATTAAGGTAAAGTGTGTTGGGGTTTGGTGCTGTGCATAAGGATACACACTGTCAATTGCTTTGAAAAAGATTTTATTTCCTGTGGCTGTTCTCAAATTGAGTGACTTCTTGGAGGTCTCACTCTTCTCCTGAAACAAATAACACCTGTCTAGACATTTCTTGCTGAGCAATTTAAGTCTCTGTCCTTGGGGGATAGTTGAAAAACAGGACTCTCTCCTGCAGCTCTGAGTGGCAAGCCCACAGAAGAGCGGAAGATGATGCCAGAAGTCCCTGGATTGAAGCCAGCAAACCCTCCTGTCTTACCAGCACCTCAGAAGGCAGACGCCAGCCCAGCGTTTTCCAAGATGTTGCCTCAGGTACTTCCAGTAAACACTAGATGGAGTTTAGCTGGGCTCCGTTTAGCATTCCAAGACAGTAGCTGCTGTGTCAAGCAGACTAAGAAGAAACACTGTCCCTGCCAGTCTCTGCATTTTCATCTAACATTCATTCCTTGCTGGTTGCATAAGAGTTGGGGAAAGAGAGAGGTGTACTCTTCTTCCATTTTCTTTGAAACCTGCTGGGGCTGGCTCTTGTACTAGGTGCAGGTTACACAGCGATGAGGGAGAGAGGCTGGTGAAGAGGCAAGTGAGAAGCCAGCAACAAACAGGACCAGGCAGGTGGCCTGTGTGCAGAGGAGCAGGAGGTATGGTGTGGCCTGTGTGCAGAGGAGCAGGAGGTATGGTGTGGCCTGTGTGCAGAGGAGCAGGAGGTATGGAAACAGAGGTGGTGCCATTGTTGAGGGCAGCCTCTCTGAGGACGTGGCCCTGAGAGTCCAGCTGAAGGCTGAGAAGCCCATTTCTGGTTGGGGTGAACAGAGCAGGCCTGAAAAAGTAAAACTACCTGAGCAAGAGTTCAGATTCCCAGAGGGCCAGGCCAGGGAGCAGAAAATTGGGTCTGCCTGGAGGAGGGTGGCACTAGAGCTTTTTTTTTTTTTTTTTTTTTTTTAAGTTATAGATGGACACATATCTTTATTTTATTTTTATGTAGTGCTGAGGATCGAACTCAGTGCCTCATGCATGCCAGGCAAGTGCTCTACCTCTGAGCCACAATCCCAGCCCCTAGAGCTTTCTCTTGATGTGCCCAGGATGATCTCAGCAGAGAGCCACGTCCATGATGTTGACTGTGAACACTGGTGGCCCAGTGGAGACACAATGTTAGGTACTCAGGGAAGGTAGAATGGAGACTTGAGCTTTGCTCACCATGGGCAGCCTTGCAGTGAAGGAAGGCTCCATGGGAGTAGGTGTGAGATAGGGAGAGAGTGAGGGTCCCCAGGCAGAGGGGCCAGTGGAGTGCTGATCAGGAAGCAGTCTGGGCATACTTAGGCCCTATATTTGGTACTGCTTTGTTAGTGGTCCCTGGGAGCATTCAGTAGATGGACTGTGTCAGGATCACAGGGCAAGGGAAGTAGATGTGGCAAGTTCCCAGGTAGAGATGGTGTGTGTTGTGTGTTATGTAGGAGTCGGGGAAGGACCAATCCAAGCCCTGGGGCATCCATGCTAAGAAACTTGGAGTGAGGGAACAGGGCAGAGAAAGTAGAGTCCAGGGATGGGTCAGAGGCAGGAAGAGGACCTGCAAAATGACTTGTGGGTGAGAGGCTTAGAATGGAGAAGGACGAGACCTGAGCCCCTTGAGAGCTAGGACAGGCACCCATGGCAGTATAGCTGCTGTGCTCTTAGGTATCGGTTACTGTTATCCACATGTCCATGACTGGGCCTACCAGACGTGGCTGGGCTCAGGTGCTTCTCCATGGGCACTGTTCTAGACTGCAGGTGGAGGTTTCACATCCCTTCAGGGTGTCATGTGGACAGAGACCAGAAGCCCTTGCTGAGAGCAGCCTTAGGGAGCTTCCTCCCAAGGATTAGCTCTGGGCTAGGAGGTTAAGGCCAGATAGCTGCCCACTGTGTTGGCCCTTTACTCTAGATGGGGGGCATTGTGGTTTTTTTTAACCTAAATATGTAAGTTGTTATAATTACTAGATGCTCCGTGGAGGTGGTGGCAAGTACAGAAAAGCAGGGGGATGCCTACCACCTGCACTGACCAGCCTCTGTCCTTCTGTAAACAGTGGTGCTGTGGTCAGACCACACAGTGGGGCAGGTGGTGAGGGACAAGACAGGCCTCATGGGATGGTTGTGCCTCTGGCCAGTTGGGGGCCTGCTCTGTTGGATGGGAGGGTCGGTGTGTGCAGGCTGCATCTGCATGGTGCAGCTGCCACACGGAGTCACGTGACTGCGTGAGGATGTGCTACACTGCTCTGGGGTTTTCTGGAAGCCTGCATCTGGTGTCCAGCAGGGGCTGGGGCAGCACGCAGCAAACGTTCTGGGTCTCTCTTGCATGGACTTGGGGGACATGCTGCCCTCAGAAGCCTGTGAACCTCTTCTTTAGCCTCTGGCTCTTCCTGGAAAATCTGGCAGTGAAGGGTTTGGTTTCTGCCACACCTTTTTCTGTTAATCTGTATGCTGTGACTGATCTCAAACATTATAGATGCTTAGGAAGGAAAACTGAAACATTGAAAAAGGTATAAAAGGGAAAAACCAAACACTCATTGCCACTCTACCCAGAGAAGTGTTTGAAAGATTTGGTGTATTTATTTTAAAGGTTTTATTTAGGTGGATGTGTGTGCACAATTAGGTCAGTTGTCTGTGGATTTGTGTCCTGGATACTCTGTACATATCATGAGAGTGTCCCCTTTACAGGTTTTTATAGCTGGGTTTTCTTTTCTTTCTTTTTTTGAAGGGATTGGGTACTGGGGATTGAACCAAGGGGGCACTTAACCACCCAGCCCCAGCCCCGGTCCTTTTTGATTTTGAGACAGGGTCATGCTTAGTTGCTGAGGCTGACCTCCCAAGTAGTTGGAGTTACAGGTGTGTGCCCTCGCGCCTGGCTGTAGCTGGGGTTTCCTTGGCATAGATATAGCATGATTCAATAAATTGTTTATCTACTGAGAACCCCTTCATCACATATAAATTAAGCCAAGTGGTATTCGGTGCCTGCTGCTGTGGAAACATGGAGGATGGAGCTGGAAGATCCACCAAGCCTGTGGCCAGGGCTAACTCAGTGTGGAGGAGCAGAGGGTCACCCTGTGTTGTTTGGATCCTGTACTGTGTGAGGACACAGTATCCTTCAATCTTCCCAGGACGGGCAGCAGGCAGTGGGGAGCAGAGTGGCGCCATTGGGTCTTCCATCCAGAGTCATGGTCCTTGCCACGCTTGCTCTTCTAGGACTCTGACACTGAACTGTTCCACCAGGGTTCTCAAGTCTTTGTCCAGGCCAGGACTAGCAAGTTGGCTTTGTCACCAGGCTCCTAAGCAGGTCATCTCCCAAGCCTGCAATGTGCTTAAAAATCAAAATCACCCCCTGAGGTTGAGTGGACCCACCAGTCCCCCTCCTCTCCGGAGAAGGTGTGCCCTTGGGGGACCCTGGCATGCCTAGAAGTGTAGCCCATAGGCAGTCTCACCTGAGACTCTGATTTTTGTCCAGAGGCCTCGAAAGCATTTCCGGCGGGGGCCTCCCCACCTGCAGATCAGAGCCCCCAACACGGACTCCAAGGCTGGGACACAGGGTGACACTAAGGAGCGGGCAGCAGCCCCGGGGGATGCTCATCAGAAAGAGAACACACAGCGGACCATCATCAGGTACCAAGGGTGAGAGTGTGGGGTGGGCCTGGACTTGCAGAGGGCAGGCAGCCTGGTGGGGTGTGGTCTGTTCACACCCTGCTCCCAGAAAGGCCCAGCCCTGAGCACTCTGCACACAGTGAGTGGGAGCTCAACCAGGTGGGCTGGCCCGAGCAGGTCCTCTGAGCCTCTAGAGCTGAACCCAAAGACAGGGCCAGAGGCTGGGCTCAGGAACCCAGGCAGACAGCCCGCAGGGACACGTGTACTTGAGGGAAAACCATAGCCCATGGAAGTTCTTAATCATGTTGCATGAATAAAAGGAGGTTTACTTTCAGAGTCAGAGCATTTGAACTTGTGTTCCCAAGTCGTGGGCACTCAGTGGAATCAAGAGGCCTTAAGCTAATCTGGAACCAGTTCAGCTGAGGTCATTAAGTGACTGTTTGGGAGACTATTTGGGCTGGGTGCAGGGCACATGCCTGTAATTCTGTCTGCTCGGGAGGCTGAGGCCAGAGGATCATGAGTTCAAAGCCAGTCTCTGCAACTTAGCAAGGCCCTAAGCAACTCAGTGAGACCCTGTCTCTAGATAAAAAAAATACAAAAAAATATTGTGGATGTGGCTTAGTGGTTAAGTGCCCCTGGGTTCAATCCCCTGTAACAACAACAACAAAAGACTATTTGAGCCAGTCCTCAGCCCCAGTGTTGCGTGGCAAACCTTTTGCCTATTCCTATGTGTTGCCCATCAGGCCAAACCCCAGAAAGGGACATTGGGTTACTGTGTATCTTGTGAGTAGGGAAAATGCCAGTGTAGGTGACCAGCCCTTCATGCCATGTCCATCTCGCTTTGACTCAGTGTGGATGATAAATTATGTGGTCACTCGCCTTAGGAGCCCTCACCTCTGGCCTCCCTTTCCCTTGCAGCACCCTTTCTCATAGTCCCCTGCTGGCCTCAGTACCACTCCGTGCTCTCTAACCCCAGGTTCTCCCCTTGCTTAGAGCAGCCCAGGTGTCTTGTCCACATTCAGGTGACCGTGACCATGACTGTGATCCTGACTAGATGGCCTGGAGCACATCAGGACCAACTAGTTGTTTTCCTATTGCTCTGTGGCCGTGTACCTCCCCCCAGAGATAGGACTCTCTGGACATGGGTCTTGTGTGGTGTGAGGGTGTGGGGCGTGGTGGACGTGCACCCTTGGTCTGGCTGACTGCTTTCCCTTCCCTGAAGCTGGCGGGGTGCAGTGATCGAGCCCGAGCAGGGAACTGGACTCCCTTTGAGAAGAGCAGAGGCCCCTGCCAAGCCTTCCCCACTGGTTACCAGGATACAGAAAGAACCGGGTAAGGCCCCACTTGCCCCTGCCTCACCTGGGCCTGTATCCAAGAAGCTGGTGGTTGGTGCTCTCTGCATCCATGCTGTGTCCTCCTGCCTGACGGACCCAGGGAGCTTGCCCTTCAGTATCCACAGCCAGCCGAGGTTCTTGGGCCCACATGCTTTTCTCAGCCCTGGTAACAACCCATGGCTTCTTGGTGGCCCTGGCCCCCTGGTCTGAGCACTAGGCAGCAGGAGAGGAGCTGTATCTGGGAGGTTTGCTTTCACTGCCTGGGCCAGGCTGTGCCCTGGTGTAACACAGACAGCGTTGTGCTTGGTGTGGTCCCTGGGGTCTTAGCACCGTCTGTGGAGGGCCACTTGTCACTGCCTCTGCACTCACTGTGCCCTTTGAGGTAAGTGCCTGCACATGCCCATCCAATAGACAGGGAGACTAAGGCCTGGGTCACTCACTGCCAGGGCCCACACGTGGGTCCCTGCTCTGCTTCTGCTGCCAAAGCCTCCAGGTGCAGGAGGATAAGGAGCCCCAAGCTGCAGCTGTAGAAGGAGCTCGGTCTGTGGGAGGAAGCACCGTGAAACCAGGCCAGAGACTGAGGGCCTGAGGCGGTGCCCATGTCTCACAGCAGCAGGAGATGCTGTGCACCTGTGGAGGGCTACCCAGCCTCAGCGCCACAGGGCCCTGTCCTGGGCCTTCCAAAGCTAGTGTGGCTGAATGGGACGAGTTTGGGGTAGGGTACCCTGTGCCCACATCCCTCCTGCACACTACTAGACCCAGCCTCTGCACTTGTCTGCTGCCTCAGAGGGCTGGTTTGGATGGGTGCAGTGGTCATACCTGCGATCCCAGCTGCTCAGGAGGTTGACAATCACCTTTGAGGCCAGCCTGGCAACCCAGTGAGACCCTGTCTCAAAAAATAAGAAAAGCTGGGGATGTAGCTCAGTGGTAGAGTGCCCCTCACCCCCTGCACCACAAAAGGGGGACCTTGTCCCAGTGGGCTGTGGGAGTGTTGCCCTCACAAGCCTTGAATAGAGGCCCCTGTGCCACAGGGGACAGCCAGCTCCACAGGGGCTGAATGCCTGGTGTAGTTAAGTGTGGCCTCTGGAGTCCTCATCTGCTTGATAGGCTATGTCTGTCTGAAGGGCCCCCCCATGGCCTCTCTGACTCCCGGCCTGGGCTTTTCTTTTTTCTGGTGTTGGGGATTGAACCCAGGGATACTCTACTGGTGAGCTACATCCCAGACCTTTCTATTTTTCATTCTGAAACAGGGACTTTCTACGTTGCTGAGGCTGGCCTTGAGCTTACAGTCCTGCCTCAGCCTCCTGCCTCAGTCTTTGGGATCATAGTTGTGTGCCCAACATTCCTTGGCCCTGGCCAGTGTCCCTCCTGCTGCACTCACCTGGGCCCATTGCTGGGCTCTGCCTGGAGGGCTTCCCGCTTGTGCCCTGACAGCAGCACCAGAACCACATCCCCATGGCCGTGTTCCCTCTTCTAGCACTCCTAAACGAGCGCCAGGAAGGGGTGATCGAGGCCTTTCGACATGCGTGGAAGGGGTACCGCCAGTTTGCTTGGGGCCACGACGAGCTCAGGCCTGTGTCCAGGTCCTTCAGTGAATGGTTCGGCCTGGGCCTCACTCTGATCGACGCCCTGGACACCATGTGGATTTTGGGTCTGAAGCAAGGTAATGGCTCATTTCTGGGGCAGGGTCAAGCTGTTCTGTGTGACACCTGGGAAAGCCGTGCCGGGCTTACCCTCCTCCTGGGCACAGGGGTGGGTGTGTGGCACGGTTRGGGCCTATTTGTGTGTCCAGCCTCCCAGGCCCACTCAGGAGCTGTCCCCTGGCCTCCTAGAGGATGTCCAGGAGGTATGTCCAGTCTGCTGTGGCACTGTACTATGATGGGGCTGTCAGAGGGCCCTCTAGGCCTGAGGTGGGCCTGCCCTGGGCTGTTCTCTTGGTGGTGTCACCTCCGTCCAAGTGACCTGCTTAGTTGGCAGCATTGCTGCCATCATGTCCAGTCCTGGGGAATGTTTGCAGTTGCTGGGCCACTTGGTGGGCCTGAAAGGTCATGACCTTGGGGCTGGCCCTGGAACCCTGCAGGATGAGTCTCCCCAGCAGGCTTAGGAGATGGATTGCAGGAGAATGACATACCTGTAACTTCACTCTGTGGTGTCACAGAATTTGAAGAAGCCAGAACGTGGGTGTCACAGAAGTTAAACTTTAAGAAAGACGTGGATGTGAACCTGTTTGAGAGTACCATCCGCATCCTGGGCGGACTCCTGAGCACCTACCACCTGTCCGGGGACAGGCTTTTCCTGAGGAAGGCTGTGAGTGTCTGCTGGTCCTGCCCTGAAGGGCAGATAGCTGAGTGGTGCTGCCTGGCGCTGCCTTGCCCGGCAGGGGGGGATCATGCTCAGCTCCTGTTTGCTGATGTGCATTGGGTGTACCAAGCGCCACGCTGCCTCTTGCCTGGATGACCATGGGTGGCACCTTAGAGTTCTGAGCATGGAAGAGGCTCTGACCTGAGCCCGGTTGTCTGCTTGCTTTTATGTCAGAAAGATTTTGGCAATCGGCTAATGCCAGCCTTCATGACGCCCTCCAAGATTCCATACTCCGATGTGAACATCGGCACTGGAGTTGCCCACCCACCCCAGTGGACCTCAGACAGCACAGTGTCCGAGGTGACGAGCATTCAGTTGGAGTTCCGCGAGCTCTCTCGTCTCACGGGGGTCAAGAAGTTCCAGGTAGGACTGGGTTCCTGCTGAAGCTAACCCTTCCTCATCGCTGGTGCAGTCGGGTGCGTGTTGATCTCTCTTCTCGGGATTTTTGACTTTGTTTTAGTGTGAGAAAATGCACGTGAAGTTTGCAATCTTAACATTTTTGGTCTCAGGACATTTGCAGTGCCATGTGACTGTCACCAGCATGCATCAGTGTAGCCCTCTTCATCCTGTGAAGCTGAAACTGTCCCCATTAAATGGAAGGCTGGTGCCCTGGCTGCTGGCAGCACCTGCTCCCGTCTGCCATGGCGCTGCCTGTGGGCCCTTGTGGCAGTGGAGCCCTGCCAGCCTGTCCTTTCAAGGCCCCTCTCACGTGGCGTGGGACCTCATTTTGCTCATCCACTCATGGGTTGTTGCACACTTGGGGTTTTTCCAGGTTTTGATGTTTTTGTTTTCTGGTACCGGGGATTGGACCCAGGGGCACTCCACCACTGAGCCACACCCCCTGCCCTGTTTTGTATTTTATTTAGAGACAGGGTCTCACTGAGTTGCTTAGCGCGTCGCCATTGCTGAGGCTGGCTTTGAGCTTGCGATCCTCCTGCTTCAGCCCCCTGAGCCGCTGGGATTATAGGCGTGTACTATGGCACCTGGCACATTGGCCTACTTTTTTTTTTTAATATTTATTTTTTAGTTTTAGGTGAACACAATATCTTTATTTTACATTTATGTGGTGCTGAGGACGGAACCCAGTGCCTCATGCATGCTAGGCAAACACTCTACCACTGAGCCATAGCCCCAGCCCTGGCCTACTTGTTAGTCCTTATTGAGCTTAAAGATTTCCATCTGTACTCTATGCTAACGCAGGTCGGATGCATGATTCTGAGTGTGTTCCCCCTGGCTGCCCGTCTCTTGCACTGTTCATAGTGCCTTTCAGTACACGTGTTAAGTTTTGTGCAGGTCAGGTTGGCCCGTCCCTCTGGTGTCAAGAAATCCCCACAGACGCAGGCCCTGGTCCTTCTGCCGTGGTGCCCCCTACAGCTGTGCAGGCTCAGTCTTGTGTCCAGGATGCAGGTCTCCCCTGTGTCAGCCCTCTTGTGGAGTTAGGCAGGGACAGCCGCACTCCTTCTGAGGTCCAGTTTCCAACTCATTTGTTGGAAAGCTGTCCTTTCTCATCAGATGGCCCTGGCCCCCTTGTCCCCAGCCTCCCACCTTGTATCCCATGGTGTCCCCCTGGGCCCTGTTCTGGTTTCATGCCAGTAGCATACTGTTCTGGCCGCTGCGGCTCTGCACATGCGGAGGCAGGAGCCCCTACCCAGTCTGCCCTCTCGAAGGCTGCTTTGGCTGCTCAGTGTCCCTTGAGGTTGCAGGTAGATGTCAGAGTGGGTTTTTCTAAGCTGCAAAAGGACATGGCTGGGGTCATGAGGGGAGGCCTTGGCTCTGTGGCCAGTCTGGGGTGTGCAGACCCCTCGCCGCGGGAGCTGTCCATGCCTGCCCTCATGTCTCTGCTAGGCTGTGCCATGGACGTTGCCCATGTCTTGCCTTGTGGCTGCCTGGGGCTCCATGTGCATGCCAGTGTCATGCTAAGGTGGGCCAGCCTTTGCCATGCTGGTGCTAACCCCTGGGCCGTCCTGGCCCAAGCGGACTGTCTGGTGTCACCATGGAAGGAGAGTTGTTTCTGTTGGATGCTCCCGTTGGCTGGGCTCCTGGGTCTCCCTGTTATGTTAAAGTGGCCCAGCACATTGGCCGTCCGTGGTCTGGGAAGAGACCCTGTAGTCTGATGAGGCACTGGCTGAGAGCCGCAGGGCTCCACAGGACCTCTGATGAGGTGCTCCTGCATCGTGGGTTGAAGGGGCTGGAGGACCGCCTACAGCAAACCCGCTCTTCCCTGTGCTGCAGGAGGCCGCGGAGGAGGTGACAAGGCACGTTCACCATCTGTCTGGGAAGAAGGATGGGCTGGTGCCCATGTTCATCAACACGCACAGCGGCTCCTTCACCCACCTGGGTGTGTTCACCTTGGGCGCCAGGGCCGACAGCTACTACGAGTACCTGCTGAAGCAGTGGATCCAGGGCGGGAAGCAGGAGACACAGTGAGGCCTGCTTCTGCTGCCTTTGATGTGGGACCCCAACCCACCCGCCCCGTCCTTGGACAGGAGCCGCAGCGCCTCAGGCATGGCCTGGCTCCTATGTGTGCACTTCCCTGTCATGGCCTTCATAGGAGTGAGGGGCTGGGCTCTTGAGCAAGGCCCACACCTTGCTAGCACCCAGCTGGGCAGGAGTTCAGGGCCTATATGTGGGCCTGGGTTGTGTGCAGCATCTGGTCCCTAGGCAGTGACCTGCCTGGTCCTGTGACCCTGGCGGAGGCCAGGGGGAGCTGACTCGTGGTGTCCACAGGTTGCTGGAGGACTACCTTGCAGCCATTGAGGGGATAAAAACACACCTGGTGAGGCACTCGGAGCCCAACAAGCTCACCTTCATAGGGGAGCTCACCCACGACCGCTTCAGTGCCAAGATGGTGAGTCTCAAGGGCTGTGGGCCTTAGGGAGGCACCTGTTTCTTTGTGGTCTCGAAGCCCCTGAGTGCATGTCAGGAGGAACAGGGGAACCCTGGCCAGGGGAACAAGGGACGTGGGCTGTGGTCACAGGCAGACCCTTTCTCCTGACCTGGCCTTCCCCATGGCAGTCCCAGGGCCAGCCCTCAGAGCCCTGCCTCAGGTGCCTGACCTGCGGCAGGTCCAGAGGTGCCTGTAGGCAGGCTGGAGGGGCCTGTGATGCCTGGGTCACCTGCCCTTGGGAGGAGCCTGTGCTGCAGCTTTTCTCCTGGACACTGCATCCATCCCTGTAGTTCTGCCCAGGAGGAGGGTTGCTCAGGCTGCCTGTCTGCAGCTCTCCCTCCGGGGAACTGGAGGCTGGTGTGCTTGGCCCCAGCATGGGCCAGCCAAATGCGTGGGCCTGGGGTCCAGCTGTGAGGAGACGCTCTGGTTCCAGGACCACCTCGTGTGCTTCCTGCCAGGGACGCTGGCTCTGGGCGTCCACCACGGCTTGCCTGCTGACCACATGGAGCTGGCCCGGGCACTCATGGAAACCTGTTACCAGATGAACCGACAAATGGAGACAGGCCTAAGCCCTGAGATCGTGCACTTCAACCTTTACCCTCCTACAGACAATCTGGACGTGAAGGTCAAGGTAAGCCTGGGTCTGGGCTGTGCTTGAGAGTGTTGGGGGTGAGTTGGGCACGGGGCTGCCACCCTGAGCCGCTGCTCTCCTCCCAGCCAGCTGACAGGCACAACCTGCTGCGGCCCGAGACCGTCGAGAGCCTGTTCTACCTGTACCGCACCACAGGAGACCGCAAGTACCAGGACTGGGGCTGGGAGATCCTRCAGAGCTTCAACAAGTATACACGGGTGAGCCCCCAGCTGCCCTCGCGCCACAGGTCAACTGGCTGAGGACTGGCAGTGCCCCAGGATAGTGGTGGCAAGGTGGGGCCAGCTCTGGGGGCCTGGAGGTGACCATGCCAGCTCTGTCYGACCCAGCTAGCACAGCTGCCCGCTGAGCTCTGGCACGGAGACCTGTTGTGCGTGGAGGGCTGGGTGCTCTGGAACTCTGTCTCTTGGGCCACGCCTTCCTGGGAAGGGCCCCTGCTGCACTCCCAAGAGTGTGTGGCCCATTGTTTGAGAGGCACTTGCTGCAGTGACCAGGGCACTGCCCACCCTGTGGTTGCAAGATGCTTGGCGTCCTGTCTTACAGATGGCCCCAGTTCAGGGAAGGTCATGCCCTGCCCAGGCCCAGCAACCACCACTATGGATCCAGAGGCAGACATAGCCCCACCCTGACACCTGGCTCTGTGTGTTGTCCCCTGGCCTGGGGCCCAAGACTTCAGCTGTCCCAGCTTCCAGCCAGCTGCCCCTGCCTTTTGCCCAGTTGTACCTGAAGCACTGGCCCTGGAGACCCTGTGCCCTTGTCCGTCCTTGCTGAGGTCCCTCAGCCCAGATGCTGGAGAGAGAGTTTCTATTGTAGGCACTCAGAGGCTGCTGGCATTTTCCAGGGGTCCCTAGTAGAAGCACAGCTGACTTTTGGGGGCTGTTGTTGAGGCACTCTCCAGCCCAAGCCTGCACTGGGTTTGTCGGGACTGTGGGAGGGCCCAGCCCATGTCTCAGAGGCCTTGCCTCTCCTACAGGTCCCCTCAGGTGGCTATACATCCATCAACAATGTCCAGAACCCCCACAAGCCTGAGCCTAGGGACAAGATGGAGAGCTTTTTCCTGGGGGAGACCCTGAAGTACCTCTATCTGCTGTTTTCCGACGACCAGAACCTGCTCAGCCTGGACACCTATGTGTTCAACACAGAAGCCCACCCCTTGCCCATCTGGGCCCTCTCCTAGGGCGGCTCCGGGCTGGGATAGCTGAGGGGGTAGTGTGGCCTCGCCGAGCCTGGCATGTGTCACGGGGCCCTATGGTACAGGGCGGCTGCCAAGCGCCAATGCTCCTGCCCCAGCTCTGGGCTCTCCTGGTCTCTTGCTTCTAATTAGAGTGGTGTGAGGAACAAGAGCCCCATGTGAGCTGGTGTGGGGTTCAGGGTGACCAGTTCACCAAGCACCTTCAGCCTTCATCCTCAAGAAAATCAAATCACGACTCCTGACTCCTGTCCCTGATGTCCCAGCAGACTGGCTTTCAGGGAGCTTCCTGATGGCCCTGGGCCCTCTGGTCACCTTCTGAGGCTGCTGAGTCGTGTTCAGAGAGGAGCTGGAGGAGCCCGCCAGGCAGCTCTGCTCCAGCTGGTGGCCTGGGATGTGCCCTGGCCCATGGTCTGGAGGAACCTCTGTGGCCTGGCAGGCCGTGGCTTGGGGCCTCCCCGGGGGCCAGCCTTTCTTGGAGTGGGTGTTTACACATTGGACTCAGGGATCCTGTCTGCCTGGAGGGGCTTGCTGCGGCTGGGTGGCGGGTTCTTCCTGCTCCCAGGCCTCTGGATGGAAAGGGACTTCTCAGTTGAGATAAAACCCGCTTGCTACCAGTGTGGCAGCTCCTGTGTGTGGAAGGGGGTCTCTGGGCTGGGAAGTCTGGGCCGACCTTTGGGTAGCAGTTCTGGGTCTCCCCTCAGTGTCCATCCCAAGGTCAGGACTCTTGCTGCCCTCCGGGTGAGAAGGGCCTGCTTGGGGAAGCCCTGCAGTGTGGTGACGTGGGTCAGTGGGGTCACCTTTCTGCCAGCTGGGTCCTGACAGTCTGCAGTGCCCTGAGGCTGCTAGCCAGCATGTTCTTGGAGTGAGGTCTCTGAGTGGTGCCAAGCCTTGGATACCAGGACAGTTGTCCTCATCCTTGCCATCGGCTGCAGGGTCCTTATCGTCAGGCACAGGGTCCTTGTCACAGGGCTGGCCCTGGGCCTTGGCTGGGGTCCTCTGTTACAGACCAAGGTGGTCTCTCTGCCTGTCTGTGTTAACATAAAGAACCCTTTGCTTTTGTCATTTCTGGAAGTTTTCAACTGAAAAGCTGGAGCCCAGGCAGCACCCCAGGGCCACCTGATAGGCTGGGACCTTCAAGATCTTGGCCCCTTAGGCCTGGCAGGATGTGTTCCCTGCCTGCCTGCAGCTAGGCCATCCTGTGTCAGCTACCTGTGCTTCCCAGGATGGCAGGTGCCTTCAGGGCCCTCTTCTGTTTCTTACACCCCAAGCCAACTCTGACCCCAGAAGTGTGTGCGTGGAAGGGCCTGGCTGCAACGTGTTCTTGGACCTCAGCCTTATGGCTCCTGGATTCACTGAGGACACCCTATAACCTCCCCACATTGAGGGGGTAGCCATGTTCCCCCACAGCCCTCCTGGGCCAGGAGTTCCATATACTGAACAGGCAGGACTGGGCAGCAGTTGCGGCCTGCTGAGGGATTGGATGTAAGTGGGTCCTGAGCAGCCAAGTAAAGTACAGCTTCCATATCTCGTCTCCAACTCCCAAATAAATGTGCTCTGGAAGGGGTGGCCAATGCTGAGGGCTGGGGACGAGACCCCCCGGGGGGTTGCTGAGGGCCTGAGGCTCTAATGAAGTTCTGTCCACCAAGCAGTGGGCTTTTTCAGGACGTGGAGTGGCTTTCTGGGCAGGGAGGTGGGTCCCTGGGAAAGGCAAATCTCCCCCCACCCCCGTTGCCTTCAAGTGCCAGCCTTGGAGTCAAGTCTGCTTTATTGAACATTCTACAGCTTCAGCAGGCGCTGAGCAGGGGGCTCCTGCCCAGCCTCCAGGGACACACCCGGCCCCTTTGCTTGAGGTCCCCACAATGCCCCAGCCACACTGTGGACCCAAACAGTGTGTCCAGGGCAGGACGGGCGGCCGGCAGCTCCTCACTCCTCAGGGTGTCCAGGACACTGCTGCCTACTCCGGGCTGCCTTCACCCACTCGAGGATGAGAGCAGCCTCCAGCCTGCGCACCTCCAGGACCGAGTTGGGGTCTTGTGGGTGGGACGCCCTGAGAGGGCACAGGGGTTGGGGCACTCAGCTGGACATGCAGACCCCAACCGTCAGGGTGAGCCTCACCCACACCCAGCTGTCAGCCTAGGTGGGACTGCCTGGCTGCACCTGAGGTCTAGGTGGTGTGCTCCCCCATGGATGGTGACAGCAATGACCGACGCGCTCACGTTCCTCAGAATCTGTCGTTGGTGGGAGGATCTCCTGTCAGGCTCGCAGCTTGTGCTATGGGCCATAGGCAGCCTCCCTAAGCCTTCCCACCCAGCTGTCAGCATGGGCTCCAGCGGCCCCATTGGAGAGGGAAGGTGAAGGTCAGCAAGCCAGATGTCTGTCCATTTGAGTAATCAGGAAACGGAAACCAGAAAGTGGGAGGGAACAGTAGGGACTGGAGCAGAAGTGGAGGGTGGAACTGAGGGGGCCTTGGGGCAAAGCTGGCTCTTTGAGGTTCTGGTAGGCTGATAGGGAGGCCCCCTTGATACCACTCAGCAAAACCAGTGGCCCCAGAGCCAAAAGTTCTCAAGGGGGTCCATAGCTGCCCAGATCAGGACTCACCCCGCCCCCTGCCCAGGGGTCTAGGTCACCATTGGAGAAGATGATGTTGCTGGTGGCTCTGAGGTCTGAAAGACACCAAGTGGTGGCAAAGGACCCAGTGTGGCCCTTGGAGCTATGAACTGTGGCAGGTGCCGATTCAGGGTGCTGCCCAGCAACCCCACCCCCAGCCCTTACCACCGCCCCAGAAGCTGGTCTGCAGCCAGTCCGGCCGAGGCCACACGCCCCACTTATTCAGGCAGTACTGTTGGCGGAGCGTGGCGGTGAACGGAAGGGCAGGGAACATGTCCGTCACGTTGTTGCTGTCAAAGGTCAGGTTGATCTCGGTGCAGGCCTGGATGCCCCGCCCCAAGGTCAGGCAGGCAGGGGGAGTACCCACACCCACATCCAGCCACTCATGCTGCCCACACCCCTCACCTGATAGTCCCAGGCCATGGCATCAGGGCCAGTGCCACAGCCAGTGGGGTCTGCACAGCTGTGGTACAGCTGGTAGATGTCGTAACAGTGTGCTGTGCCCGAGGAATTGTAGACCAGCCCTGGGAGGAGGGATGCTGGGATCAACAGTGGACACAAATCCTGCACGCTCAGGTTACCAACCCACCCCCCTTGGGAGGGCCCTGCAGATGGCCCTGGGCTCTGCTTGGGAATCTGTGGGGCTCTGCCGTCAGCTCTGCCCTGGCTACTGAAGGCAGTCCAGTGTCACCTGACCTTCCCCACTGGCAGGGTGGGGCATGCTGACCTCCATGCCTGTTGGCCCCAGGGGCCCCACTGAACAGCCCCTCCTGTGGGGACCTTGTTGCCACCCTACAGAGCTTCTGCCTAGCCCTCCTGGCACGGGTTCTGTTTCTGTCCTTCAGCTGCGGTTCATGGCTTTCCTGCCGCAGCCCAGGTGGTCAGGAGGCAGAGCCCAAGTCCAGGGCTGCAAGTCCTTGCTCTGCCCAGCCCCAGACCAGCGGTTGGGTCTCCAACTTGCCCTATGCAAAGCTGACGGTCAGACTCACCTGTCAGTGCCCGCAGACCCACGATCCTCTGGGCCTCCCCCAGCAGCCGGTCACAGCCAACCTGGGATATAGGGGCAGCAGAGCATCTCAGAGGAGTCCCCCGCCCACAGCCCAACCTTCATGGTCCCAGGATGAGGGTCAGTCAGGGCTGTGGGGATGAACTGACCTGAGTAGGAGCAACGCCCCGGGGCTGGGCTGGCCCCAACCACCCAGGGAAGCTGGGCTGGCCTTGCACCTTGAGAGGCGCCTCACCTTGACAGGGTTGGCAGGCAGGTACCCCATGAAGTCAGTGGGGTACGGGTAGTCCATCATGGCCAGCAGAGTGAAGGCGTTGCGTGCAAACACAAAGAGCTGAGTCAGGTCCTTTGTGTCCGAGAGTGGCTGGCAGGTGCCAAACTCCTGGCTGACCCTGTCACGGGCTACAGGGAAGGGGCAGAGGGAGGCTGCTGGAAGGTTTGGCGGGGCATGGGCCGTGGGGGCTGTAGGGGGAGGGGGCTGAGGGGGCAGGCGGGGCAGTGGCCTCGTGGCCCCTCACCTCCCTGTAGGAACAGGTCCCTGATCTGCTGGAAGGCCTCCCGCACGCCCTGGACACACCTTGGACTCTGGCTGTGGAAGGTCTGGAGAACAGACCGCAGTCATTGAAGTGGCTGGCCCAGGCTGGCCCAGGCCCCCCAGGCCCTCACTCACCGCTGTGACGTCCCGGAAGAACTGGTTGGAGGTRCCAAGGCCTGCGACAGCCAGGACGGGTGCGCTGGCTGCCAGTGCCCCTGCCACCAGGTGGGGGTACTTCATCCTCATGTAGGCGCTGAGCATCCCCCCGTAGCTGGGCAGGCACAGGTTAGGGTGCTCAGCCTGTGCTCGGCCGCAGCCCTGCCCTGGCCTCTGGCCTGTCCTCCCGCCCCCCACACCCACTTCCTCTGCTTTCCTTGCAGACCACAGGTGTTAAAAGAAGGAACTGAAACTTCCGTGACCACCAGTTCTGACCCTGGCCTCAGTCAGGCACAGCCTTCACTGGGAAAAGGTCCCTGGTGGACATCCCTCTCCTCGGCCCAGCCTGGGGACTGGCTCAGGACCAGTGGGGAGGGCTTCCTGGAGCAGGCAGCACAAGGTCTGGAGCTGCCGTGGACTCGGGAAAGGTGGGGGGTTGGGACAGAGGGGACAAGTGACGCCTGAGCCCTCAGGCTAGGCAGGGGTGGAGTGTTCAGGAGGCCGCACTCTCTCCAGGCCTGACTGGTCTGGACAGGGTGATGGCCACCCTGGGGATTCAGGGTGGGTGTCAGGGAGGAGAACGAGCAGGGGTTCCACCTCTGCCCAAGGTGGCCCTGCCAGCCCTCTGCTGGTCTCTGAAGACTCACCTCCCTCCAAAGGCGATGACAGGGCCACCCTGTGCTCCCAGTTTCTGCCGCAGGGTCTGGATCAGCACGGCATAGTCGGCCAGCGCCTGCTCCACGGTCAGCAGCTCAGTGTACCCGGGCTGTGTGGACTTCTCCCCAAACGGGAGCGACTTCCCATAGTAGCGCTGTGGTGAGGGAGGAAGGCTGACCTGGCTGCCCCCTGTGCCCAGCCGCCGTCTGGGGACCCCTGGAGCTGGCCGGTACGTACGTGCTCCGCAAAGATGAGCAGGGCGCCCTGCTGGGCCGCCAGCTCCACCACAAAGCCTGTGTTGTTGGCCAGAGCCCACACGTCCACCTCGTTCCCCGTGTAGAAGAAGATGGGCCCCTCGCCCCTTCGCCAGAACTTGTCTGCAGGGGACGGGGTGGTGAGGCTAGGGCAGGTGCAACGGGCACCAGGCAGTGAGGACAGGACTGGTGCAGCAGGCAGGTGATGGGGCAGGGCTCACCTGACACCAGCACCCGCTGGTAAAAGGTCTTGTTGCCAAACCTCGCAAAGTTGAAATGGTCCATAAACTGCTCAAAGTACCTCTCCCGAAAGCCAGCGTCCAGGCCTCTGTGGGCTTGAGGGGAGAACGGGGGCTCAGGGACCATCAGGGGCCAGGGGTGCCCAGGGCCTGAAGGGTCAGGGAGGAGGGGCCGCTGGGTCAACACTCACCCCCAGCCTGGACGTCACCCAGCCCCAGTGTCAGCAGCAGGACCTGCGCCCAGAAAGGGGCCCCACAGTCCAGGGGCACCCTGAACTGGGGCCTCATGTCTGGCTCTGTGAACGGCACCCGGCGGTCACGTGAGCAGGATCACATGACAGTAGGGCAGCCTCATGTGACAATCAGGGCGGGGCTGGTCCTCCTACCGTAGCTGGAACCCGGAGCAGGGCTGGCCTGACCCTCTAGTGGGCTTCAGCTTCTGGGTTGTGGCAGGTCCTGAGGGTTCCTGGGCACCCACTATGTTCCCATGGGGATGGTTGCCATGGGACCCACAAGGCAGATGAGGGCTGGGGCCCAGGGCTGTGTGGGCACAGTGGGCAGGGCACATGTGCCTAGCCAAAGAGGGCCACAGAATGGGGAGAGGGTCCTGGAGGGAGAAGGGAGGGAGCCCAGGCCCCAGGAAGGCCCCGAGGGAGACGGCCGAGCCTGCCCCCACCCAGCAGCCCAGTCAGCTCACCTGCCTGTGGGCTGACGCTGGGCAGGGTGTGCTCACAGCCAAGCAGCAGCCAGCTGCCCCGAGCACCGAAGCACAGGGTGACAGGGCTGGGGGCAGTGTCCTCAGGCAGAGCCAGGCAGGAGGAGAGGCCTGGCCTTCCCCACGGGAGGACATGGGCTCCAGGGGCCCAACCATGGAAGTGGGGGTGCCCGGGGCTTGGGCAGGCAGGAACATGGCTGTTCTGCTCCCCTGACTGGCACCCACTGTGCCCACGCAAGCACAGGAGGGAGGAGCCGCCTTCCCCAGAGTCCGTCCATGGCCTAGGGGACTCAAGCATGAATGGAGCCATGTCCACACAGCTGGCCCTGCAGAGACCCTGTGTGAGCCCCAGAGGGGCTGGAGAGTGCAGGGTCCCCAGAGCCTGTGAGGGTGGGCAAGGCCGATGGTTCCTGTGGAGGTGAGGCTTCTGCTGTGACCCCTTGGCACACGTGGCAAGGCCTCTTCCAGAAGATGGCCCTGGACCCAGTGTCTACCTAGCCCTCGGAGCATAGCTTCTCCAGCGGCTCGCCCCCAGCTCCAGGTCACCCCATGTCCTCTACTACTTTCAGCCTGTAGGGCACAGTGGTCACCCGGGACAGAGCAACCAAGAGCAGGTGGGCCTAGGCACCTGCTGCAGACTTGCTCTGAGGGCCCCTCTCCTTGCATCCCTAGGCTGGCCAGGTGTGTGCATCTGCTACAGATCTGCAGGACAGAGGGAGAGAGGTACCAGGTGAGGGGCATCCCAGGGGTCTGGGCTGTGGGAGGCCAGGAGGCAGTGACCTAGCCCTCCTCCACCCCCAGTCCATCCAGGACCCAGGCTGCTCAGTGCTTCTGGCCCACCTGCAATATGTCTGTGGGTCCAGGCCACCTCCTCCCACCTCTCCCAGGTCAGACAGAGATCCTGGGACCATGCCAGCCCCTGACCACTATCCACTCTGCCTGCTCAGACCTCAGAGCTGCTGGCACTGGGGGGACACTGTTCCCAAATCAGTCCAGAGCTCCACTCCACGCCTGCTGCACCTGCCTTAGGGCCCTGCTGGTCTCTGTAGTAAACCCATAAGGAGGTACTCTTAGTGATGGTGAAGCTGGGACTCTGTGTGATGCATGGTCACTGTTATCTATTTCACAAGCTACTTCAGCACCCCAACAGAACAGCCTCCTTAAACAGTAGTGTCCAGCCCCCTTCAAGCCTGGCAGCATCCTCTGCTCTCCCTGGGAGCTGAGTCCAGGTGTGTCACTGGGTAGACTCAGCAGTGCCCAGAGGTGACTACACCCCTGCTGTGTAAGTCCCTGCTTTTCCTAGCTGATCCACTGTAGATGTCACCACATTGTGTGTGTCCATTCACCTGTCAACAGACCCTTGAGTTGCTCCACGTCTTTGCTTTGGTGAATAAACTGCAATAAATACAGGTGCACAACACTACCCGAGTCCCTATTTTAAATTCCTTTGTGCATGAACACAGAAGTGGGTTTGCTGGCCAGACATGGAGGTGCATGTCTGTAATCCCAGTGACTCGGGAGGCTGAAGCAGGAGAATCACAAGTTGGAGGTTACCCTGGGCCACTAATAAGACCCTGTTCCTCCATTCTATAGCTGTCTTTTTTGGGGGGCAGGGGTACCAGGGATTGCACTCAGGGGCACTCAACCACTGAGCCACATCCCCAGCTCTATCTTGTATTTTATTTAGAGACAGAGTCTCACTGAGTTGCTTAGCACCTTGCCATTGCCAAGGCTGACTTTGAACTCGCTATCCTCCTGCCTCAGCCTCCCGAGCCGCTGGGATCACAGGTGTGCGCCACCACACCCAGGTGGTTAATGTATTTTGCTCCTCACTTTCAATGTCATTCCTGCCAGGTACAGGACACACACCTGCAATCCCAGTGCCTTGGGACACTGAGGTGAGAGGATCCCAAGTTCAAGGAAGGATAGCCTGGGCAGCTTAGCAAGACCCTGTCTCAAAGTAAAAAGTCAAAAAAGAGCTGGTGGTACAACATTCAGTGTGCAGCACCCCTGGGTTCAGTCCCCAGCACCACAATATGTAAATGATCATCCCACTTACTTCTGGCCCCTGTGATTGTGACGGGGAATAGGCCATTCATCTCCCTGGAGAGCCCTTGTCTGTGACAGGTCTCTCCTGCTGTTTGAGGGTTCCCTTTGTATTTTGAGAGTTCTGTACTTCAGTGTTGGTGGCAAAGGCTTGGTTCCCAGTCAGGTACTGTTGGGAGGTGGGGCCTTTTTGGGAGGTCCCAGTGTCACTGGAGGCAGGCCCCCAAGGAGCCTGTGGGGTCCTGGCCCTTTCCCTTCTCTCTGCCTTCTGGCCCCAAGGGCTTAGAGGCTTTCCCCCCCCACACACACACACCCCGGGACGTGCTGCCTCACCACAGCCCCAAAGCAGCAGGGCCAGTCTGCATTAAGAGCTCTGAAACCCGGGGCCCAGATGAATCTTTCCCTTTTATAATCACCTCAGGTATCTTGTGGTGGTGAAGAAAAGCTTGTCACAGCTTTGGTCCCGAGGGGTGGGGCAGTCTGGGGGATCGTGATACCTGACACGTGACTTAGGTTTGGGAGAATTTGGAGGAGCAGCCAGAGGAAGCCTGAAGCTGTCTGTGGAGCTCTGTGGTGATGGTGGGGGCGCTCCAGGTGGCCAAGGGTGGCATTTCAGGTGGAAATGAGGAACTCGGGAACTGGACCAAAAGCCATCTTGGTTACACTGAGGCCAAACTCCAAGGCGATGGGCAGACCTCAGCATGGGTGTCACCTGCTGCTTTTAGACAAACCAGGGAGGGTCAGGAGTGAAGAGGAAGATTGGGAGATTTGCAGCTTGGATGAGAGAGGAGTGTAGGTCAAGTGCAGCCCAGGACAGTGAAAGGATGCAGGACCAAAAAAAAAGAAAAATCAGCTATTTCTGCACCGAAGCAATACAATAAACCTGGAGTCGCTCAGAAAGGGGGAGATGGGAATCTGCACCCGACTTTCCAGGGCAGTCTGAGAAAGGAGCCTTGGGTGCCTGATAGGCCCAAAGCCACCAGGAATCAGTTTCTCACCAGCACTGAGGCTGCTGCAGTCATGTTTCAGGTGCCTGAGGGTCTGTGTTGGTGGGGGCTTGGTGTTCACGGGACGCTGGATGGCAGCATGCCGCATGCAAGGATTACAGGGTCACGAGGCTTCCACCAAGATTTCAAGGAAAGCCTGGCGTGGGGCCGAGCTCCTGCAAGCAGCCCCAACAGGAGGCCCCAGGGGCAGGAGCCCGCCCTGACAAGGGAAGCTGCAGGCAGAGGTATGCCTGCCAGAGACTGGCCTCCAGGGGGCTGGAGTTGGGGGGGGGTCACACACCATGCCCCAGCAGCTGTGGGTCTCAGACACAGCTCCCTCTTTAGAATAGTGGCGAGGTAGCCGCAGTGGAGTCCCAGGGCCCTGCTGCATGTTCTCCTGCCCTTCCTGATCCCCCTGCTGGGCACGGCCCACAGACTGGATCCCCCTTGGCTCCCACCTCCTGTCCGTGCTTGGCCCACCTGTGGAAGCCCTCCTGGTCCCACCATCCCTCCCTTCTTGGGATCATCTTTGAGGTCTGTCAGCAGTCCCTGCAGTGCCCTCTAACATGGCTCCAGGGAAACCATGTATCTCAAGGAGGCCTGAGCAGGAGCCCCCAGCAGCTGTGAGAGCTCCCCATGCCTCCCAGCCCCTGGGCTGTCTCAGCCCTGGTGAGGGGCCGGGCGGGGGCACAAGGGGGTTCCTGGGCACCCCAGAGCAGTCTCCACTCCAGGTGTGGACTCCAGTTCCCACAAGACCCCCAAGCTCCAGCCCTCAGACAGCTGTGCACACTTGGCCCCCTTTCCTACCACCTGTGCGCTCCTCGAAAACTGCTCCCGCCTGGGTAGTGACCAATCTCAGCACCTTGTTTATTGCAAGTGCCCAYCTGTGGAGTGAAGATGGGGCAGTCTTTCAAGAGCCGATTGCCTCTTGAGAATGGGCTGGGCTCGTAGTAGGGGTGTGAATAAGAAGGGGAGGTCTGTGATGGGGACAGTCCTGCACTTCGAAGGCACCCTGCAATGACTTGGAGCACCGCACCCACGTCACATTCCTGGTTCACTGCTGTACTGTTGTCACGTAAGACACAAAAGTGTGCCAGGCACACTGGTGCAGGCCTGTAATGCCAGAAACTTGGGAGCCTGAGGCCGGAGGATCACAAGTTCAAGGCCAGCCTCAGCATCTTAGCAAGACCCCGTCTCAAAAAATAAAAAGGGCTGGGATATAGCTCAGTGAAAGAGCACCCCTGGGTCAATCCCCAGCACCCAAAGACAAAAACAAAGGCACCCAATACGGGGGAAGCTGGGTAAGCACATGAGACCTCCCTGTCCTTGTACCCATGTGGAGGAGTAATCGAGTTTTTTTCTTTTTAGTTCTTCCAAGAATTTACCCAACTAACTGTACTTGTATACAAAAGGTTTCATAATGGTTCCAGTCATGGTCATGAGGCACAGCCGTGGGCAGGACGGGGTCCTGAGGCTCGTCTCCTGCCCTGGGCCCTCTATTCGCCTGTGCAGCAGCTACAACAAGGTGCTAAGGGACGTGATCTGCTGAGGTTTGCAGTGATACCACCGTGGGGCACCAAGCACAGGTGGAAAGGCATGGGCCTCACACGGCCCTCTTGCTCAGGCTGGGCGGACAGGCATGCCCCGTAGGGGTCCAGCTTCCAGACAGGGATGAGTGGGGGCTGCAGGGCTGGGGCCAGTGGCCATGACAGCGCAGGACACTTCCCACAGTGGAGGGTGGGTGATGCTGGTGAAGATGGAGCCTCATTCAGAGCACAGGAGAGGGCTAGAGCACCAAAGGGGGGCTGAGTCAGTGTCCCCAAGAGCCTGGAGGAGCCCAAGCACCAGGATCTGTCAAAAGCTGCAGGTAGGCAGGGCAAGAGCTGCACTCCTGACCCAGCTGATTGTGACTAATGAGCAACCACCCAGGGGGTCCCCAGCACTGGCCTCATTGGTTCCTGGGGGGGAAGCACTCAATCTGCAGCCACAGCCCTATAGACATGACCAAGAGCAAGGGAGGAGTCCGTGTGCAGCCCAGCTGCTCAGAGCCTTTGCTGTGGACAGCCAGACCTCCTGTCGGCCTCCATGTGCCATGCAGGGTGAGGACCCCAGCCTCGCCCGTTACTGGTTCAGCTGCCAAGGAGGGAAGGGACAGCCCCTTAACAAGCCCCTTTGGGGCAATAAGACCTGTCAGCTCGTTCCATTTCCCCATCTGAAGTCCCAACAGTGCCTCAGCCACAGCCAGCGTGCCTTCCCCATCTCTGCCGAGAATGTGCTGGGCCTACACGTCAGTCAGAGTGGCTTCCAGACAGACAGGGTCATCCCCACCACTGGGCTCTCCAGATGCACACATCCCTCCTACCCCACCTGACGCCTCTTTTCAGTATCATTCTCCAAGGTCCTGAAACCCTTGGCCTCCCAGCCAGATCCCAGTGCCAGAAACGAAGCCAAAAGCCCATGGCAGGCTGGTGGTCACTTGTGTCTGCAGGTGACGGAGGAGGGGGCATCTCATTCAGTGGAGGAGCATCTTCCCTTCTGGGTTCTGCAGGCTGAAGGTGCACAGCAGTCTGCCTTCCAAGGGGTCGCAGAACACGGCTGCGTCTCCACCCAAGGGCTTCCGTGCTGCAGGCCTGGGAGAGTCACATCTCCTGCAGCCGCAGAACCCTGGCCTGCTCCTCATCCAGGATGAACGGGGACTGCAGCTCCCGGCCTTGCAGGTACATTTCCAAACCCTGAAACAATTAGATCACGATGTCCAGCATCCACCTCTCAGCTGCCCATTTCTGCCTGGAGCCAGGGAGGGTCAGCAGAGAGCTAGTGTCCTCGCTCAGTGAGTGACTGGCCTGAGACTCAGACCTTGGTCATTCCTCCACAAAGGCCTCTGGACACCTTCCCCCACCTATACCCCAAAAGGTCCTCTTTAAGGAAACTTTTACCTCATTGGTAAACTGAGGCAGGGCTGTGACTTGTCCACTCTGCACCCAGCTTCCCCAGAGCCTTCCTCTGGCTCACACCACCAGACCCCAGAAAAGCCCCAGACAGGAATGGGCAGCTCTCACCTCTCCAGAGTAAGACACCAAGGGCGATATCTCACAGATGGCCGGAGGGTCTCCATCTGGGGGTAAGCTAGGGGAAGTCCATGAGTCAGTATCTGCTTCCTGTGCATGCCCTGGACCCCCCAGCATCCCATGTGCGGAGCATGCCCTGGACCCCTACCCCCAGCATCCCTTGGCAGCCGAGCTCCACACACAGGCCCCCTCCCCAGCACTCTGCCTCTGTGCACTCAGCCTTCCCCCAAGGAACAGGCTCTGGCCTGGGCTAGAATGTAGCCCACACAGCCCAGACAGCCAGGTCTCGCTCAGCTGCAGATAGCTGGGGAGTCGGAAGCCAAATGTCCTTTCCTTTCCAGTCCTGAGTCAGAGAACTTGCTGTCTTCTGACAGCTCTGCCTGGGTCTTCCTCAAAGCTTATAAGTTCAGAGTCTAAGCCCCCTGCCCAGCAGAACTCAAGGGTGAGACAGAGTGCAGGCTGACTCTCTGGGTGTGTGACCAGCAGCGTGTGTTAGGGTGCTAGAGCAAAAGCTCCCCCCAACCGGGACAGTGGTCGGGCCCTGGCCCCTCCAGGCCACACCCCAGGGCTCGCTCACCAGGACAGTGCAGGAAGCTGGGCCCCATGTGCATCCAGGAAGCGGGCCCCGGCCTGCAGAGCCCACCGGTAGTGCTGAGCAAGCAGGGCCCGCCTGGCGGAGGAAGGGTTGTCCCTGCTGGCCGCCTCAGCATTCTTCAGCGGGGAAAACTCCTCCTCCCGAAGCACTTCAAAGGCAACAAAGTTCCTGGTGGGGAGAAGGGCTGGTCATCCTGGGCCCAGCCAGTAGCCCTGGTCTGGGCAGGTAAGGGGGGCCCTGTTCTCAGGGAGTCTGTTCCCAAGAGCAGCAGATCCAGGGAGGGTCTTCCCTTCAAGTCAGCTTCTTCCCACTGCCTCTGCCCAAAGCCTGGAGCCAGCCAGGGTGAGGCTCAAGGGCACTGGAAGCCACCAGCCACCTGCTGATACTCCTGAGTAGGAAGGGCACCCATGTCTCCCCACCAGCCAGCTGCCCAGATGTCCCCTTTTCCTCACCCTGGGCCACTTCTTCAAGAAAGGAATGCTCTCTGGCCTTCTCCCCAGACCTGTCCACAGCCTCCCAGTCCCTTGGCCCCTCACTGAGCCTCCACTTCCCTGCCTGAATGGGCCTCAGGATCCACCACCAAAAAAGAGTCAAGAAGGAAAAAATAATGACTTCTACCACGAACCTAGCAAATGGGAACACATCAAACACGAACTTCTCCATCTTGATGCCGTTTGGCTTCAGCGGCATCACCAGGTTTCCCCCCTCATCCACGTAGGGAACCTTCTTCACAGCCACGTGTGGCTGTAGCAGGGGCTCACAGTCCCTGGGGGGCAGGAGGATAGGGAGGAGTCAGACAGGACACCTCTGGGATCCCTGTCCCCACCTCTTGGTGCACCTGGTCAGGCAGGGCACCCAGGCACAGGTGAGGAGGCCCAGCCAGATCCTGAGGAGGGCACAGCTCCCCACCACCCCACACCCCCAGCCACACCCCTGCCCAGGCTAATGGAAACCAGCAAGTCATAGGGAAGAGCTGGTGTCTGAGGGCAAGGAGACCCACAAGCAGAAGACAGGCTTGACCACAGAGCCCCACATAGGTCGCCCACAGAATGCAGCCCAGGGTGGATCTCCTGGGTCCTGGGCTTAAAAACAGGAACTTTTTCCACCTAACCCCACAGCCCCAGTGGCCGTGGCCCTGGCCCATCTGGCATGCTGGCCCTTGGTCATGGTAGGCAGCTCTCGCTGGGCTTCCATAGCCTCCTGCTGGCTACCTGGTGATGGTCTGGAGGAAGTCGCGGGTGAAGAAGTGATTGCATATGTTGCCTGCATTGTAAATCAGGCCACCATCAGTGCCACGCAGATGGGCGACCTCAGGGTTGATCTCACTGTACTCCACCACTTGGGGAACCCCGTCCAGCTGACACACCACGCCCACAGGTTCCTCAGGGTACGCCTTTTCCACCACCTGCAGTCACGAGGGATGGGCTCAGCACTGGGTGAGGCCGGGCTGAGTGTGAGGGGTTTGGTGGAGGGGCCGGGCTTGGCGCTCACCTTGGCCCCACAGTCGGCACCCTGCAGCACACAGAAGCCAATAAAGACGGGGTCAGCCAGCCGCACCAGAATGTTGTCCACACAGTACACATGCACAAACTCCACTCCCCGAAGCTCCATGTCCTGCAGGATACGGTGGTCCTCTAGAGCACAGTAGAGACCCCCGTTGCCATCTGCAGAGGGAGAAAGAAATGGGCCTTATCACTGGCTCCAGTCAGGCCTCGCCCACTAGTCCATGAAATGTTGCAGGTGGGCGTGCCCTGACATTCACCATCAAATAACTCTGTGGCTGTACCATGCAACAGATGGCAATCAATGCCCAGAGAGGAGAGGTGACTGGCCTAAGATTAGACAGCCTCCCAGCAGCACATCCAGCCAGGGATCCAGGCCTCTGGACCCCCAGCTGCACTGAGATCCAGGCTGGTGGCCTCTTCTTGTCTCAGTGGTGGGTGGTACCTGGAGCCATGGCAACTTTGTCTTTCCGCTCCAGGATGGCCCTGCCCTCGAAGGTCACAGCAGGTAGCATGCGCTGTTCAAACAGGACCACGTTGGCTGGATCCAGGTGGAAAAAGTCATGCTCCTTGAAGAACTTGGCAGTGGGCCCCAGTGTGAACTCACTGGTCATGATGTACCTGTAGAGGAGACTGTGGTAAGCTGGCTCCAGGGCTCCTGACCCCTCTGCCAAAAGGGGCTGTGTAAGAAGGGCACTGGGGTCCAGATTGGGGCCTGTCAGACCTCAGCCTGGGTGGGTTTGGGGCTTTATCCAGGGCTGTGTTGGTGTGGGGGATCAGGCCTTGGTGTGGGGCAGGGCTGGTACCATATGGGGAGGGACAGGGAGGACACACCAAGGCACGGTGCAGTGAGTCCCATGGCGCTCGCCAGCCAACTGCTCCACCCGCCGGATGCGTTCCGCCTGCAGCTGGTACAGGGTCTTCTGGCTGGGCAGCCCCACATCATACATGCCCTTGGGGTAGGTGACACCCAGCCGAGTGCCCTGCCCGCCAGCCAGCAGCAGGACTGCCACCTTGTTCAGGGCAATCTGGCGGAAACCTAGGGGTGAGGGTACACCTGGGGCTTCGGCTACAGGACCTTGGGACTAGTACGCGCGAGTGGGGAGCGCTGGAAGGCAAACCAAACTCCCTGAGTCCCGCTCGGTGGGCATGACCCCTTCTGGCCCGCAAGAGTCGCCACCCACCACCGGGACCTCTGCACCGCCTACCTTCCTCCTCCCAACGCCGCCGGGTCTCGGGGTCGCAGAGCCTCGCGCGGCCCACGCGCTCCGGAGGCAGGGGCTGCAGGCGCGCGGCCAGGCCGGGTGGCGGGCCGGAGGCGCGTGCCCAGGCCGCCGCCGCKCGTCTACAATGCTCGCGCAGCGCGTCGGGCTCGAGCGGCGCCAGCTCAGCCAGCAGCGCGGCGCGCGGCCCCGGGGCCAGCTCGGCCCAGAAGCGCATAAGATGCTCCTGGCCCGCGCGCTGGAGCTGGGCGCGCACGTCCGATTCCGAGGCCATGTCGTCGCCGTCGCCGTCGCCGTCGCCGTCAGACTAGTTGGCACTCGTGACCCGCGCGCTCCTTCCGACTAGGTCACAAGACCTGGAGGGCGGAGCCGACCCTGGCTGGGCGGGCCCAAGGTGCCCCCCTTGACCCGGACCCGGCCCTGAAGCGGCCGCAGACTCCCCCGCCCTGCCCGGTCTCCAGCCTGGCCCCGCCCCACTCCGGGGCCTCCCGGTCCCTGGATTCGTCCCCGGAGCTGGCGTCCGGGTTCCTGCCCGGCTCTTGGCTTTGGCTCCGCCCCAGGCCCTCTCTATCCCCGCCCCCAAGACAGTCCCGTCCGCCCCTCCCCGCTCCGCTCCTAGGAAGCCGGAGAAGGTCTGCGGTAGTTCCTGCAGGAGCGGGTGGAAGAGCTGGACCGTAGCACCGGAGGCGAAGGGGCGACCGAGCTGAGGCTGCGGCGCCCCTCAGGGGATCGGTGACCCCGCCGGCCAGGCGTGGGGGATGACCGGCCCTAACCCTTCCTGGTCACTGCCAAGCGGCCGGCAAGGGCCTCTAGGAGGAGTCCAAACCCTGGGCAGGGCTGAGAGCGGTGGAGCCAGATCTAGCAGGCGGGCTGCTAAGAGGACTGTCCCGCGCGAGCGGGGGTGGGGTGGGGCTCCCTTCTCGCGGGGGGTCGGATACTTCCCACAGCCCACTGCCCTAGCCCCTCCCGCCTGGTTAACTATCACATGTTAAGAGATCTTGCTTCTTCTGAAGCCTCTTGTGAAGAACAGGAAGGCATAGCTTCAGCCATCTGGGGAAAAAAATCTTAGAAACTAGCTTTATTAAGTCTAAAAGTAAAGCATGCTTTTAAAAAGCTCAAGTAGTGTTCTGGACCCAAAATGTAAAGGGGCTTTACCCTCAGGTCTGCCCCTGACAAGACAGTGTGTCTCCCTGAGTCGGGAAGCCCACAGGAACCAGGCCACAATAAATACCCCTAGACCACAAGAGGGTGCCCCCCAGTCTGTGTGTGTAGTGCTGGGGACTGAACCCAGGGCCTTATGCATGCAAGGCAAGCACTCTACCAACTGAGCTGTATCCCCAGTCCCCCCACCCCCAGTCTTAAACTTGCCTCAGGCCTTCCTGGTCCTCCTGCCTGACCACTCAGCCTCAGAAAGCCATATGACTCAGGGCTGCCGCCTCCCTGCGTTCTCAGGGGCCTGTCCCTAGGGCGACAAGTAAAATGAAGGAGGGGTGCTGAGCCTGTTGTTCAGCCCCCATCTCCTTAGATCAGCACAAGTTTGTTGACTGAACAAGGCCTAGCATCGCTGTGACTGGGTTGTGGCCAACAGGCAGGGAGCTTGCTGAATGAATGGCCACTCTGTTCTGCTCTGATGGTTTGTGCGGTAGAAGGGCAGCCACTGGCCATCTTCCGAGGTGGAGGGACTGGAAGTAGAGAATTGTGTAAGCAGAACAGGCTCCACACCCCAGGCCAGGGTCCATAGACCCTTATCACCCTTGTAGGGCTGGGCAAGAGAGAAGGCACGTGCCCTTTGAACCCAGATATCAGAACAAATTTTTTTTTTAGTTGTAAATGGACAGAATGCCTTTATTTGTTTATTTCTATGCGGTGCTAGGGATGGAACCCAGTGCCTCACACAGGCTAGGCAAGCGCTCTGCCACTGAGCTACAGCCCTAGCCCAAAGCATGAATTCTTAAACCCTCTGAGTCAGGAGCCCCCAAAACCTGCTTTAAGACAGGGGTGGAGGGCTGGGGATGTGGCTCAAGCGGTAGCGCGCTCGCCTGGCATGCGTGCGGCCCGGGTTCGATCCTCAGCACCATATACAAACAAAGATGTTGTGTCTGCCGATAACTAAGGAATAAATATTAAAAAAAAAAAAATTCTCTCTCTCCCTCTCTCTCTCTCTCTTTAAAAAAAAAAAAAAAAAGACAGGGGTGGAGGTAGGATCAGTGCCTTTGGAAAGTTAAGGTTTGTGCAGCCAGAGGCACTCCTAGGACCAGAAGAATGGACCTCCTTGGACAGATAGGGACATGAAGTGTCAGCAAGGCCAAGGTGGGCAGTAACCTGTGGACACCTGCGGAGGCAGGCTTGTGGCCAACTCACCTTGGCTTGGGGCCTTGTCCCAGGGATTCAGGGGAGCAGGGCCAGAGGCCGTAACCCTGTGAAAGACTCAGGGACTGGATAGCACTTGCAGGTCCCTCTCTCCATTACCAGTGCTGGGGCTACACTGGGGCAGAGGGGCCTAGCCACATGCCCACCTCCCCCAGAGGAGCTCTGGGCTGGTACATGAGAACAATTAAAACTGGGATGGGTGCCTCAAAAAAAGTCATGGGAGGGCTCTAGAAGGGCCAGGGGTGATGGCAAAGCTGAGAGCTTCCGAGTCTGTGGAAGGTCAAGCTGGGCTGGGAAGCAGCTTGGAAGGAGGATGTGGTCAGAGCTCAGGCCAGACAGAACATAGGGGCTATGCCTCAGTCCACACCTGAGGCCAGGCACTGACTCCACCAGGGCCATCCAGGGGCCATGGGGAAACCACAGGCCCAGAGCCAGCTAAGGCTACCTCCCCTAGGGTTTTGGATACTCTGAGAAGCCCTGTTTCCTCTGCACAATATGCTCAGGTTAGCTGGGGGCCCTGCCTGGCCTGGGCACTGCTGGTAGCTGACTTGCATACCCACACTGACCTCCAGTCCAGTCCCACAGAGCTGGCCCTTGGCCTCCCCATCCCACAGGCCTTATCCTGGCTTGTGTCCCACCCAAAGATGGCCTTTCCACTGTGGCCTCTTTAGATAAGGTTTCCTGTGTCCTGTCTGTCTCCTGAGCACCATGGTGAACCAGGACAATGTTAGGTCTGGGAGTGGCCTCACCCTCTCCCAAACAGCACAAGGACTCTTGGGGGGACAGCTATCCTAGCCAGGCATCTAAGGTAGGGGTGTATAACTGGGCCTTGGGGGGGTAGAAGGATCAGTACCTGGGAAAAGTTTTTCTTTGTTTGTTTGTTTGTTATTGGGTACTGGGGATTGAACATCCCAGGGGCACTTAACCACTTAGCTCATCTCCAGCCCTTTTTATTTTTTATTTTGAGACAGGGTCTCACTAAGTTGCTTAGGGCCTTGCTAAGTTGTTGAGGCTGGCTTTGAACTTGTGATCCTCCTGCCTCAGCCTCCCAAGCCACTGGGATTACAGGCTTATGCCACCAGCCTGGCTATTTTTTAAGACAGGGTCTCATTAAGTTGTTTAGAGGCTCCATAATTGCTGAGTCTGGCCTTGAACTTGCAATTCTCCTGCCTCAACCTCCCAGGTCACTGGGATTACAGGCATGCTCCATTGCACCCAGCTCTGGATGAAGTTTTAAAGAGCACATATATCAGCCAGGAGTAGATACAGAGGAGAGGGCCTTCTTGGTAGGAGGGCCACCAGGCACAGAGCTTAAGGGTGAGGAAATGAGGGTACACTAAGGACTGGGGCAAGTGGAGTACTGAAAGGAGAGTAGGTATGGGAAGATGAGTCTGTAGAGGATCGTTGACCTGCCGCTAAAAGGGGAACCAGGAATAGGCTTCTGTGACCAAGTTCCATGGGGTGACTCTGAGATCATAGCCTTTTGGGGGCCCCACCCAAATTCCTTACCCTGAAAGAGTGTATAACCCCATAGAGCAGTAGAGCCAGGGGAGTTGGCCATGACAACTGCCCCGGGGCCTGAGACACAGAGGACCCAGGAGAGAGGCTGGCTGAGGCCTACCCAGGAGGTGCTGAAGGGAGGCCTCTGGGCCGGAGCCTGTCCAGAGGTGTTCTGGAAACGAATAGAGTACTTAGAAAGCAGAGGCAGCAGGAAACATGTGGGTGACACTCAGTGTCCAGGAGCCAGGGTGGGGGTGGATGGGACCAGGGCAGGTCCTAGACGACAGGCAAAGGTGGAGGCAGGGGTCCAGCCAGACAGTGCCTGAGCACCTCCTGCTCCTGGAGGGCGCTCCTAGTTAGCTTTGAAATACACTCCTGGAGCAAGAATGCCGGCTAAGGACCTCATCTGGAGTAATTTGATCCCTGTTAGAAACAAAACAGAGGCTGGAACAGAGGATCTGGGGGGGAACAAAGTTTCGAGACCCAGGAGGAGGTATCCGCAGAGGACCAGGAGCCCAAGGGAACTGGTTACCGGATGGGTATCTGGGGACACAGGAGAAAGTGGCTTTGTCCTGCAGCCGGCAGGACAGGCCAGTCTGGAAGTGGGGGCAAAGGAGGAGCTAGCAGTGGTGGGTACAGAGAGGCCTCTGTGAGGGGGAGCGCCCAGCTGGCTGGAGCCTGTGATCCTCTTGGGGCCTTCCTCCTGCAAGAGAAGGAGGCCTCAGAGTCTGCTGGGACTTGTGGCCAGGAGACCCTCAGGGAAGAGGACCCGAGGGAGCTGGCGGGGTGGGTGGGAGGTGGGATCCCTGGAGGGGTTGCGCCCTCCCTTCTTCCCCCAGGAGGCTTCCTAGAAACAGGATTTTTTGTAGGGTCCCGGGCCCTACCTGTCGGAAAAGGGTGGGCGGCTAAGGGGCCGCGGGACCAGAGAAAAGGCTGAGCCGCTGCGGCAGGGCTGGTGGGCGTGGAGGTAGAAGAGGAGGTCCGGGAGAAAGCCTGAGCTGGGGTATTCGGTCCGGTCCGCCAGCCTTAGACCCCTCCCAGGCACCGCAGTCGGGAGAGCCTGCCGCAGGCCGGCCTCTCAGCTAGAAAAATCAAACCAGGGACCGCGGCCGTTCAGCCAATCGGCGAGCAGATAAGCTACCTTCGGCCAATGACTGCCCCGAATGCTAATGAGGGCTGACACCGCGAGAAGGGCCCCATTCAAAAGTAGCAGCTATTGTGGCTCAGGGCCGCGCACCCTACAGATTCCGCTGTCCTGCCGCGGCCAGAAAGGAGCGTGTGGACGCGGGGACACAACCCGGCGTCCATGGCCGCGGCCGCGATGGCTCAGCGGGGCCGCGTGCCGCCCGCCCCGACTGCACCAGGCACCGAGGGGCTGCCGCGCGCCTTCCTGCAGAGCCTGCGCACCCTCTTCGACATCCTGGACGACCGGCGGCGCGGCTACGTGCACCTGCGCGAGATCGAGTCCCGCTGGCAGGGTGCTGACGCGCGCGAGCTGCCCCGCGGCGTGCTGGAGGGCCTGCGCCAGGTGGCCCCGGCCAGCGGCTATCTGACCTTTGAGCGTTTCGTGGCCGGGCTGCGCACCTCGCTGCTGAGCGCTGATGGTGGCCCGCGAGACCCGACGCGCGCCTCGGGCCGGCAAGGGGACAAGCCGCCACCACCGCAGCGCCTGGTGTTTGCACCGGCGGACGAGCCTCGGACTGTCCTGGAGAGGAAGCCCCTGCCTCTGGGTGCGCGCCCTCCGCGGGTCGGCCCGGGGCAGCTGGGCGGGCCTGCGGAGGCGGCGCCCTGCCCTGCAGAGCCGGAGCGGCCCCTGAGTGCGGCACTGGAGCAGAGCCCCAGCACGGACGCCGGTGAGTGTGAGGCGTCCCTCAACTCCGCCTCCTAGATCCCCAGGGCTGTGTCCAAGGCTGGAGCCCGGAAGTATCTCCCACGAGGGACGGGGATGGGACACCTTGGTGGTGGACTCCAGAGCCAGGAGCGCGCCTCAGTGGGCCCGGGGGGGCCTAGAGGTTTGGGCATGTGCCAATGTACTTAGGGCCTAAGGAGGCCGGCCCTTCCCCTGGCAGGAGTCGGGTGGAGCAGGACTGTGATTTGGAACACTCACTAGGAACACACCTTGTATCAAGCCTGAACCAGGCACTGGAACAGCTGCCCAGTGTGAGGGAAGGTGGGCCATTTCCCATGCCTGACCCAAACCTGGGACCTCGACCTTCGGCTGCTGCTCAGGCAGAGGTGCTTCCCTGTGGAAGAGAAAGTCCCCCTAGACTGTGGTCAGAGGGTCTTTCCCAGTCTAACAGCTCAGCCCAGAGAGCTGGGCCTATTGCCCCAACCCAGGCCCGGGCAGGTGGGAGCTGCTGGAGGTTTTCCAGGAGCACCTGGCACCTGTGCAGAGAAGAACAAGATGTGTGTGTGTGTGTGGAGGGGGGCTAAGTGTCTGGGCTGCAGCAGATGCCACAGAGGGATGCAGTCTATATCCCTGGGGACTTTTAACAGGCTCCTCTCTGGCTTCCGGTCCAGCTGGCAGAGAAGGAGACCGTTGAATGGCCCCTGTCTGACTTGTTCCCCAGCACCTTCCTTGGAACAGGACCTACATTATGGCTGGGGTGGGGGCAGGCTGCAATAAACCTAAGGTCCCCAAACCCTCAGCTCATTCAGCGTTTGTACATGCCCTTTCAGGTGCAGGCTTGGTCACTGGTGGCAGCTGCTAGTCCCTTTTGGTCACTTTTGTTGCTGTCCATTGCTTTGCCAGCTTGCCAGACCTCTCCCCCTGCCTCAGGGTGATCTCCAATTCTATGACTCGTGCTTGGAGCCACAGTGGCCCTGGCCTCCCTGGTGAACTGATCCAGCAGCCCCATACCAGGCTGGGACCTCTCTGTGTACTTCATGGTCCAGCCTCCCTGTCCCTGTGGTTGGGAGGCTTCTGGGTGCAGCTGACACCAAATGCAAGGTGGATGTCATCCTGTGGCTGTGCAATTTGAAACCAGCCTTAGAACTACATGCAAGGACAGGCTCAGGGCTTGGTTATGGTCTAGCCCTGCTCTGCCCTGTGGCACTGGTTTATTTACCGCACCCCCTGAAGGCCACATGGCCAGTGCACCCATCGTAGGCAGCGCTTACACTCATTACTCAGCCAGGTTCTAGCTATCACCCTTTTACAGGTAAGCCAAGGCCCAGACAAGAGGCAAGCCATGCTTGATTGACAGGCTGGATTTCAGAGGACCAAATCTGGATCCCCAACCACCCTACCTTTTCAGTAAAGCTTCCCAATACCCATACAGCGTCCTAAGCCCTCAGCCCAGAGATTCAGGCTTCCTCTCTCATGCAGAGCAGGCCCAATGTCCCAGGTTCCTCCCCAGCCCCACTTGCCAGTGCCGTCTTGCCCCTCCCCACAACATGAGGGCTCCTCCCACCGCCTCACCCTGAACTGTGGCTCAGCAACTGGAGATGTGGACCCTGAGGCCTGCCATAGACTAGGCTGGTTCTTACGCCTCCGCCCCACTCCCAGCCCCGGGCATGACCTGGGGGATGAGCCTGGTGCTGGCGACAGGGCACCCTCCTCTGCACCTAGAGCCCCTTTCTGTAGACAGGGAGGCCTTCCAGAGACCCCCCCCACAAGCCCTGGTGAGCCTGAGGCACATGTCTCGGAGCTCCAGGACATCTCCCATGAGCCCAGGACATGCCTGACTGCTGGCTGTGCGCTATGTTTGTATGTGTTAAGTTGCCTCATACTGCAGTTGCTCCCGGGCAAGAGTTGATCTCCATCAAGCAGCTCCACCTGTCCCCTGCCTCAGCCCCTGCCCAGGAGGGCCCTGTGAGAGAGGGACTGAGAGAACCAGAGGCCCTGCCAGTCCATCCCTTACCCCTTACCCTTTACCTAGCAGCCTTTGAGACCCCCAGCTGTACTCATTGTGTTCTGGGCATGGGGTAAGGTGTGGAACTGTTAGCCCTCCCTGGCAAGTGAGTGGGCTCCAGGTGGGGGTGACTGGCAGAGGACACCATGCAGGCCTGGCCCCCAGGATTCACAGTGCCTGGGTTGGCTGGGCCTGGAGTTCAGCCAGGTTTCTGCCTCCCCACCATAGGAGCAGCAGGCTGCAGGGGCCTGGAAATAGATGCAGGAGATGCTCGGCAGGCCCCACGGGCCCGAGGGGAACGTCGGAGGCACACGATCACCAATGGAGTGGACTGTGGCCTGGTGAGAGGGGCTAGGGCTCTGAGGGACTCTCCAGGTTGTCTGGGAGGTTGGGAGGCTGGGAGCCAGGGAGGGGCATGCAAGCCAGCTTCTGGGGGAGTCCTGTTGGGCGCATCTGTCAGCTCCAAGAATCTCCCTACCTGGGCTTGAGTGCACTGGAGGGCTGGCCAGGGCCAAGCAGAGGAGGTCATGAGGTCCTTTAGGGACATGCTGTGACAGGAAGCTTGGGCCCTGCCCTGCCTGCCCCAGGAGGCTCAATTCTGAAGTTCGGCCTATCATGCCAGGTTCCTGCTTTCTACAGAAAGAACCCTTGAGAGGGGGTGCTGAGCCAAGCCAGGGGGGAGTCTGAGAAGAGGGGCTGAATGAGAACAGGGCCTCCACTGTGCTCCCAGAGCAGTGGTGCCGGGCTCCCTGGGACTGGCTATGAGTATCCATCTGTGTGGTGAAGCCTGCCCACGTGCTGATGTACTCTGTGTAGGTGTGCATGTGTGATCTGCTGTGCATGCCTTAACTTACACTCCTGTGGCTTCTGGCACATTCACATAGGCATGTAGGTGTGCATGGATGTGTGTGCTCACTGGCACGTGTGTCCTGCACACACGTGTGTTGTAGCTGAAGCAGCTGAAGGAGCTGGAACAGGAGCAGGAGGTGCTGCTGCAGGGTCTGGAAATGATGGCTCGGGGCCGCGACTGGTACTGGCAGCAGCTGCAGCGTGTGCAGGAGCGCCAGCGCCGACTGGGCCAGAGCAGAGCCAGTGTGGTGAGTGCTGGGACCGCCCCAAGGTCCCAGGGCACCCTTGGGTAGACCCCCACCAGAAACACCCTGTGCTCCCTCTAGGGTCTAAGCAGCAACTTTGGGGGGCAGGAGTGCCAAATGGGGGACTCCCATCACTTCCCAGTGCTCCCCCGCTTTTTTCCAGGACTTTGGGGCTGCAGGGAGTCCCCGCCCTCTGGGGCAGCTGCTACCTAAGGTGCAGGAGGTAGCCCGGTGCCTGGGGGAGCTGCTGGCTGCAGCCTGTGCCAGCAGGGTGAGTGATCCCAACCTCCCCCCATTCCCTTGTCCTGGAGACTGTCCAGGGGAGGCCTGCCTGACCGTGCCCTCCCACAGGCTCTGCCCTCCTCCTCGGGGCCCCCATGCCCTGCCCAGGTCTCCACCTCATCCTCAGCCCCGGGCTGGCAACAGCAGACCATCCTCATGCTGAAAGAGCAGAACCGGCTTCTCACCCAGGTGAGGTGCAGGGAAGTGGGGAGTGGGGGCTGGAGGCCAAACTGGCCCTGACCACCTGCTTGCTCGCCCAGGAGGTGACTGACAAAAGTGAGCGCATCACTCAGCTGGAGCAGGAGAAGTCTGCCCTCATCAAGCAGCTATTTGAGGCCCGAGCTCTCAGCCAGCAGGACACTGGGCCTCTGGACTCCACCTTTATCTAGCCAGGCATGCATCCAGGGGGGCCTGCATTTAGCAGGACATGCATTCGCAGGATGTGCATCTAGCGAGACTGTATCTAGCCACAGCACAGCCTTGAGCCCTGTGGGCACCCCTGTGATTCCCTCTCCGGCTGAAGACCATCAGCTGGCCTGGGAAGAGCCCTTGAGTGGGAGCCTCCCTCTACTCTTGGGGTCTGGGCCTGCCCCAGGCCTGCTCTGCCAGAACACTGACGCTGTTGGAGCCTTGGGGGCCACCTGGGGAGAGGCTCTGTGCACCCTACAGCCTGGAGCTGCTACTGCCACTGTCATTGGATGGTGGGGGACCCCTTCTGATGTTTATCAGGTTCCAGGCATCTCCGGGCCCAGAGGGACACATTTACAGCTGTCCTGGTCCCTCCTGCCTGTGACTGGGGTCCTGTTTCCAGTAAAAAGTATTGGTCACACCGGGCTGCACTTTAAATAACGGCCAGCAGAGGGCAGTGAGTGACCTGCATGTTGGTATCTGGGGTTTGTGGAGCATGGTAGGGGGTCTGGTGGTGCTTAGGGTGGGTGGAGAGATCTGGAGGCCAACCAGTAGGAGGCCTAGGGGCAGATGCAGGTTGAGGTCCCAACTGGGGGCACCAAGACAGTGATTATGCTTCAGCTGGGAGCAGATGAGGGGGTTGGGGGCTGGCCTCTACATGGGACTCTGCCTGTGCCTCTTGGGAGCCCCAGAGATAGTAATCAGGGTCTAGTAATCAGGGTCTAAGTCCCAGCCAAGGCTGAGAAGGAATCTGGCTGCAGCCAGAGCAGGCCTGGCAGGCTCCTGAAATGGAGACCGGAGCTCGGTTTGCCTGCTCCCTCCCACAAACCCCAGACTCTACAAAGCACTTGGGTCCTCATCCTCTTGGCCAGGACTCCACCCCATATTGAGTCCCACAGCAACCTGGGACTTGGTTCCAGACCTTAGCCTGGTCCAGGAGTGACTGATGGTCACCAGAGTGGCTCAGGCCCCTTTCCTAGGGACGACCCTGTCCCCAGGAGGAATGTCCCAGTCAGTCCCAAGGCATGGTGTGGGCATAGCACATGCACCCCACAGGATACAGGATCCCCAGGTCTGGGATCTGCTCAAACCTCCATCCTCCCAGCTTGGCCCCAGGAAGGTGGGGCTAGGACACATCCCCTCAGCCACAGCAAAGTGAACTACTGGGCACAGGAGGTGGCTGGGACCCCCAGCCCCCATCACTCCCTGTTCAGGCACATGTCCAAACCAACCCTGCTCAGACTGGCCTGGTGGGGTCCAGTGTGCAGTGCCATGAGAGTGAGGGACACTGCAGCTTCATGGGTGGGCCCTGCCTGGGCCTCTGGTCCAGTGAGGGTGGGTGTGGCTACCCACAGAGCCTGACTCCCCTGCTGCACCTGCAAGACATCCCAGCTCACTCACAAGTTGGCCCAGTACCTGAACCTCCCAGGAGCCAGTTCTGAAAGGAGCCCCACCTACAGGTGGACTTGCTGGGCAATGATCACAAATATCCCTGAGGGCCTGCCCCCCATCACACCCAAGGGATTCAGGAGGCAAGAGACGGCACAGCTGGCTGGTGAGACTAGTCAGGAGACCACACAACGAGAGCACAGCTGAGGGGTAGATTGAAACAAACTGGTGACAGGTGGCAGGAGGCAAGGCCTTGGTGCTCCATGCACAGTCACAGGTACTTCCTCCAAGTGTGCAGCCTGGAATGGTCTGCCTGTGCGGCTCCAGAGGTCTAGAGGCAGAATCTAGAGGGGCCCAGTTGGCAGGGCCCGGGGGGCTGGCAGAGGCCAGTGCAGATCCTCTATGGAGCCTCAGCCCTAGCGGCCCCCGGGGTGGGTGACTGTCCTTCCTGAAGGCTGGTGCCTCCTTGCAGGAGGTGAGCAGCATCTCTGGCCTATATCCACAGATGCCAGTGGCACATATGCATGCTGCCAGATGTGACCATCACAAGTGCTCGTCTGTGTCCCTGCGGGTAGGGGGACTGCTGCTTTTGAATCACTGCTCTGAAGGAGGCCAGCTGCACCAGGACCCTGCAGTTGGTATGGAGACTGAGCCTGTGGGCACTCCACCACTGAGCCACATCCCCAGTCCCTCATTTATTTTTTATGTCTCAAGACAGGATCTAGCTAAGGTGCCCAGGCTAACCTTGAGCTTGTGATTGTCCTGCCTCAGCCTTCCCAGTCACTGGGATTACAGATGTTCACCATGGCACCTGTCAGAAATGAGACTCTTGAAAATATGAAAGAGCAGACTTTGTGATCTCTTATTCCATAAAAGTGTGATCTTTCACGTTATAAAGAATACCAGGGCAGGGTGGGGTGCAGCTCAGTGGTCGAGTGCTTGGGTAGCATGAAAGAGGCCCTGGGTTTCACCCCCAGCCATGGGGGAAAATGCTGATCAAGCATGAAAAAGAATAACTAGAAATTAAAAAGGAAAGTACCGTGGGTTGAAAAGGAAAGCTCAGCGGGGGACCAACATCAGACGGAAGGTCTCAGACCTGTCAAGGGGTTTAGTGGATCCAAGAGGGAGGACGGAGTCATCCAGAACATGTCCCAGGGAGACAGGACGGAGAGATGAGGCTTGGCTGACAGAGGGAGCGGGTCTTTCATGATACGGTAGTCTCCCGAGGGAAAGAGCAGCAGCATCAGATGAACCGGCCTAGGGCTAGAAGTCATTACAAGAACCACTTCTCAGGTCTAGGAGGCTGCTTAGAAGGCTGAGAGAAAGCGCCCACTCCCCTCCCCCAGGGCCAAGTTGGAAGAAGCTGTCTTTAAGGAGGGGAGCGCACTCAGGGTACAGCCCCTGCCTAGCATGCGCCAGGCCCCAGGTTCTACCCTAGCACCAAGGATAAATAACATTTTCAAACCAAAATTTATACTTTATGACCAGAAATTCCCTAAAGAACCTGCAGGAGAAATGTTTCAAGAAGAACCTGACACTCAAGAAGGGGTCATAAACACAGCTGGGTACTGCCACGTAACACGTGGACATCAGACTTAGTGGCTGAAGTGACGGCGGTTTCCTGGCAGTTGCCCTGGGTCAGGCAGTCGGGAGCAGCCACACAGGCCTGTCCTGACCTGGGGCTCCTGGAGGCTAAAGCAAGGGAACTGTGGGGCTCTGCCACTGGTGGCTGAGGACCCACTTTCAAGATGGTGCACATGCATGGCCGTTGGCAGATGTCTGCTTCTGGGCTCCAAGGGGCAGCTGAGTGTTCTTACAGAGTGGCAGTCACTTCCCCAGAGGTCACGGCCCAAGAGAAAGAGCCTGGAGGAAGTCACCTCTGGGGCTGGGGATGCAGCCCAGTGGTAGAGCGCTTGTCTACCATGTGCGAAGCCCAGGGTTGAATGGGTTCCATCCCCAGTACCAATTTATTATTATGGCATAATATAGCGGTATATTATTATTATTGGTTTAAGTTTACACACACAGAAAATAAGTGCCTAGGACAAGGCCAGCCTTATCCACTTAGCTAGATCCTGCCCCAAAATAAAAAGGGTTGGCGGTGTAAGCTCAGTGGCAGAGTGCCCCAGACTCAATCCCCAATACTACAAGAAAGGAAAAACAAAAGAAAGAAAAGATATTCAACCAAAGGGGAAAAGATTCAGAAAACATAATGAGATGATAGAGAAGCCCGTGGGAAATCACAATTTATGTAAATGACTCAAGCGCATTGATTAAAGGATAAAGTCAGATTAGATTTTTAGAAATTAAAATTAGTCTGTTTTAAGAGATACACCTAAAAGAGAATTACAACAGAAAACAAAGACACAAATTTTAGTCATATTAATGTAAAACAAAATAGGGGTTTTCTGGTTGTTTATTGTTTTGCTTTTGTTTCGTTTTTTGGTACTGGGGTTGAACCCAGGGCTCTACCACTGAGCCACCGCCAGCCCCTTATTTTTATTTTATTTTATTTATTTATTTATTTATTTTTGAGACAGGGTCTTGCTAAGTTACCCAGACTGGCCTCAAACTCGAGCACCTCCTGTGTCAGCCTCCTGAGTCACCGGGACGACAGGTGTGCCCCACCATGCCCAGTTTAAGGCAAGAGATGGCACTAAACATAGTAAGGGTAACTACCTAGTCATAAAAAACTAATTTTACTACTAAGATATAACAATCCTTAACCTGGGATCACCCAGTAACATAGCCACAAAATATGTAAATCACAAAGATCTGCAGCGATTTTCCCACAGAGGAACTGCAGACGGAACACGTGAGGAGATGTCAGCCTCACCAGCCCCTGGGAATGAGCAGATGCGGGCTGCGGAGATGTGCACCCCGTCGGGCGGCCCGTGAAGCCGAGTCCACACCACGCCCTGTGCAGAGAGGCCGGCCCTCCACGCGCTGCTGGCGGGAGCTTCAAGTGGGACAGCGTTTTCAGCCAGTGTGAGCACAGCCCTCAGCTGGAAGTGCTCAGAGACCAGCAGGCAGGCGGATCCAGGATGGAGAGTGAGGTTCATGGGGCCTTAGTGGACAGAGTGTCCGACAGCAGCCACTTATGTGCTAGGTAGGCCAAGGTGGGCCTCCTCCCATGGGAATCTCTGTGTCAGCAACTAGTAGCACGCAACGTCAGGAAACTCCAGGCACCAGTGGCTGCAGGGAGGCCCCACTGACCACACTAATGACCGCTTTATCCCCGGGGTTTGCAGTGCATGCCAGGGCCACCTGGCCAGCAAGATGGCAGCCACCACCAGGATGGCTGCAGTCATGTCAAGCTGGCTTCCGCCCACAGCCACTGTGGAAAGTAGTAGCTGTTTTCAAAACTAAGATTGATGTGGGCACAGTGGTGCACGCCTGTAATCCCAGGGGTTCAGTTGGAGGCCAGCCTGGGCAATTTAGCAAGACCCTGCCTCAAAATAGAAAATAGAAAAGCCAGGGCAGTGGCTCAGTGGTAGAGCACCCCTGGGCTCAATCCCCAGTACTCTCCCCACCCAAACCCCAACAACTAAAATCGGTTTACTGCATGATTGTTACTTTTTAAAAAATATTTATTTTGTAGAAGTAGTTGGACACAACACCTTTATTTTATTTATTTTTATGTGATGCTGAGGATCGAACCCTGGGCCTCGCACTTGCTAGGCGGGCGCTCTACCGCTGAGCCACAATCCTAGGCCCATGATTGTTACTTTTAAGTGTCTGCTCAGCCATGCTGTGGTACCCAGACCTTCAACACCTGTGGGGACATTGCTGTGATGCGGTGTGTCAGAAGTGAGTCATGTTTCAACCAGTAAACTTTGGGTAAAGTAGGTCTCCTTCCATACAGTGGGTGGGCCTCATCCCGTTAGTTGTAGGCTCTAAGAGGGAAGCTGAGGTCCTCCTGAGAGGCAGGAGTCTGGCCTCCAGATGGCCTTTGACCCGGAAGTTGTGCCGTGGACCCTGCTGCCCACTGAAGTGCTCTGCAGACCCAGAATCAGGGCTGTGATCAGGCGCGCCCCTCCCCACTGCATCCGCTTCTCTGAAGAGCTCTGACTAATCCATCACCTAATCCCACTCATGGGCATTTATCCCAGAGAGATGAGCTTATTTTCATGCAGGAACATGTACCCGAATGTCCATAGCACGTCGTTTATATATAAAATGGGAAGCCATGCGGACAGACACTTCTCAATGATGATTGGTCAGACAACCGCAGTAGAGCCAGGTGCCGCCACACCTGTAATCACACCTGTAATCCCAGTGACTGCGGAGGCTGGGGCAGGAGGGTCCCAAGTCTGAGGCCAGCTTCAGCAATTTAGTGAGGCCCTATCTCAAAAGGGCAGGGGATGTGGCTCTGTGGTTAAGAGCCCCTCGGTTAGATCCCCAGTATCAAAAACAAAACAAAACCCCGTGGCATATCCACACCCTGGAATACTACTTAGCAATGAAAAGGAGTGGGGGACAGCGTGGGTGGAGCAGTAAGACAACCAAACAATAACAAAAATAATAAGCAGAAGATATGTCTGCCCCTGGACACTGTGACTTCTGAAGGAAAGGCTCAGGCGGGAGGCCAGGGCCTCAGCTGTCTCAGCCACTGGCCCTCCCTGGAGGTCTGAGTCTGGCTGGGGAGGGGCACTCCACACCTCTGCTCCACACTGCTCTGCCTGGAGCCCTGCCCTGCTGAGGTCCCTGGGGGAACCCTGCTCCCGGTCCCCGAGTCCACCTCCCAGGAGCCCAGCACCCAGCAGCTGTCTCTGTGCCAGGAAGGGCTGTTCCCTGCCCTAGTTCCACTCAGAAAGCACTCCACTCTCGGCCCGTCCTGGCCATCCCTGCTCAGCTGCTTGCCCTTCTTGGCAGGCTGGTCCGGGCGCCTGGCCAGAGCCTGTCTGCCCCAGGGCAGGGGCTGGGCTCCCCACGGACCCTGCCCCATCCCATCAGGCCTGGTGGGGAGTCCAGCTACCCCAGGCTTGTCTGTTCAAGGACAGTCCAGAACACCAGGAAGCCCATTAGCTCTGGTAGGATGGAGGCCACCACTGCCCTTTCACAAGATGGGCCTTCTCTGGGCTCCCTTTGTCCTTCCCTTTCAGGCCCCTGTGCCTGCCTCTCCCCCCTCTGGTTCAGGGTGGGAGAAAGGGCCTGGAGGGATGTGGGGTGGAGATGCTGGCGGGACACTGGGGCCTGGAGCCCAGGGCTGGCCACACCCAGAGAGTCTTCTGGAGACCCTCCAGGCTGAGATCTGGGAGGCTGAGTGACCTCCCGGGTTCCCACCCCTCCCTCTAGGGTCCTGAGCTAGAAGAAAGAYGCCTTTACTGAGCTGTGACCCAGACCCTCGGCCTGGGCAGCAATCCCAGCCCAATCGTCCTGCCTGTTCTGCTGGCTGGGCCGTTGCCCACACCCTGCCCCCATCAAAGGCCTCCCTTTAGCTCAGCTGGGTTCCTGCTCACCCTGGTGGTCTTACTGGGTTGCCAGGGGGATGGGATTTGGCTGCAACTCCCATTTGGTAAGTGCACAAAGCTGGTGGCCCCTGGTGAAGGAGGCCCTGAGCCTGGTCGGGCTGACCTGCAGGTCCATGTGGTGTCAGAGGACAGGCATTCTGTGGGTTAGGAAGGGACAGGCTTGGGCCTGGGACTAGAGAGCACTTGTCCACTCCAGCCAGCCTGTTGCTGACCAGCTCCCAGGCCTGGCAGGGGGTCCTCTTCCTTGCCCTCCAGGGTAAGGCCTGTGGGAGGCAGACTGTCCTTTGTTCCCCTGGGAAGCCAGGATGGCCAAGGCCCTAAGCTAAAAGAGACTGAGGCCCCATCCTGCTCAGTTTCTCTTCTGTGTCTGGGCTTGGTCTGACCATCCCTGTCCTTCTCTGCCTCAGTGGCCTCAACTGTCACCATAGTAGAGGGATGTGTGAGGTACATCTGACTTAATTCTTTCTGTTGCTCAATTCAAGTGCCCAGGTAGGCAAGAGCAAGCTCACCTGAGTCAGAGTCAGCTCAGTGCCCCGGAGCTGACTTGTGCAGGCGGGCAGCCTCGGGTCAGTCAGCACAGAAGGCTGTGGGTCTTGCAGAGAGGGTACCCCAGGAGCCAGCCTGGTGCTCGTGCAGAGCATTGTGCTCCACAAGCAGGAGCTGAGTCTCAGTGTCCTCCTGAGGCCCCAGGCTGGAACCCAAGAGGCGCCTGTGGGTGACTCCTCCTTTCCCTTTCCCAGGCCACGGAAAATGACTGCCCCTGATGCATCTTAGCCCCCCGCCCCGCGCCAGGTATCCTGTTCTCATGGCTTCACAGGACAGGGCTGGGTGCTAAGTGGGCAGGAGGTAGGAGGGTGGGCAATAGTAACAGGGTCACCCAGCTGCGATCTGAGGCACTCAGGCAGAGGGAACGGCAAGGATGCGAGGATGACTCAGCCGGGTCGCGTCTCCTACCTGCGCTCCGGGCGGAGGCGGAGATGGGACTTGTGGGGCGTGGCCGCACGTGGGCGTGGTCTCCGCGCCCCGCCCCGGGCGTCTATCCCGCGGCCCGGGCCACCCGGGCCTCTCAGCTGCCGGCTGCCCGAGGGTCCCCGGCGCGTCCTCCCGTGTGCCCGCCCATGGCCGGGAAGGTGTTGTCACTTCTGCCTCCTCTGGTGCTGGCCGCGGCCGGCCTCTCCGGCCTCCTGCTGCTGTGCGTCCCCACCCGCGACGTCCGGGAGCCGCCCGCCCTCAAGGTGCACGCCCGGGCACCCGGCGCACGTCCGGGAAGCAGCGGGTCCCGCAGGCCGGGAGCCGGGCGGGGGCGGCTCGGAGTCCACGCGGTCCAGCGGCACTCCCGCGTCAGCCGGCGACCACCCGCGCTGCGCTCGGGAGGGCCTGGGTGGGGTCCTGTCCCGCGCTGGTCCCTACGCGTCCTCAAGGCGGCACCGGCGCTTCCGGGACCACGCGACACTGGAGGTCGAGGTTGCGGGAATTCCCCGGCCGCCGAAGAGCCTGCCAGCGGGCAGAGGGCTGTCTCCCGGTCCCGGAATGCGGCCCCGGCACCCCAGGCTGTGGCCAGATGCCCTTCCTCCAGCCCAGCGCGAGCCTCAGGGCACTCGGGGCCACCTCCGCCTTGCGCGGTCGCCCAGAGTGCGCAGTTAGAGGCGTTCCGCTCTGGATGCAGCCCAGATGGGGAGCTATGGGCGATGACGCCGGGGACCCCTTCCCGCTATCGGGTGGCCAGGACAGTGCGGGTGGGCGCTGCGCCTGGAGCAGGGCTTGGCTGGCGCTAAAGGGGTTGAACTGGGCTAGGCCAGATCTCCACCCCCACTCCCACCCCAGGTCCAGCGGCCTCCCCACTGGCTCCTTTAACCCTTTATTGCGCTTGTGTGGGGTGAGTGTGGGGGTGTACTGATCCAGGCCCCACAAACCCGATGGGAGGGGGCTCTGTGGCTATGCAAAATTGGGATGGGGTAGGCCGGCTGCCCTCAGTGGGTTCTGGGGAAGTTCCTTGACGGGAGGTTTGTGCAGCCATCCCAAGCTGGAATCAGCACTGGGCTGTGGGTGGAGGACAGGTGCTGAGAGGGAGGGGGTCACTCACAGGCTGGGTCCAGGCATCACCTGCCAGGCCCATCCTGAGACCCCTCTGCTCTGCAGGACCAACCTGTGTCTGGCGCTGGCTTTGATGCCAGGGAGGGCATGGATTGGAGGCCCATTCCCAGTCCTAGCCAGCTTTCTTCTTGGGTGGGCTGAAGTCAGAGCAGGTGGAGGCGGAGGCAAGAGGAAGAAAGGGCAGCTTGGTGCGGTTCCTTCCTCTCCTTAGACCCAAGGAAAAAGTTTTGTTCCCAGGACAAAGTTTCAGATGTTGCCTGGGACCCTCTGTCCCTGGCATAGCCCGCTGGTTGCCCCTGCCAGTAGGCCTGCTTCCTGGTGCATGGCCTGCCAGCTTCAGGTAGCCAGAGGGAAATGGTCACCCCAGTTATCTTACCCCACTCCAGTTCTCCTTCCAACCAAGTCCTGTCCCTGTGGCTGAGTTGGCCTTCTCTGAACTTCGGCATGAAGCCCACCACATGACAGGGCGGGGTGGAGACCAAAGGGCATGGCCTTAAGTGCCCTCGACCCTCCAGCTGACTCTCTCCTCTCCCAGTATGGCATTGTCCTGGATGCTGGCTCTTCACACACGTCCATGTTTGTCTACAAGTGGCCAGCAGACAAGGAGAATGATACAGGCATAGTGGGCCAGCACAGCTCCTGTGATGTCCAAGGTGAGGTCTCCAGGGCACCAGTGCTCCCCAGCCTGGACACCACTCCTGTGGGGTCCCAGGAGCCTTCTCCAGCCCCTGGGGGAGGCTTGATCCTGGGTGGAGCTTACTCCAGAAAGAGAGGCTGGGTCCTCTGTGCTGGGAAGGGGATGGGTACTCTGTGTTCCAGAAAGGGAAGCTCCAGGGAGCCGTGGAAGGTCCAGGCTTCACCTGGCCCAGGACTGACCTCTAAGCCCCAGACAGAGCAGGAGGGGCTCTGAGGATCCAGCAGGCCCATCCCGGCAGGTCCCGTGGGAGGCTAGGCTGAGTTGACAATGCCCAGCGCACCTGTGCCCACACCCACCCCAAAGGCGGCAGCCTCAGAGACTCTGGGTAACACCTGGGCCCCTTTGTCTTTGAACTGGGTGTCTCTGGGGGCTTAAGCTGGGAAGGTGTGTCTAAGCTACCTGGGAGAAGCCAGTGGTACCTGGTTGGGAGTCCAGTCCCCCAGCCCCACTGGACTACAGCCCACCTGGGGACCATTTACAGGGGCTGGGCATCTCTCTACCTCCCTCTAGGTGGGGGCATCTCCAGCTATGCAGATAACCCTTCTGGGGCTGGCCAGAGTCTGATTGAATGTCTGGAACAAGCACTTCGGGATGTACCCAAAGAGAGACATGCTGGCACCCCCTTATACCTGGGAGCTACAGCAGGCATGCGCCTGCTCAAGTGAGCTGAATGTCCCCTGACCTTGCCCTGGGGCCCCAGGACAGCCCCTGCACAGGGTGGACCCCACATGCCCTTGGTAGCAACTCTGGGCTGGAACCTCCTCACTGGGGAGTGCCCCCTGCAGCAGGATCACAGCTGGGCACTGGGGAGCAAGCCCCTCAGAGTTCTCCCTGCCCCACAGCCTGACCAGTCCAGAGGCCTCAGCCAGTGTGCTTGCGGCAGTGACGCGGACGCTGACCCAGTACCCCTTTGACTTCCGTGGTGCACGCATCCTCTCTGGCCAGGACGAGGGGGTGTTTGGCTGGGTGACTGCCAACTACCTGCTGGAGAACTTCATTAAGGTGGGCCTGGAAGCTGCTCCAACAAGCCCAGGGACACCTGCACCTGGCCCCTGGCTGACCCAACCTCCACTCTCCACAGTACGGCTGGGTGGGCCGGTGGTTCCGGCCCAGGAAGGGGACGCTGGGGGCCATGGACCTGGGGGGTGCCTCCACACAGATCACCTTCGAGACAGCCATCCCAGCTGAGGATCCAGCCAATGAGGTCCAGCTACGGCTCTACGGCCAGCACTACCGGGTCTATACACATAGCTTCCTCTGCTATGGCCGAGACCAGGTCCTCCAGAGACTGCTGGCCAGTGCCCTCCAGGTGCCCCTCCACCCCAGCCCACCCCACCTGAGGGAGGGAGCAGGACAGATGGAGTCAAGTGCCCCAGAGCAGAGGGTGGAGGTGACCATGCCCACAGGGCTCTACAGCTAGGCTCCTCAGCTGGGGGACTCCACAGGAGCAAAGAGCCAATGCTGAGGATCAGGATGGAGAACTGAGGGCCAGGAACAGATCTCAGAGGGCCCCTAATGCCATCTGTGGCTCCTGAGCAAAAAGTGATATTGCCCAAGTTGGATTTGTGGGGGATTCACCAGGCTGGTCCTCAGGGGTGGGGATGGCAGGAGGGGCTCTGAGGACCCAGCAGACACATCCAGGCAGGTCCCTTGGGAGGCTAGGCTGGGTTGACAATGCCCAGCGCACCTGTGCCCTGGGTGGTGCTCTGATATCCTGGTCATCTCCCCAGACCCACCGCTTCCACCCCTGCTGGCCAAGGGGCTATTCCACTCAAGTCCTGCTCCAGGACCTGTACCAGTCACCATGCACCGAGGCTCAGCGGCCCCAGACTTTCAACAGCAGTGCCAGAGTCAGTGTGTCGGGGACCAGTGACCCTGTTCTCTGTCGTGACCTTGTCTCTGGGCTCTTTGACCTCTCCTCCTGCACCTTCTCTCGATGTTCCTTCAATGGGGTCTTCCAGCCCCCTGTGGCTGGGAACTTCATTGTGAGTCCAGGAAGACATGAATGGGTCAGGTGCCCTACAGCTCTGGGGGAGTGGCCCTGGTGTGACTGTCCCCCCCCCCCTCTCTCGCAGGCCTTCTCTGCTTTCTACTACACTGTGGACTTCCTGAGGACCTCGATGGGGCTGCCTGTGACAACTCTACAGCAGCTGGAAGCAGCTGCCATGGCCATCTGCAACCAGACCTGGGCTGAGGTGAGGCAGGAGGGCTTGGCCAGTCACACCTCCTGGTCATGCTTTGTCCTATAACCAGGGGTCCAAGCCTCTCAGAATATCCCCTGTAGTGGGGGTGACTATATTAGGCTCAAGTAATGACTGGGCTATGGCAGGGGACATGGGAACCAAGTGAGCTGCAAACAAGACCTGGTGGGCAGGGGAGCAGGTACTGCAAAGGCCCTGTGACATCAGGGAGCTTGGAAAAGACAGGGATGGAGAGGCAAGTGGCTGGGACAGGGTGGGGGAGAATGGCCTGCTGGTGGAGGACAACTCAAGAGAGACAGCAGGTAGAACTGCCAAGATTTTGGATGGGGCTGAGGAGGTAAACAGGACTCCCAGCTTTCTGACTTCTGCCATGCTGCCACATAAGGAGAGATGGAGGGGTCTGGCCACCTAGAGTGTGAAGTGTGCACCTGAGTCTCCAGGAGAAATGTGACATTCCCACCCAGTCTTGTCTGTGCCTAGTCTCAGGCAGACTAGGGATGTGAGGAGGTGGGAGCAGGAGGAAGGCTCTTGGGTCCAAGCCTGGAGCTCCTGTTCCCCCCCCCCCCCCCCCCCGCCACACACCAAATGCTGCTGCCCTCAGCTCCCTCGTGGCCATCTGTGCCCAGCCTTCCAGGCACCGGCAGTGGCTTGGGAGGGGGACACTGCCATCCAGCAGTCACTCAGTTCATCCCCGAGGGGAGGGGTGCGCTGTCTAGGAGTGCCCCCTTGGCCTCAGTCTTGCTGCGCAATTCCTGGTCGCGTGGCTGTCTCTGGCCTCACTTGGTTTGTGAATGAGGGAGGGTACAGCCCTCAGCAGTCTCCCGGGGTCGCCGACTGGACGTTCTTCCGCCCGTGTTCCAGCTGCAGACTCGGGCGCCAAGGCAGCAAGCCCGCCTGGCCGACTACTGCGCTGGGGCCATGTTCGTGCAGCAGCTGCTGAGCCGCGGCTACGGCTTCGACGAGCGCTCCTTCCGTGGCGTGGCCTTCCAGAAGAAGGTAGGTGGGCGGGGCGGGGCGCGGCGGGGCGGGGCCTCGGGGACGCTGACGCGCGCCTCCCGTAGGCCGCGGACACGGCGGTCGGCTGGGCGCTCGGCTACATGCTGAACCTGACCAACATGATCCCCGCTGACCCGCCGGGGCTGCGCAAGGGCACCGACTTCAGGTCCTGGGTCGCCCTCCTCCTGCTCTTCGCCGCCATGCTCCTGGTCGCGCTCGGCCTGCTGCTGCGCCAGGTGCGCTCCTCCAAGTCGCCGAGCGCCATCTAGGGCGCGCGGGGCGCCTCCCTAGAGCCCCCAGCGCAGCACCCCCCACCTTTCACTGCAACCTGGGCGTCTCTGACCCTGAGGCCGCCCGGAACCGAAGCTCTGGGGCGCAAAAACAAAGGGCCCCTCAGCTCCTCCGGTCTCTGCATCTCCTCCAGCCCCCGCAGCCCCTCCGGATGCACTTCCTCAGTGCTTCTGGCTCCTCCTCTTCCTGGGGTGGCGGGTCCCCCAGCCTGGGACTCAGGGCGAGGTCTCCAGAAGCGAATCTTCCATTCCGGCCTTCAGGTCCCTCAGAGCACCCCGTTCATAGAGCCTGGGTCTGTACTAGGGGAGGGTCAGAGGCCACAGGCTGGGAGCCAGTCCAGCTCCTACTGGTAAAAGTTTTGTAATAAAAGATTTTTTTCCTAGAGCAGTAGAGTGTTCATAGGGTGGGGATCAACCCTCCTTCCACCTGTGTTGTCCATGCAGGCCTGCCCCTGGTCCCAAGAGTGGACACCGGCTCTTCGCTCTTCCTTCCTCTCTGGTTCAGAGTTGGGACCGTGTGAACCTCCTGGCTCTGGCCTATAGAGCAGTCCCTGAGTCCCTGAGCCTTCCCTGGCCAGCAGAGCCGCCACGACCCCACCCCTGCCCCGTCAGAGGCCCGATCCTGGCTTAGACTAGGCCTGGGAGTGAGGATGGGGAAGGCAGGAAGGTTGAGGAAGGATGGGGAGAGGTCGGAGGGGAAGGCAGCTGCCTGGGGCGGGCCAGTGCCCACAGACCATGAGGCAGGACAGGTTCTCAGGGATGTGGGCGCGGAGATCAATCCGACAGAGCCCAACCCACTGAGGGATGACACTTGCCATGAGCGTGGCTCTGAGCCAAGGCCGCAGGGGCACGGGGACACCTTGCCCCGCTCGCCTGGGCCCTGAAATCCCTGCACTGGGAAGAGGCATCCAGCAGCCCCTCCAGCCACTGTGGGATCAGAGGCGCCAGCAGCCCCAGCCCTAAGACTGTTTTCCCCCCCGGGGTGGGAAGGCCTGGTCTTGGTTACTTCTTCCAGGCGCCCCCCCCTCCGCCTTTCTGGGAAGTGAGCTCAGACACTATTTCTGTCTGGTCAGTGCCCTGTGGGGGAGGGGGCGGTCCTTGTTCTGCTCCCTGCTCCCCACACACAATACAAACCCTTCAGCCATTTTGCAAACCTTCGGCAACCAGCCCCAGCTTTGGCGTTCTGAGACTCGGGAGACTGAGAGGAAACACCGGGTTGGGGGTCTCAACCATGTTCACTTGACTGAGCCAGAGGGAGGTGTCCAGGTGGGTTGGGGTGTCCTCTCGGGAGGCAGGTGAGGTGTAAGGGAGGGCTTCGTAGGTACTCGATATCGTGGGAAACGGGGGAGTTGAAAGCTGTCACCTGGGACCATGACCACCTCGGACAGCTCCCAGCTGGCTTTCGGCAGTAGCTCTGGGTCACTTTTGCCCCCTGGTGGCCTCACTCAGGATCCAGCCTGCGTGGCATCGGGACCCATCTAGTTCTGCGCCTGTTTGCTTTTATTCGTGTCTCTGGGCGCCCCGTGCGTTTCCAGGCACACCTGTGCACCTGTTTATCCCTTGTTTATTGTGCGGGCCTGGTGTTCCCCTGTTCCATGGTGTCCGGGCCCCAACCCCAGGCGGGTTCTCAATTCCAGTGTGGTGGGGCATGAGGATTCGGCAGTCCCAGTAGGAATAGGACAGGAGGGGCGCATCCTGGAAAAACTCACCTCTAATCAATCCCATGCCAGATTTCTGCGGAACATGGAAGGACAGAGGCGGAAGGGGACGAGACACTCGGGGCTTGGAGTGAGGGGACCAGACTGGAGGGAGGAGGAGGGGGTTCAGCCTGGAAACGCGGTCCCGCCCCCACAGGTGGAGCGCGCAGGCGCACTGCTCGCGAGCGCTCCTCTAGCAGCCGCGCCTCTGTCCCGGATCCTTTGCCGCAGCGTCAGCGCCGTCGCCTCCTCTTTTCCTTTTCCTCTTTCTCCTCCGCCCCCCTTGCTCCCCGGCTTCTCCGGTAGCGGCGCCCGGAGCCTGCACCGAGCCTGGGCCCGCGGGCTGCCATGCTGCCCGGGCGGCGGAGCTGAAGGATGGCGACGCCTGTCCCTCCGCCCGCCCCGCGGCACCTGCGGTTGTTGCGGCTGCTGCTCTCCGGCCTCGTCCTGGTCGCGGCCCTGAACGGTGCCGCCGCCGGCCGCCCGGGTGAGCGAGCGCGCTGGGCGCAGGCTGCCGGGTGTCCCAAGGCCGGGATTGCCGGGCAGGAAGTCGGGCTGCGCGGCGCCACCGTCATCCTCCCCGGCGCCTACCAGGCCGGGAGGCCACGCAGGCCGGGTCCGCTGCCGCTCCGGCCCCGCCTCGCCTGGGATGGGGTAAACAGGCCGGGCCGGGAGGGCCGCCCGTGGGCTCCGCTGGATGAGGCTCTCCTAGGGCTCAGCGGGCGAACCTGAAGTTCACGCACTTCTTGTCTTTGTTTGAGTCCGTGAGCCAGTCTGGGTTTATCTCAGGGGGTCTTTCTCTGCCCCGCAGCAGTCTGGCTGGGGTGCACCATGGGGATCTGTTCTGTGCATCTCCGTGTGTTTCTGGTGTTCTTTGGGGCTCCAGAGGTGCGGGGCTGGTCCCCGAGCTTTCAGGCCTTGCTGCTCTTGAATGGCCTGGGTCCAGTCGCTGAGATAGACTGCTGGTTCTCCTGCCTCTGGTGGTGTGCAACACAAGCCTTGCTTTGCCTCAAGCAGGGTTTGAGGTTCCCAGGCCTAGGATCTTGCTCTGCCTTCCCCAGGGACAGGATGTTTTCTTCGCACACCCAACCCTGCCTGGAGGACACCTGCCATCCTGCTTTTGGCCTAGGTTTGTGGGTAGACTCTGGAGGAGAGAGGGAGCCCAGGGAGACTCTCCCTGTTTCACAGATGGGCACTGAGGTTCCAAGAACCAAAGGTCTACAGGAATCCAGGGTCCAAAGCAACACCTTCTCCCAAGGGGACTGAACTGGGACAGATGTCCATACATTCACTCAATTCTGGCTTCTCTGTGACAAGCATACTATCAGCTCATCTTACAGGTCGGGAAACTGAGGCTCAGAGAAGTTCAGTTACTGGTATGTGGCACATTTGGGATGCTACTTTGAGTGATCTCATTCTGTATGTTTGGCCTCAAGAGGTCAGAGCAAGGCTGAAGAGGCCAGAGGAGGAGGTCTGAGAAGGGATGGTCAGAGCTGGTGGAGGCCCCAGAGTGGGGCCTCCTCAGGAAGTGGAACTGCAGCTGCTCCTGAGCCCCACAAGTGGGCAGGTGCTATCCTTGCTGTTCATCTCCTCTGCAGCTTTGGGCCACCTTGCTGGGAGACCCCCCAGGCGGTCTCTCCCACACCCAGGGACTGGGAAGGCCTTTCATAGCCCAGATGTGGGCTAGAGTGCCAGCCATTCTGCAGCTGCCATTGCTCCCCGTACCTCCTCCTTCTCCCCGAGGTTGGAGGGGGCCTTCCTGACCAAGATTAAATAGGCAGCAACTATATTCTCCTGGGCTGGGGAGTTGGAGGACCAGAGAGGCCCCTGAAGCCCAGAACTGGACGTGTACCACAGGCCAGTTATCAGCACCAGGGGCAGGGACTGCTAGCTCCCAGGTGTCCAGCTGGTGGGTGGGGACCAGATGAGCCTTCTGGGAGGAGCTTAATGTTTAACTAGCCCAAGCCCAAGACCCAGCCCACTGATACTGGAAGCTGCTGATCCCGCCTGCAGAGGGTGGGGGTGCCTGCCTTGGGAGTCTGAAGGCCCACCTGCCGCTGAGGATGCTGGGACTTCCTTGCAAGGATGCCTACAGCCTGGAGGCATGGAGTGTCAGGTCACCAAGGAAACCAAGCCAGGCCCACCAAGGTCTGGAGAAGCACATCCCCACTCTGGACCCTAGTGACCTTGCCTACAGTGTGGGATGGGGTCTGTGTGGAGAAAGATCTGGTTGGCTGGAGACACTCACCATGCAGGGTTGATTTTCCTGCTGGGTATTCTGCTAGCCCTGCCCGTTTGATGTGATTGAGCCCAGAGACCTGGCTTGGGAACATTTCTTAGCTTTGAATCAACAGATTTTGTATCCCACAGAGGAAGCTGAGGCAGAGAGGGCCACTGTCCCCATCCTCCAGCATCAGGATGGGACTGATGGGCTGTATATAAATAGGACACGGGGATCTAGGCTCCTGTCAGAGAGCTGAAAGTGTGGCTGGAATCTAGGGCCTAGCCTGGAGTCCCTGAGGCCCTGGGTCTGACCAACTCTATCTTAGTTCTGCTCAACCCCGTGGCACCTCTGTGCCCTGGGAACAAGCCAGAGGCTAGGCAGGCAGCAGCAGCTATCTTCCAAACTCCACTCTGTGGGGCTGCAAGATGGTGGGATGAGGTTTGGGGGGAATCTTGATGTGGGGGAGCATCTCCTGAGCCAGAGAGAGCAACTGGGCTCCCCCTTCCTGGAGCTTCCAATCTGGATAAGTCTCTGCTTGCTCTGGGCCATGCTGAGGCCGGAGGCAGCCTTGGAGAGCTGCACAGTCCTGCCTAGGAGAGCTGCATGCTGGGGACAGTGTGGGTCAGTTTCTATACAGAGGGCTGGACTCTGGGGAGTGGGTGGGGCAGGGCAGTTCCCATGTCTTGGGACTGTTTGCTTCCTGGTTCTGAGCTCTGGCAGTGAGGAGAAAGGGCCTGTCCAGAACAATGGTCAAGCCGGCCTCTGGCTCTGGGGGAGGGGTGGCTGTGGAGTGCTGTTTCTGAGCGGGGGCAGGCTGACTGGGCCGTGATGGACCTTGCCTTCTGTTTTTCCCAGATGTGGCATCCTGTCCCAGGAGCCTGGACTGTGCTCTGAAGAGGCGAGCAAAGTGCCCCCCAGGTGCCCAAGCCTGTGGGCCATGCCTTTGGCCCTTCCAGGAGGACCAGCAAGGTCTCTGTGTGCCTAGGATGCGCAGGCCTGTGGGTATGTGAGAGCACAGATGCAGGGGAGGTGGGCAGGTGAGATGGCCTCCCCCTCCTATGTTTTTCTGTACCCCCAAGGACCCTTCCAGGTACTCACTGCCCTACCCTCTGGGCTGCCCACACTTCTCTCCCTTGCTCTTATCCTGTCCACTCCATGAAAGATGTTTGAGAACCCAGCCCAGTGCCGACGGCAGCCGTCCTGAGTCTGTCGGGAGGTCCAGTCGTGCAGAGCCTCAGGTCTGATGGGAGCTTTACAGAGAGGTGCTAGGCCTGGCCCGGGGGGCTTCCTGGAAGAAGCCTTCGGTCCCCGCTCTTTTTGGGTTGTGTGTGGTGTAGGTGTCTACCTAGGAGTATCTGTCTGGGCTGTGGCGCCCACAGTGGGTACCAGTGGGGGTCCAGCCACCATTCTACCTCCAAAACTGCCTTTTCTTCTCCTGAGGACTTGGAGAGGGAGCCTGGACATGTGGGCTTACTTTGGCTTTTCAGCATTTCGTGGGGAGTCACTGCCCGCTCTTGATAGAGAAGGCTTGGGGATAAGGGCAGGGAGGAGTTATTATGCCCCAATGCTCTGCCCACCCCTTTGTGGACAGCAGCCCTAGCAAGGGACCCCATCTTTTCTCCTCCTGCCTGGTCTGTGCACATTCACCTCCTCCCCTGCCCCCACCACTACTTTTCTTGGGAACTGCTGCTGTTCAGAGAATGTTCCCTCAGTTATCACCATGGCAACCCAGTATGGAGAAAGGGCCACCGTGATGTCTGGTCCTCAGGCCTGATGGGCCCCTCCATCTCCTGAGGGATTACTGGCAGCAGGTGTGGGCTCAGGACCTCCATCTGAGGGCTTCTCACCCTTCCTAGGAGAAAGCCAGCCCCAGCCCAGATTGGAAGATGAGATCGACCTCCTGGCCCAGGAGCTAGCCCTGAAGGAGGCTGGACACTCTAAACTTGCTGTCCTGCCCCTGACTGAGGCCCGACAGCCGCTCCTGGAGCCGGGTGAGGTCCCAGCCCTGTTCCCCTCCCCCAGCCCTCTGGTCTGGAGCCTGGTCCAGCTGATCTCACCTGCCCTCTGTCTCAGCAGCTGCCCTGGGGTTCTCAGAGAGGGGTCAGGGACTAGAGCCGGGCCTCCCCTCCACTCCAGGAGCCCCTGCGCCCACACCCCACACCTCCTCTGGTTCCCCTGTGTCGTCTGGGCCGGTGCACATGTCTCCCCTGGAGCCTCGGGGCGATCGCAGCGAAGGCCTTGCCCTCGGTAGGTCTTGGCAGTGTTGGGGGCGGCAGGGAAAGGCAGGGTTCCCAAGAGCTCGCCCCTCACCTCACCCCTCCCGCAGTGCTGATGGTGGCTTTCTGTGTGGCCGGCGTGGCCGCCCTCGTCGCAGCAGCCCTCTGCTGGTGCAGGTGAGTGGTGGCGGCGGGCGGCCGGGGCCAGCGGGCTGGACCCCCCTCCTCGGCCTCAGCTCTGCCCCTCACAGGTTGCAGCGAGAGATCCGCCTGGCCCAGAAGGCCGACTACGCTGCCGCCAAGGCCCCCGGCTCACCCGCGACGCCCCGGGTCTCGGTGCGTGGCCCCGCCCCACGCCCCGCCCTGCAGTCTCGGTGCCCTCCCAGCTGTACCTGCCTACAGCCTGACCCTTCTCCCTCCCCACAGCCAGGGGACCAGAGGTTGGCGCACAGCGCTGAGATGTATCATTACCAGCACCAGAGACAGCAGATGCTGTGCTTGGAGCGGTGAGCGCCCCCACCCTCTGCCCCTCTGCTCCACAGGGACCCGGCCCACTGCCCCCATCCCCTTACCCAGCCGCCCCCAATCCGAGCCCGCAGCCCCATCACCCAACCGGGCTGTCCCCACCATGGGCAGCGGTGTGTTGAGCACCGCCTCTAGCCTGGGCCACTGGCCCTTGGAGGGTGAGCAGAGGACCCAGCGATCCCACCCCCATCCAGGCACAAGGAGCCTCCTAAGGAGCTGGACTCAGCCTCCTCAGATGAGGAGAATGAAGACGGGGACTTCACAGTGTACGAGTGCCCTGGCCTGGCCCCGGTGAGTGCCTGGGGTCGCAAAAGCGGGGGTTCCTCCTGCTGTGGGGGTTCCTCCACAGCAGGCTGTCACCCACCCACAGGGCACCGCCCATACCCTCTGTCCCCTCCTGTGCCTGCCTGCCTGCCGCCCTGATTTAGTACCGCCTTCACAGACAGGGGAGATGGAGGTGCGCAACCCACTGTTCGACCACTCCTCGCTGCCTGCGCCCCCACCAGAATCCCGCTCACCACCTGCACTGCAGTGACCTGGAGGCCAACGCCCAGCGCTTCGGCTTGCCTGCCTGAGGCCCCCGGGTTGGGAGGGGCAGGGCCAACGTTTCCTATTAAAAAGGCACTGTTCTTACCCTCCTGCTTGTGTCAGGGGGAGGCACTGGCCTCCTGGATCCCTGGCTGGGAGATTCCCTGCCTTGTGCTTGGAGACCTTGAACCCCCTTGCACCTCCACTGTCCAGTCTGCACCCTGAAACTGGAGGGAGTGAGGAGAACCGTAGAACCCAGGCATGGGTAGGGAGTCCTGGGGACAAAGCCAATTAAAGTCTGTTCCAAATCTGAGCCTTCTGGGTGTGTTAGAGGTACTGGTCAACACTCAGCCCCCACCCTGCACTGGGGGACTCTGGTGGATGGACCCTGAGTGGGGGCACCTCTGTGGGGTATTTGTGAGGACCCTCCCATGGAGGCTAGAGGAGGGGAAAACACAGTAGCACCTCCTCCCTCTTTACTGGGCCCCACCTGACCCACACACCTGTCCTACAGTGGGAGAGGATAGGGAAGTTCTAGGTCCTGACCCTCTAGAGGACCCCATTTGGTGTCATGTAAAGGGCTGGTAGAGAGGCAGTCCACACACACCTGGATTTGGACACCTCCATTCCTGCCTGCTGTCCAACTGGGACAGAAGGCCAGGGAACAGGGTGCAGGCATTGTGAGTTTCCTATAGAGGAGCACACAGACCTCAGGGGCCCCTGCATTTTTATGGGGGCATGCTGGACAGAGGGACCTGAGGGACACAAATCTACACACAGCCAGGTAGACAGGGGACCAGGTGAGGGTAATTAGATGGCAGGGTGCCCTTAATGCCTAGACCTGGGATTTAGCCTGTCACCCCCCAATATGGGGAGCAAGGAGGTACAGAGTGAGGTGGGGACATTGTTTGGTCGAAGATGCTGAAATTGAGCCTGCACCAGGTCAGGGTGCAGTGGGGTACAGAGACCAGAGCTGACTGCCTGGCTGAGGCTGGGAGGGAATGGCTGCTAGGGCCAGAGTCCAGGCTGCTGGACAGTCCTGAGATGAGGAAGGCAAGGCCAGTCTGGGACCAGCAGGGCACTGAAGAGTGGGTAGGGCAGACTGGTAGACATAGGATCTCCCAGACTCGGGGTCCCAGTGGCAGCTCTGAGCAGGGCGAGGAGCACATCCTGGTGCAGAATGGGACATGCAAACCTGGGGTGTAGTACATGGGTCCCCACAGAGCCACCCAGGAGCTTCCAGAGATGGCAGGAGCCGCCCCTGGACATGGACAAGGACATGCTCCCCACACTGGGCTTGATGGGAAAAGGGGAGTGGAGGGGCTGGGCCACTCCCATGCCCTCAGGTGGCCCAGAAGGACTGCCCTGATGCTGCCTGGACCAGCTGGATCACAGCACTGTCCTTGCACTGCCCTCTGGGTGTGCCCACCTTGGCTCCTGCCAGCCTCCAAGGCCCCATCTTCCCAAAGGCAAGCCCAGAGGATTCCTGCAGCCCAGCCTACCCTCTCACAGAGTGCCAGGGCCCCTTCCTCCCCAGGGCAGGTGGCTCTGGGACACAGCCAGCAGGGGGCCCTCGCGGCATGAGTCTGACTCTGTCCTACCCAGGCCAGCCCTTGGGGCCCAGTGTTGGTCAGGCAGGCTGCCAGGCTCTGCCCTGCTTCCTGTGGTGCCCTCAGGCAGAGGCTGAGTGTCCCTCACCCTCTGGCCACCCCAGGTGCTATTGTCTGTGGGGGACAGCAGTCTCCAGGTCGGTGGCCTGCCCTCAGTCTAGAGCAGGGTCCATGGAGTTGAAGCCTTTTCAGCTAGTCCCCTTCCCTCCACGGGGTGGACCCTGGAGCAGGCCAGAGGGCCTGGCTGGGCAGAGTGAAGGATCCTGATCCCCTCATCTCCATGCCGCTGGGCTGGGTTGGGGCCCACCTGTGGCCCTGAGAGCCCAGTGAGTCAGGCCTAGCTGGGGTGAGGCGGCAGGTGGAGGCCCCAGCTCGCCCTCTGACTCACACTCTCTCACCCTCTTATTTTTTCCTTTCATTCTGACCCATTTCTGGGCCAAATCTCAGAGCCGTTTCCCAGCTAGCAGTTTCTTATGACAGGTGCCTGCGGCTGCCAACCTGAGCCGGCCCGTGTGTGGTGGGGAGCAGGCTGACAGCATCAGGTGGAGGTGGGGGAGGCTCCTTCGAATCCACCCAGGAAGGGAGCAGGCTGTGGGTGTGGGTGAGGTGGTGGCGAGGGCCCCAGCCAGCCTGGCAACACAAACAGGAAGGACAATAGGCCGGTTGCCCCAGGCTGATAGGATGGCCTCCTTCCTGCAGGCCCTGCTGCTGGAGGGGCACCCACCACCGGGAGAAGAGGTGGTGTGAAGTGAGGCCTGAAGCCAGGGCATGGCTCCCCTGGAGTGGCCCTGCTGGGGGAGATGCCAGGGAGGGGCCCAGGTCCCAGGTGCCACTGTGGTCATCTCCCTCACACTGGGTGCTGAAGGACAGGGGCTTGGGTGGCTGTCCGTGCAGAGGCCAGTCTTCAGGGCGCAAAGCACCTCAGGCCAGCTGGGCGGTTTCTGAGGTGCCCACAGCCCTCCCTTCCCCTCAGGCATTGCACAAGCGCTCCACCGCAGCAGGCTGCTGGTGGGGGGTGACTCGGAGGGGCCAAACTGCTACTCGTTCCTGGGCTCCCCTCTGCCCCCATGATGGGTGTGCGGCCAGCAGCTGGTTCCTGTCTCAACGGCAGCCTTGTGTCCATGTGGGTTTGTAGCGAGGGAGAACCAGTGGTTCTGGCGCCTAGAAGTGATTGGCAAAGGGCTGGTGGGGGGTGGAGGGGTCCAGTGGTGGTGCTGGGGCAGCAGGGCTGGCCCACAGTTCCTGGCTACTCTCCTTCTAGGACTCCTGGTCTGGGCCCTCTGGCATCTAGGTCTGGCTTGCCACACCCTGCCTGGAACCTCACGGCCCTGGGGAGCAGAGTGGGAGGTATGGAGATGAGGGCACACTCTGCCAGGGAGCAGGGTGCGCCCTGAGCAGGGGTGACCCTTCAAGGCATCCAGAATCTGCAGGGCTTGTTACATCTCCACCTTGGGGGGCAGGGGGAGGAACCTGACCTCAAGGCCCCAGACTGTGTCCCAGGGCTGGCTGGAGGGAGGGGGAAGGGACCTAGCCCTCAAGCTGGGGCCAGACTTCTTCTTCCTGGAGCCAGAGCCAGACTCTGCCCGACAGTCTGTTTGTCAGCGTCAGGGACACAAGGACTCCTTCCCTTTCCAGCCTGGAAAGCCCCCTGCAAGGCAGCAAGGAGGAAGGGTGTGACCTGCAGCTCTTGCAGCCCACCCGGGACCCTGGGCCCAGCCCACAGCCTCTAGGTTCTAGGGGCGCATGTCACTGGGCAGCCCCCAGTCCCTCGGGGGAAAATGCAGGCTGGGGTCTGCCCTCAGGAGCACGTGCTGGGGTCTCCTACCACCTCAGGATGGATCTCTCTCTGGGGATCTGGATTCTGGGGACCAGGCAGTTCCTAGAGGTAGCAGGCACAAGATGGGGTGGGGTGGCCCCACAGAAACCTCAGCCTTGGGGAAAGAGCTGAGCGCAGCACATCTGTGACACCAGAGGGTCTGGGAGACCACGGCCAGCGGCCTAGGGGAAGTGGGTGATGCCACAGGGAGGGGCCACAGACTGGGGCAGTGCCCTTGCTCTATGAGGGTGCCCTGGGTCTGTACGGTGGGTGGCGTAGGGGGTGCCCATCTGGGTAGGGGCTCAGGGTGCTCACCCGGGCAGCCTTCCCTTCCCTGGACCAAGCAGGCCTCCTCCTCCTCTTCTGGTGCCCAGCTGGTCAGGTCTGGGCCTCTCCAGAGACCATCAGGGGCAGCTGGGGCCCTGGCTTCCTGTAGCTAACCCCACTCCCAGCAGAGGAGCAGAGAGGGAGGTGGGGGTGGGGACAGTGGTTGATGCCAAAGGCCACGGGGGCAGGGGCGGGGCAGGAGTGGGAAGGCCCCAACTGCCCTCACCTTGGGCAGATGAAAGCACAGTGCTTCCAGGCAGGGGCTGAGCCAGGGCACAGCTGTGATTTCAGGGTGCCTCTGTCAGAGTGGCTGCTGTGATTTGAGAACCTCGGGTTTCTCCAGTGACTGATTCTGGGAGGTTGTGAATGAGTAATGCCAGTGAGTAGCTGCCTTGGGGACCCTGGTTGGGAGGAGGGGTGGTAAAAAGCGGGGGCCTGCAGGTGTCCTGAGCCGGGTGCCAGCCTCTCCTCCTTGTCCTCCTGCAGGGCGTGGCACCACCTGGAGACTATGGGCCTGGGGGGGCCTTGCTGGGGGGGCCCTGCTCTCGGTCCTCTGGCTCCTGTGGCTGCTGGGGTCAGCCCCAGGTGGTGTGCCAGAGCCCCAGCCCATGGTCACCATCCTCATCTGGCATTGGCCCTTCACCGACCAGCCCCCAGAGTTGCTGGGTGACACCTGCACCCGCTATGGCATGTCCCGCTGCCGCCTGAGCACTGACCGAAGTCTGCTGGCCAGTGCTGATGCTGTGGTCTTCCACCACCGGGAGCTGGAGACCAGGAGGGCCCGCCTACCCCTGGCACAGAGGCCACGTGGGCAGCCCTGGATCTGGGCCTCCATGGAGTCACCCAGCAATACCCACGGCCTCGCCCGCCTGCGTGGCATCTTCAACTGGGTGCTGAGCTACCGGCGTGACTCGGACATTTTTGTGCCCTATGGGCGCCTGGAGCCCCGCTCTGGGCCTGCGCCCCCAGTGCCAGTCAAGAGCAGGATGGCCGTCTGGGTGGTTAGCAACTTCCAGAGGCGGCAACAGCGGGTGAGGGTGTACCGCCAGCTGGCACCTCACCTTCAGGTGGATGTGTTTGGCCGTGCCAGTGGGCGTCCACTGTGTGCTGACTGTTTGCTGCCCACCGTGGCTCCCTACCGCTTTTACCTGTCCTTGGAGAACTCACAGCACCGAGACTACATCACTGAGAAGTTCTGGCGCAATGCGCTGGCAGCTGGGGCCGTGCCTGTCGTGCTGGGACCCCCGAGGGCGACCTACGAAGCCTTCGTACCTCCTCATGCCTTTGTGCATGTGGACGACTTCGGGTCTGCCCGGGAGCTGGCCGCCTTCCTCAATGGCATGAACGAGAGCCGCTATCGTGGCTTCTTTGCCTGGCGTGACAGTCTGCGCGTGCGGCTGCTGGAGGACTGGCAGGAGCGCTTCTGTGCCATCTGTGCCCGCTACCCCTACCTGCCACGTGGCCAGGTCTATGAGGACCTGGAAGGCTGGTTCCAGGCCTGAGCTCCCACAGCTCCCTAGAGGTCTGTGGGCAGAAGGCTGATGTTGAAACCAAACCATGGGCATCCGGCCCCCAGGTCAGTCGTGCTAACCCGAGGCTAGGGTCAGAGACTAGGAAGCAGGGAGGAGCAGGCTGGGGGGCTGTGGAGCAGGCGCTGGGGGAGGAGGGGGGCGGGTGGGGTGCATGTTGCTCAGGCTGCTCAGAGAGGAAAGGCAGCAGAGGATCTACCTCCCCACCTTGAACATATCTCTGTAAACAAGACCAGCTGAAAGGGTGGAGGCCGGCCCTGGGGACAAACCTGGACACCCTGAACATCCCCAGTGAAGGTGCTCTAGTCCTGGAGAGGCAGGCTCATGGCCCTGCTCTTCCTGTACCCTGGAGCCCCTGTGTGCAGGGGTGTTTGGCAACCCAGGGGCCTTGCAGGAAGGGAGGGTGGCAATAAAGAACTGCAGACCTGCTGGACACTACCCTCCAGCCACGGGTCCTTGCTTCTGACTCCAGCCCGCCTGAGTGGCCTGGGGGCCCTCATCCTCCTTCCACCTAAGACTCTGCCAAGTGGCCCCCTCTCAAGGTGCCTCCCCTGATGCCCAGAGGTCTAGGTGTCTGGAGAGCATAGAACCACAGCCAGAAACCCAGGTGGGCTAAGGTGCATCTCAGGCCAGAGGGGCTCCTGCGTGTGACAGGGCCTGACTGGTGACTTGGAGTCCCCGTGGTGGTGGTGGCAGCCTGGCCGGCTAGGAGGTTGGCCTTGAGGATGCTGTGGCTGCCAGGGAGCTCCTCTTGGTGTTCTGGTATGGGGAGAGGACAGTAGAGGTGGGGGGTGAGGCTATTGGTAGTGCTGACAAGAGCCCTGGCTGGCTCAGCCCCTGGGGTGGGGGCAGGGGCTTCTCTTGGGTGGGCAACGGATACGGGCAGGAAGCCCCCCCACCCAGTAGCTTGTGGGGAATGCCTGCCTAGCTTCCTGTCCTGACCGAGCCTTCTGGCTAACTGGGGAGAAGCAAATGTCCTGAGACTGGGGATTGGGGGTGGTGTTTGTTCCCTTGCCCTACCCAGGGTCACCTCCCCTACAAAGGACTTGGGAGGGAGTAGGGAGTTGCAGTACCCTAAGTTTTTCATTCACTTTGGGGGTTCCCTCTGTGCATCCCAGGCTAGACACCACAGAGCCTCACACTTTTCCATCCCACTCACAGGCTGGTAAGAAGCCATCAAAGCCACGGGTAAGACTGCCCTCAGCTCCCTGGGTCCAGCCTTCCCTCTGCTGCCCTCTGCTGGCCATGTGGAGAAATGGACCCTGCAACCCGCTTAGGGCTGGGACGGTTCAGTCCTGTTCTGTCCTGGTTGTGGCCTGTCTTCAGCAAGTGATGGATCACCTTTGTGAAAGTTGGAGTTGGACACCTATGACCCTCAGACCTGGTGATACAAGCCAGCATAGGAAGGCAGCCTGTTTTCCAAGCACCACGCCTGTCCCCACCAGCAAAGAGCTGTTTCTGGGGCCAGGGTCCCTAGAGTCTTCTCACTGCTCAGAGGACTGCAGCTGAGCAGAGCACCCAGGTGTCCTGCCAGCCCCATGGCTGTCTGTTGTGGGCTACAGCTCTATACTGCTATTGATCGGCACTATAGTTTGAATATTAGTTTAACTTTTTCATACAGAGCAGAACTGTCACCCTGACAGTTTCTCTGCCTGGTGTCCACATCCCTACAGAATGGCTGGATGCAGCCTGCTTGACTCACCCCACCAAACTCACACATGCAGATGTGCCACAGCTTCTACTATTGGTCACAGTGTGACCCCATGGAGCTCCTGCTGGGCAGCTGGGCACCGACTGTGGTGCATGCCTGCAGTCCAGCTACTTGGAGTGTTGAGGCAGGAGGATCACTTAAATCCAGGAGTTAGAGACTAACTGGGCAGTGTATCAAGACCCCCAACTCAAAATAAGAAAAAAAATCTTGTGGGAAACTCGTTTGTGGGACCCAACAAAGAAGATGGACCAGGTCCTGCCCCACCTGCCCTCTCTGACCTGTGAGTATCTGTAAGGGCAGTCTTCATTTTTACCTCTTTCCTAATCGGTGAAGGAAGGGTGCTTTCCATCTTAAAAGCCTAATCAATATCACTTAGACAACAGGTGGCTCATTCATTAGGGATACAGGAAGCCCTTTTGGGGTGGCTCAGACCATTTCAGTCCCCCTCACCAGGGGCCTCCGTTAAAGGGCACCAGTCAAGATGTGCTGGTCGGGTTGGACGGGGGTTTTTGCAGCCTGGAAGGCAGTGCCTGACCTGCACAGGTGAGGTCTCTGCCTCCATCCTAGGTGAACCCGCACTTGTCCTAGGTTAGAGCAGCTGACCTCCCTGCTCCTACCGTGCTCCTCGGGGCCTATCGGGCTCTCGCGTCCAAGGGAGATCTCTGCCTGGCATGGCGGAGTTGAGCGTGACCTGGTGGGAACCAAGGCCTCCAACTTTCCTTCAGGGTGCCTGGATGATAGCGACCACCTTGGGGCACCTCTGCAGGCGACCCCCAGGCTTGGAGCCCCTGGAAGAAGCTATGGTGCACAAAGATTCTTAGATCCGGAAAGGGGTGATCCAGGGGTCTCGGTTCAGACGCGTGCTCTGAGGGGCCACCTGCTACGGCACGCACGGGGTGGGAGGACGATGGAGGCCTCGCTCGCCGCGCAGGTGCAGGCGAGCCCCGACCCTGCGAGCGCCCCCTGATGGACGCAGCATGCGGCGCGGCTCCTTTAAGCGGGGGCGGCGGGCGCGGGCGGGGCGCCGCGCAGAGTCGCTGTCGCCGCGGCCGCCGGGGTGGAGCTAGCGCGGAGCCGGTCCCGGACGCCCGAGCGCCCCGCCCCCGCGCGGGCGATGCCGAGCGGCGCGGCGGGCAGAGGGGCCCGGCGGGGCGCACAGAGGAGCGGTCCGCGGCGGTGAGCGGCGGAGCGCGGCCGCGCCATGGGCTTCCTGCACCAGCTGCAGCTGCTGCTCTGGAAGAACGTGACGCTGAAGCGCCGGAGCCCGGTGAGCCCCCGCGCCTGCCCGCCAGCGGGAGGCCGCGCGCCCGGGTCCACGGCGCGCTCCCCGCGCGTACGTGAGGCGCGGGCGCGGGCCGAGCCCCCTTCCTGCAGCCCGGCTCTGCTGGTCTCCGGCCTCGGGGAGGGTCTCGGCGGTGCCAGCGCACCGCCCGCGCCCGCTGACACTCGCGGCGCTCGGCTGAGTCACGGGCGGACGCCCTCCGCAGCGCTCGCGAGCCGGCTGCGCGGCTGTGGGGGGGTGGGGGCTGGTGGCCCCCAGGACTCAGGCTCCCGGGAGGTCCTGGTTCCCAGGATCTAGCGCTGGCCAGGGGCACTCCATCCAGCACAGAGGCTCCGTGGGCCCGGGCCCACCCCTGGTAGCCCTGCAGAGACCTGTCCCTTCCCTCCCTTCACCCGCCCTCTGCCCTTGGGCAGACGCCTGAGGCCCAAGTTGGTTCCAGGCAGCCGCCACCTCCTCCTCCTCTTCCTCTCCTCCGCACCTCTCCTGGCACATCTACAACCCTGGCTTCTGCCTTCTCACCACGGAGAACGACCTTGTGCCAGCCTAGGCCAGCATCCCAGCACCCTTTTGTCCTTTGGGACAAGTTCTCCCTAAGGCTGATCCACACTCTGAATCCTCCAGCCCCAGGGCTCTCTGGGATGGGTCTCTCTAAGTGGAGCTGTGACCACCAGGTTCTTCAGCACTTCCCAGGGCAGCCAGGACACGAGCCCTGTCAGGACAGGATTCCTAGGTGGGGAGCAGGGCTGGGGCATGGATGTCCTGCTGGCCCTCTGCTGCTCGTCCCTGCTCTGGCCCTGGGGAGGACAGGTGCAGCACAGGAGCCGGAGAGACCTGAGCCAGCTTGGGTTTCTGAAGCCCTTGGGATTTTCCAGCACAGGCCACAGAGTGGTGGGGGTTCTAAGGAGGAGGTGGCATCCTTTGGCCCACCCTGGGCACCAGGAACCCTTGGGTAGCACCAGCTCCTGCCTACATTCCTCCTTGAGAGGGGCTTCAAAGTACACAATGGGAAACTAGCGGACAGGCTGCACACAGGGTGGGGTAGTCATGGTCATTACAGCGTATAGGATTCCTCTGGGCACCTGGCCCTGGCTGGGAGCCAGGGTTGGGTCCACATCCTGCCCACAGTGCCTAGGGCTGGTGGCATGGGGTCTGGAGGATTAGGAGGATTAGGCCACAGATCTAGCTATTGGGTCCCTGCGGACAGCAGGGTCCGGCTGGGGGAAGAAGGGGCAGGCTGTAGGTTCATATTAGTATTAGCCCCAGGGCATTTGTCAGGAAGGCCCCCCCCCCCAGGGCTTGAGAGCAGACAATGAGATGTGGGTCTGGCATCCACTGGGGACCCCAAGGCTCAGGGAAGGGAGCAGTAGCTTATGGGACTACCTGAGAAGCAGGTGGGAAGTGCCCAGGAGAGGTCCCAGCCTACTAGGTTGGGCTGTCTCCCCAGACCTTTCCAGGTCCCCCACCCTACAGCACCCCCAGAGGCCCCTGGGCCACAGTGGAGGACCCCAGTCTGTGGCTGTGGCCAATGAGGATCTCTTTCTCCAGGAGAGCTGAGTCGTTGCTGGGCTTGCATGTGGGGCTGGGGCTGGCTGGACACCAGGCACTCGCCCTTTGGATCCCCAGTTTCCCAGAAAGGGTCTTGGGCATTGGAGCTGGACTTCTGGGGCTGGGTTTGGACAGGTGGAGGCTTGGTCTTGTCTGCTGTGTGCCATGCTGGGAACAGGGGTACGCATGTGCAAACCTCAGGGTTGAGGGCAGGAATCCAGGACCTCTGCCCTGCATGCCTCCTCCTCCCAGGGACTGTGCCTCAAGTCACCTGCCTGGGATTGAGGCCTGTCCCCTCCTAGGTAGGAGATGTGGGTCCACTTGGGGCCCGAGGCTGCCCATGGTGGAGGAAGGAAATCATTATCACCAGGTAGCTGGGCAAAAGGCCACAGCATCACCCTTGAGTCCCCCTGTCTTTGCCCTTGTCACAACAGTCATGAGACTTTGGGTGGGGGGTGGGCATCTGGACCCTGAGACAATATTTACACACACTTGGGGGAGAGCAGTTGGCCACCTTCAGGAGCCCAGGTGGGGCACCCAGGTGGTGCTGGACCTGTGCCTCCTGTCCGCCAGCTAGGACTCTCCTCCTGGCAGCTCATGCAGGACCGTTGCTATAGCAATGGGGGAGGCAGCTGTGGCCTGTTGCTGCAGTTACAGTGGCAGAGGTGCCCAGTGGCCGGCAGGTGTGGGTGGGGCTGGCACCTGGCTGTGACCCCTGCTTCCATCCACCTTTGCTCTGGGGTGCCCACAGTGCCTCCTTGGACTGTCCTGGACTCCATTTGGCTCAGGGAAGGGGTGGAGGCTGGCACAGGCTGGGGCGAGTGTGGGGTGTGGACACAGCATGGTGTTCTGGATCACAGAGCACTATTGTCCAAGCACAGTGGACACTGCTGGGGACGGGGGCCCAGCCTAGCCACACATAACACTGCTGGAGGCCTGGTTTTTTTTGGTGTGGGGGTGAGGACAAAGGAAATTGATGCCTCTGAGAAGATCCAGGGGGGCAGGCCCAGGGCCCTCTGTCTTGTGGCTCTCAGGACTGGTCTACAGGGCTCCCCAAGAACACTGGCTCTCTTGCACCCTCCCTGAGCTGGAAACCTGACAAGGAAACCTGGGCCCTGGGGTTCTCGGGCATGTTTCCCTGACCCAGAGCAGGTCCCACGAGGCTCCCCTTGCAGCCTGGCTTCAGGTAGCAGGAGCTGTCAGTGAGGCCAGGGTGGAAGCAGTGCCTTGGCCTCAGGGCTGGGGCTGTCAGATCCTGGCCAGGTCTCCCCAGAGGCTCAGGGCCCTGGGCTTAGGTGGGCTTCCCTTACCCCAGGCCTCACTTCCCCAGGCTTTTGTGGGAGGGGGGATACAAGTGTGCTGCTGCAGTGGGAGGGGGTGGCCCTGGGAATGTGTCGGAGCTGCAAGCAGGAAAAGACTTTGTGTGCTACAGTGGCCTCCAAGATCCTGCCCAGGTGGCCCCACAAGTGAGGAGGGGGATGCATATGGGTCAGAGTGATCACTAGTTGGCTGACCTGGCCCTGCTGGCCCAAGGTTCCTCAGAGGGCCAGTGTTCCCCAACGTGGCAAGTAGAACTCAGAACAAGGACAGGAGACCTGATTTGGGGCACCAGATAATGCTTATCTCCTGGTGCCTGGAAGGGGCTGCAACCTCGGCTGGACCTGAAAAACCTGTGCAGACCCGCAGTCCTGGCTGGCCTGGGTTGGCCTGTAGGGAGCTCAGGGACGGGTAGAGCCGACACAGGTCCCTTGTGTCCAGCCTGGGCAGGTGGTGGAGGGGAGGCTAGGCTTATGTGGTCCACCCTTTTCAGTGGGTCCTGGCCTTCGAGATCTTCATCCCACTTGTCCTCTTCTTCATCCTGCTGGGGCTGCGGCAGAAGAAGCCCACCATCTCAGTGAAGGAAGGTGAGGCAGCGGCTGGTCTGGGACACAGCGGGTGCACAGGGAGGGTCAGGTGCCCTCACTGCTTCGATTGAGCATGTGTGCTCAAATGCATGGTCCCGGCCACATCCCCTAGCTGTGCTGTGGAGGTGTGGTTGGCTGTGGCCACCGGTGGACAGCCCTGTGGCTGGCAGGCCAGGCACTCACTGTCTCCTCTGTTCTGTTTCGACCCACCTTGCCCTGCCCCTGCATGGTCTCTTGTCCTCTTCCACCGGCCGTGTGCAGTCTGTAAGTGAAGGCTCAGGCGGCAGCCATGGAGGACCCTGTGGGCCTCCTGGTGCAGCTTGAGCACCCTTCCCGCTTGTATTAACAGCACCCCCTGCCCCTGGCCCAGGACTCCTGCAGAGTTCCTTCCCTGGTCAGGAAGAGCAGGCTTACAAGGCAGTGGTGGGAAGTGATGGGGTGGTAGTGGGTATTGAAAGGCCAGGCCACTGGGCCACCACTGATGTCCTGGTCAGGCTGCTGGGCATTTCCTCATCAGGGTATCTATGGGGTCACCTGGCCATGCCTTCTAGGGGTGGGATGCCTGGGCTAACCTGGGCTGAGTCTGGGCTAGCCTGAGCTGGGGCTGGGTCAGCCTGGATGCTCTCCCTTCAAACTCCTGCAGGCATTTGCACTTATTCTGCTAACGACCTGGCCTAGGAGGTCAGAGGTCACTGCCCAGTGGGGCCTCAGTGCTCCCCTGGTCCCTGTGGGCAATGCCACACCTGAGTTTTAGGGGGATGTGCCAGGGCATTGTGGCTGCATGGGCAGAGGAGAGAGAGACTCTGGGAGTTATAGGGGAAGGGATGGCAGGTGCCCCTTTGACCTCTGACCTGCTAGAGTCCTTTGCAGCAGAACTCTTGGCCTTAGTACAGCCAGAGGCCAGGTGTTCTGTCCTGCCACCTAACCTTTTCCTCCCTGATATCCTCTGGACTTCCCTTCTTGGCCTGTCTGCCTTCCTAACCCCTCTCCCTGTCCCCTCCAGCCTTCTACACAGCGTCTCCCCTGACTTCTGCCGGCATCCTGCCTGTTATGCAGTCGCTGTGCCCAGATGGCCAGCGGGATGAGTTTGGCTTCCTACAGTATGCCAACTCCACGTGAGTGACCCCCACCCCTGGGGAGCTGGCCACTCCCCCCACCCCATCCCAGAGGGTGACGTCCCATGGTGGTGCAGGGTCACGCAGCTGCTGGAGCGCCTCAACCGCGTGGTGGAGGAAGGCAACCTGTTCGACCCGGCACGGCCCAGCCTGGGCTCAGAGCTCGAGGCCCTGCGCCATGATCTGGAGGCCCTAAGCTCAGGTCCAGGCACCTGGGAGAGCCACTTGGATAGACCTACAGGTGCGCCCTTGGGAGTGGCTGGGGGAGGGCCTCAAACCCTGCTTTGTTACTCCGGGCAGTAGCCTAGCTCTGCCCCTGGGTCCCTGCATCTGCACGGTGCTGCTACACATGCATGTGCTCTGGGGGGCCTCGCCAAACTGCCTGCTGTGGTTGCTGAGTCTTGGTGCTCTGCCCAGGGTAGTGCTAACCTTTCAGCTTCATCTTCCTGCCTGTCCAGTGTCCTCCTTCTCTCTGGACTCGGTGGCTAGGGACCCACGGGAACTCTGGCGTTTCCTGATGCAGAACCTCTCACTGCCCAACAGCACGGCCCAGGCCCTCCTGGCTGCCCGTGTGGACCCGCCTAAGGTGAGATGGGGCACACATCAGCAGTGGGCACAGCACTGGCCTAGAGCCACCCCCACCTAGCCCATGCCCCCCTCCCCAGCCTGAGTTCCCCACTATGTGGGGAAGGGGGTGCAAGGGCAGCCGAGCCATCCTTAGGGCTCAACCCCCAACTGAGGCCCCTCCCTGCACCCTCAGGTCTATCACCTGCTTTCTGGCCCTTTGTCTGCCCTGCACCGGGAGTCAGGCTTCCCTAGGGATCAGATGCCTTGGAGCAGCCCGGGAAGCAATCCCCTACTGTGGATGGAGGTGAGGGGCCTGTCCCTGGGATGGGAGGTGTCAGCCTGCCCAGTGGGTGAGGAAATGACCCTCCTTGGTCATTTGCAGCACTTTCTGGGAGTTTGTGGCTGGCATGGGGATGGGGAGGAGGCAAATGGTGACATGTGTTTCCCCTACACCATGGTACCTAGAAGCCCTAGAGCTGCTATAGTGGTTGGGGCAGGGTGAGGCTGAGGCCATCTTGCCTGGTCTGCTCTTGGTTGGGGTAGAGTCCCTTTGTGGCCCCAGCTGTCCTCTGTACCTCTCCCCTCAGGAGCTGCTGCTGGCCCCTGCCTTCCTGGAGCAACTCACATGTTCCCCAGGCTCTGGGGAGCTGGGCCAGATCCTCACCATGCCTGAGGGTCAGCAGTCAGCTCTTCAGGGCTACCGGGACACTGTCTGCAGTGGGAAGGCTGCAGCTCGTGCCCAGCGCTTTAGTTGGTTGGCTGATGAGCTCCGGAACCAGCTGGACCTGGCCAAGATCTCCCAGCAGGTGAGGCCCTGCCTCCCAGCTGACCAGGCTAGAGGTGGTGCTAGGTCCTTGAAGTCCTGGGGAAATTTCTGTTGTCAGGCAGTGATGGGATGGTGCTATGGCTCGGCATCTAGTGTCCCCCCAACCGTGATTCACGCACCCTGTGCCTCTCCCACCCCAGCCTCTATCTCTGGCCTGTGGTCAGCCTTCCTGCACCCCAGGCTGCAAGCCTTCCTTCCCCAGCTGTGTCCTTTGCTGGTGTGTCCTCCCTGTTCCGTCTTGACTTCACCCACCCACTGGTAGCCACCCCCACCTAGCCCATGCCCCCCTCCCCAGCCTGAGTTGCACTATGTGCCCCATCTTCCCCCAGCTGGGCCTGGATGCCCCCAACAGCTCCGACTCCCAACAGCAGGCACCATCCCCTCGGAGGCTGCAGGCACTTTTAGGGGACCTGCTGGATGCCCAGAAGGTTCTGCAGGACGTGGATGTCCTGTCAGCCCTGGCTCTGCTGCTGCCCCAGGGTGCCTGCGCTGGCCGGGCCCCAGTGCCTTCAGCTGGTGGCCCGAGTGGTGCAGCCAATGGCACTGGGGTGGGTGCAGGTGCAGGCTCCAACAACACAGCAGAGGAAGGCCCCCCGGCAGCGGCAGCCCCGGCCTCCACAGACACACTGCAGGGCCAGTGCTCCGCCTTTGTGCAGCTCTGGGCAGGTCTGCAGCCCATCCTGTGTGGGAACAACCGGTAGGTCAGTGGAGGGTCAGTGAGGACATGTGGGACAGTGCTCCTCATGACCTGGTCCTGACACATGGCCCTCCCTCTTGACATCTCTTGGTGCCCTGCCTCACGTCTAAGCCCTGACTAGATGTCCACCCTGACTCCCTGCCCCACTCCTAAGCCCCCTGTCCAGACCACAATACCTCACCCACCCCTTATGCCCTGTCCCCCGGCCTGTGCCAGCACTATTGAGCCAGAGGCGCTGCGGAGGGGCAACATGAGCTCCCTGGGCTTCACAAGCAAGGAGCAGCGGAACTTGGGACTTCTTGTGCACCTCATGACCAGCAACCCCAAAATCCTATATGCACCCGCAGGCTCCGAGGCTGACCGTGTCATCCTCAAGGTGCGCAGGTCTGGTGTGCTGGTGCGTGAGCTGTGATTTCACACGGGCAGGAGCCCAAGGCTGGGTGGCGGGCTCTGCAGGCCTGGGACTTCTGCAGAGGTGGGTCAGTAGGTCGGGGATGGTAGGGCTGCATTTCCTGCAGCTCCATGCAGGACACGGTGCACAGGCCCTGGGGCACTGATGTGGAGTTCAGGGATTCAAGGTACAGAGGCATTTGGGTGCTTGGATGCCCTGGCGGGGCTGGTCTGCCTTGTGTCCCCTGTTGATCGGGCATGACTAGAGCAGGGCAGTTCTGGTGGGTGTGAGGCACCTCTGAGGATTCCCAGAGCAGCATCCTGTGGGTGGTGTGTTTGGAGCAAGATCCTGTCTGGAATAGTGGAGGCCAGGGCTGAAAATTGACCTGACAGGGTCCTGGGCACAGAGGGCTTCTAGGACAGAAGGGCAGGAGCTTCCAGGAGGGAGTGCTGCCAGAGCAGTCTTGGGCATCAGGGAAGGCCAGTCGTCTCTTGGGGAGGTGGAGGAGCAGAGAGGATCCCCATGCTGCTGGGCTCCTTCCTGGAGCCCCATGCCCTCACTGTCTGCAGGCCAACGAGACTTTCGCCTTTGTGGGCAACGTGACTCACTACGCCCAGGTCTGGCTCAACATCTCTGCGGAGATCCGCAGCTTCTTGGAGCAGGGTGGTCTGCAGCAGCATCTGCACTGGCTGCGGCAGGTGCTGTGTGTGCCTGGTGGGGACAGGGAGGTGACCTGGCACGTTGTGGGGTGGGGGAGACCCTTTCTCCCAGGGATGGTAGGCTGCGGCCACCCTCTGAGCTGGCCTTCCACCCCCAGTATGTGGAAGAGCTGCGGCATCGCCCCGAAGCACTGAACCTGTCGTTGGAGGATCTGCCACCGGCCCTGCGCCAGGACAACTTCTCGCTGCCAAATGGCACAGCCCTCCTGCAGCAGCTGGACACGATTGACAATGCGGCCTGCGGCTGGATCCAGTTCATGTCCAAGGTTGGGTGGAGTCCGGCCGCTCAGCCCCCTCCATCCCCCCCCACCCCGTTCTATGCCCAGGGCGCGCTCTAACGATACCTCCCCCAGGTGAGCGTGGACATCTTCAAGGGCTTTCCGGACGAGGAGAGCATAGTCAACTACACGCTCAACCAGGCCTACCAGGACAACGTCACCGTGTTTGCCAGTGAGCTGCCACCCGGCTGGGGAGTCCTAGCCCTGTTCCTCCTGCCGGCTCCACCTCCTGCCTTACCCAGTGCCCGCTCCCGCTGCTCTGCCCGCCTTGGCCCTGTCCTTTGCCGCCCAGTCCAGCCTTACTAAGGCTCCGCCCCCACCGCCCCTTCCTCCAGCCCCGCCCACCTCCCTGACCCCACCCCTCGAGCCCACCTGCCGCTGTCCCCAGGTGTGATCTTCCAGACGCGCAAGGATGGCTCTCTGCCGCCGCACGTGCACTATAAGATCCGCCAGAACTCCAGCTTCACCGAGAAGACCAACGAGATCCGCCGCGCCTACTGGCGGCCCGGGCCCAACACCGGCGGCCGCTTCTACTTCCTCTACGGCTTCGTCTGGATCCAGGGTGAGGGGCCGAGCGGCCGAGGTGGGGCACACATGGGTCCACGCGGGACTCAGAGACCCCTGACGGCTGCCCCCACCCGCAGACATGATGGAGCGCGCCATCATCAACACCTTCGTGGGGCACGATGTGGTGGAGCCCGGCAACTACGTGCAGATGTTCCCCTACCCCTGCTACACGCGCGACGAGTGAGTGGCGAGTTGGCGGCTGGTGGGCCCTCAAGCCAGAGCCGCGCTGACGCCTGTGCCCTCCTCCAGCTTCCTGTTTGTCATTGAGCATATGATGCCTCTCTGCATGGTGATCTCCTGGGTGTACTCCGTGGCCATGACCATCCAGCACATAGTGGCTGAGAAGGAGCACCGCCTCAAGGAGGTGAGGGCCTGGGCACCTTTGGGCAGCCCCCTCGGGGGCTGGGCTGGACAGGATGGTCCCTTTCTGTGCACTACCCCAAGGGGCCTTGCCTGCTGCCCGCCAACCACAGGTGATGAAGACCATGGGCCTCAACAACGCGGTGCACTGGGTGGCCTGGTTCATCACTGGCTTCCTGCAGCTGTCCATCTCTGTGACGGCACTCACTGCCATCCTCAAGTACGGCCAGGTGCTCATGCACAGCCATGTGCTCATCATCTGGCTCTTCCTGGCTGTGTATGCCGTGGCCACCATCATGTTCTGGTGAGCACTGGCAGGGGGAGGTCACCCAAAGTGTCATACACAACCTCTTGGGGCTGCTCTAGGCCCCACAGGGGTGTGCCGGGGGGCTTTGGGCACAGTGCTGAAGGTCCTATGGCCACACCCGTCAGCTTCCTGGTGTCGGTGCTGTACTCCAAGGCCAAGCTGGCCTCAGCCTGTGGTGGCATCATCTACTTCCTGAGCTACGTGCCCTACATGTATGTGGCCATCCGCGAGGAGGTGGCCCACGACAAGATCACTGCCTTTGAAAAGTGCATTGCGGTGAGGGCCCAGGGTGGATGGGACAGTTGGGGTGGGGTAGGGTGGACACAGCCCGCCACTGACACTGCTGTCTTCACAGTCCCTGATGTCCACCACAGCCTTTGGCCTGGGCTCCAAGTACTTTGCCCTGTATGAGGTGGCAGGTGTGGGCATCCAGTGGCACACATTCAGCCAGTCTCCAGTGGAAGGTGATGACTTCAACCTGCTCCTTGCTGTCACCATGCTGATGGTGGATGCAGTTGTGTATGGTGTGCTCACCTGGTACATTGAGGCTGTGCACCCAGGTACAGGCCCACCTGAGGGGGGCTGGAGGTGGAGAACCCAGCAGTGGTGGGGCCAGGTCTGTGCTTTCCTCTCAAATGCAGCAGAGGCAGCTCCCTGGGTGGGCAAATGGCCCATGCAGTGGATAGTCACCCCAGGTCTTAGGTCAGCCTCCCCATCTCTCCCCAACACCCAGGCATGTATGGGCTGCCCCGGCCCTGGTACTTCCCACTGCAGAAGTCCTACTGGCTGGGCAGTGGGCGGACAGAGGCCTGGGAGTGGAGCTGGCCTTGGACACGTGCCCCCCGCCTCAGCATCATGGAGGAGGACCAGGCCTGTGCCATGGAGAGCCGGCGCTTTGGTGAGGCTGGTACCAGAATGTTGGCTGGGGTGGGTGCTCTTGGGGTAATCCTCCGCCCCACTGACCCCCAGCTCTGGTGCAGAGGAGACTCGCGGAATGGAAGAAGAGCCCACGCACCTGCCCCTGGTTGTGTGTGTGGACAAGCTCACCAAGGTCTATAAGAACGACAAGAAGCTGGCCTTGAACAAGCTGAGCCTCAACCTCTACGAGAACCAGGTCGTCTCCTTCCTGGGCCACAATGGGGCAGGCAAGACCACCACCATGTGAGTAGGGACAGGGGAGCTTAACCAGGGTGGGATCCCTGCCAGGGGTGATGGGTCATGACCCTGTCCACCACCCAGGTCCATCCTGACTGGCTTGTTCCCACCAACCTCTGGCTCGGCCACCATCTATGGGCATGACATCCGCACGGAGATGGACGAAATCCGCAAGAACCTGGGCATGTGTCCACAGCACAATGTGCTCTTTGACCGCCTCACAGTGGAAGAGCACCTCTGGTTCTACTCACGGCTCAAGAGTATGGCGCAGGAGGAGATCCACAAGGAGATGGACAAGTGGGTGGGCACAGGGAGGGTGGGGCGTGGAACCCGAGGCAGGGCTCTCCAGAGTCCCAGGCCATTGCCTTCCTATCTGGTCCCCAGGATGATCGAGGACCTGGAGCTCTCCAATAAACGGCACTCACTGGTGCAGACACTGTCGGGCGGCATGAAACGCAAGCTCTCTGTGGCCATAGCCTTTGTGGGCGGCTCCCGCGCCATCATCCTGGATGAGCCCACTGCGGGTGTGGACCCTTACGCTCGTCGGGCCATCTGGGACCTCATTCTGAAGTATAAGCCAGGTGAGTGGAAAACCAGGCTGGCATGGGCAGACGTGGGTACCCCTGCCCACTCTGACCCACCCCTGACCCCAGGTCTGGACCTCCCTGCAGGCCGCACCATCCTGCTGTCCACCCACCACATGGATGAGGCTGACCTGCTGGGGGACCGCATTGCCATCATCTCCCACGGGAAGCTCAAGTGCTGTGGTTCCCCCCTCTTCCTCAAGGGCGCCTACGGCGATGGGTACCGCCTCACACTGGTCAAGCGGCCTGCTGAGCCGGGGGCACCCCAAGGTCTGTGTTGAGGCTGTCTGAACTGGACTTGGGTCACCCCTGCCCAGGACCCCCCACCTGGTAAAGAGGTGAACCCTCACCATCACTCTATGAGGCCTGGGATGCCAGGGTCCTGGTCCCCTCCCCATCCCCCCATCTTGACCCGGTTCCCACCACGGGTCCCTCCTCCTTAGTCTCCTTTTGTATCCCCTCCCTGCTTCATCTCCCTTCCAGAGCCAGGTCTGGCACCCAGTCCCCCAGGCCGGGCACCCCTGAGCAGCTGTTCCGAGCCCCAGGTGTCCCAGTTCATCCGCAAGCACGTGGCCTCCTGCCTCCTGGTCTCCGACACCAGCACCGAGCTCTCCTACATCCTGCCCAGTGAGGCTGCCAAGAAGGGGGCCTTCGAGCGCCTCTTCCAGGTGTGGGGCAGAGCACAGGGTTCGGATCAGGGGCCAGGCCAGTGAGGGAGGTGGGCATACCCCTTCCCTGTGTGTCCACCTGCCTGGCCTCACTCTGCCCCTTCGCAGCACCTGGAGCACAGTCTGGATGCACTGCACTTGAGCAGCTTTGGGCTGATGGACACCACCTTGGAGGAGGTATTCCTCAAGGTGTCGGAGGAGGACCAGTCACTGGAGAACAGCGAGGCTGGTGAGAGGCCCCGGAGCTGCCGGCAGCCTGCTTCACCCCACAGGGCCTGACCTGGGATATTGGGGAATCCTGGGTGGGAATGAGAGGCCAGAACTACCCAAGGTCAGCTCCTGGCCCCAGAGGGTGGGCATGGTGCCACAGGTCCTGGATAGATGTATGGGCTAGGAGCTGGGGTCATGGGTGGATAGCAGAGGCTGAGGGGCTGGGCAAGCCTTGGGGGCATCAGCCTTCAGTCTTTGCCCCCCTCGCTGTCCCCTCCTTTGTGGCAGATGTGAAGGAGTCCAGGAAGGACGTGCTTCCTGGGGCAGAGGGCCTATTGTCCAGGGAGGGTCAGCCTGGCAACCTGGCCCAGTGCTCAGAGCTGGCCCAGTCGCAGGTGTCGCTGCAGTCTGTGTCCTCGGTGGGCTCTGCCCGTGGTGATGAGGGAGCCGGCTATGCTGATGTCTGTGGCGACTACCGCCCGCTCTTGGACAACCTGCAGGACCCAGACAACATCAGCCTGCAAGGTGTGGCCGGGAGGGCCAGGCTGGGTGGGCCCCGGGTGCTGGGCCTGCACACTCAGCCCCCTCTCTGCACAGAGGCAGAAGCGGAGGCCCTCATTCGGGTGGGCCAGGGCAGCCGCAAGCTGGAAGGCTGGTGGCTGAAGGTGCGGCAGTTCCACGGGCTCCTGGTCAAGCGCTTCCACTGTGCCCGCCGCAACTCCAAAGCTCTCTGCTCGCAGATCCTGCTGCCTGCCCTCTTCGTCTGTGTGGCCATGACTGTGGCCCTCTCTGTCCCTGAGATCGGTATGGCTGCCTGGCTCGCTGGGGGGCAGACTGGTGTGCAGCCCTGGCCTGAGTTTGGCTCCACCCTCCCCCAGGGTCCCTAGGGATGTCCCATCTGGACCCCACTGGGCCCTGGTCGGAGTGCTGCCTCCTGGAGCTCAGACCCAAGCTTAGGCCCTCTGGGTGTTAGGAAGGGAACAGGCCTGGGCTGGCAGGCGGTGGGAACCTGCTCAGGACTCCTGCTCACCTGCCAGGTGACCTGCCCCCGCTGGTCCTGTCGCCCTCCCAGTACCACAACTATACCCAGCCCCGAGGCAACTTCATCCCCTATGCCAATGAGGAGCGCAGGGAGTACCGGTAAGGCCTGCTCCACGGGAGGCAGGGGGTGAGGGGAGACGGTGTCCCCATCCCACTCACACAGTGGCATCCCCAGGCTGCGACTGTCACCAGACGCCAGCCCCCAGCAGCTGGTGGGCACGTTCCGGCTGCCCTCCGGAGTGGGTGCCACCTGCGTGCTCAAGTCTCCCGCCAACGGCTCGCTGGGGCCCACGCTGAACCTGAGCAGCGGGGAGTCCCGCCAGCTGGCCGCGCGGTTCTTCGACAGCATGTGCCTGGAGTCCTTCACACAGGGGCTGCCACTGTCCAACTTCGTGCCACCCCCACCCTCACCTGCCCCGTCCGACTCCCCCGTGTCCCTGGATGAGGACCCGCTCCAGGCCTGGAACACCTCTCTGCCACCCACTGTAGGACCAGGTACTGGCTCGTGGGGGCTGCTGGGCACACAGGACACCAGGGGTGTGTCTCACTGTGCCACACTGCCCACAGAGACGTGGACGTCCGCACCCTCCCTGCCACGCCTGGTGCGGGAGCCGGTCCGCTGCACTTGCTCTGCACAGGGCACCGGCTTCTCCTGCCCCAGCAGCGTGGGTGGGCACCCGCCCCAGATGCGCGTGGTCACAGGAGACATCCTGACAGACATCACAGGCCACAACGTCTCCGAGTACCTGCTCTTTACCTCTGACCGCTTCCGGCTGCACCGGTGAGCCAGGTGGGAGTGCTGTCCTGGAGGGCTGTTGGCTGCTGCCTGCCTGGCCTCACTGCCCCTCTACCCACGTGCCCAGGTATGGGGCCATCACCTTTGGCAATGTCCAGAAGTCCATCCCAGCTTCATTTGGTGCCCGGGCCCCGCCCATGGTGCGGAAGATTGCAGTGCGCAGGGTGGCCCAGGTGAGCTCCGGTCTGCGATCTCACAGTGGGCAGCTTCCATCTGAGTGCCCGGGCTCAGGGCCTCTCTGAGCCGCCCGTCCTTCCTCAGGTGCTCTACAACAACAAGGGCTACCACAGCATGCCCACCTACCTGAACAGCCTGAACAATGCCATCCTCCGCGCCAACCTGCCCAAGAGCAAGGGCAGCCCCGCGGCCTACGGTGAGCTGGGCGGTCGGGGCTGGGCGGGCTGGGGTGGAGCAGGGCTTGAAGCTGCTGTCCCTGTGTACAGGCATCACTGTCACCAACCACCCTATGAACAGGACCAGTGCCAGCCTCTCCCTGGATTACCTGTAGGTGGGGCAGGGCCGGGTGGGACAGGTGGGCAGAGCAGCCCTGAGCCAGGGCCTGAGCCCCTCCTCCCCTAGGCTGCAGGGTACAGATGTGGTCATCGCCATCTTCATCATCGTGGCCATGTCCTTCGTGCCAGCCAGCTTTGTGGTCTTCCTCGTGGCTGAGAAGTCCACCAAAGCCAAGCACCTGCAGTTCGTCAGTGGCTGCAACCCCATCATCTACTGGTTGTCCAACTACGTGTGGGACATGGTGCGCCCTGCTCACTGCTTTCCGACCCTTGTCCCCATCCCTCGCCTGCCCATCCCCCACCTGCCCTTCCCCCACCTGCCTATCCCTCACCTGCCCATCCCTCACCTGCCCTGCCTTTTCAGCTCAACTACCTGGTGCCAGCCACCTGCTGCATCCTCATCCTGTTTGTGTTCGACCTGCCGGCCTACACGTCCCCCACCAACTTCCCTGCGGTGCTCTCCCTGTTCCTGCTCTATGGGTAAGGGGCAACGTGCAGGGGTGGAGGCGGATAGGGCCAGTGCCACCCGTGACCCCGCCTGCCTGTCCACAGGTGGTCCATCACACCCATCATGTACCCGGCCTCCTTCTGGTTCGAGGTCCCCAGCTCAGCCTACGTGTTCCTCATCGTCATCAACCTCTTCATTGGCATCACGGCCACTGTGGCCACCTTCTTGCTGCAGCTTTTTGAGCATGACAAGGTAGGTGAGCGGGCAGCAGCGTGCAGTGGGGCAGGCCTGGGGGCAGCAGCACTGAGGCTTGCCTGGGCCCCTAGGACCTGAAGGTGGTCAACAGTTACCTGAAAAGCTGCTTCCTCATCTTCCCCAACTACAACCTGGGCCACGGGCTCATGGAGATGGCCTACAACGAGTACATCAACGAGTACTACGCCAAGATCGGTGAGGCCCGCCTCGGGGGCATGGGCAGCCGTGCATCCAGCAGGGCCCCAGAGCCCAGGGAGTGCAGGGTGGGGTGGCTGGGACCCAGGCCCTGCACAGCAGCTGAGTCCACTGCCCACAGGCCAGCTGGACAAGATGAAGTCCCCGTTTGAGTGGGACATTGTCACGCGTGGGCTGGTGGCCATGACAGTCGAAGGCTTTGTGGGCTTCCTTCTCACCATCATGTGCCAGTACAACTTCCTGAGACAGCCACAGTGAGTCCTGGGCAGCAGCAGGGCAGGTGGCCTGACCAGCTTGCCTATCCTGCCCTGGCTGAAGCAAGAGGGGGCTGAATGGACACTGGTGGGGATGGGTGGCCGGGGAGATGGCCTGGACAGGCACTGCTCACCCTGATCCCACAGACGCATGCCAGTGTCCACCAAACCTGTAGAGGACGACGTGGATGTGGCCAGTGAGCGGCAGCGAGTGCTTCGTGGGGATGCTGACAATGACATGGTCAAGATTGAGAACCTGACCAAGGTGGGCCCTGGGCAGTGGGAGGGTGATAGCCCTGAGAAGGGCAGACATAGGGTAGGGGAGGCCGTGGCTCAGCAGGGCCGCGGAAGCAGGGCGGGGCCAGGCAGACTGGCCTGGTTCCTCTGCCAGGTATACAAGTCCCGCAAGATTGGCCGCATCCTGGCTGTGGACCGTCTGTGCCTGGGCGTGCGTCCTGGCGAGTGCTTTGGCCTCCTGGGTGTCAACGGAGCGGGCAAGACCAGCACCTTCAAGATGCTGACTGGTGACGAGAGCACCACAGGGGGCGAGGCCTTTGTGAACGGGCACAGGTGCGCCGGGGCGCCTGCGGGGCGGGGTGCCTGTGCCTCCCAGGTGCTGACGGGCCTGCCTCTCTAGCGTGCTCAAGGAGCTGCTCCAGGTCCAGCAGAGCCTCGGCTACTGCCCGCAGTTCGACGCCCTGTTCGACGAGCTCACAGCCCGTGAGCATCTGCAGTTGTACACGCGGCTGCGTGGCATACCCTGGAAGGATGAGGCGCGGGTGAGGGCCACGGGGCGGGGTGGCCGGTGGGCGCCGTGGGCGCGGTGGACGCTGATTTGAGCCTGCACGGACATCTGCCTGTCAGGTAGTGAAGTGGGCTCTGGAGAAGCTAGAGCTGACCAAGTACGCGGACAAGCCGGCTGGCACCTACAGCGGCGGCAACAAACGGAAGCTATCCACTGCCATTGCGCTCATCGGGTACCCTGCCTTCATCTTCCTGGTGAGCACCGCCCTGGTCTTCCGGGTGGGGGATAGGGTATCCCGCCTTGGTCTTCCCGATGATGCCAGGTGGGATGCCAATATAGTGGCTAAACCTGACTCCCATCCCAGGATGAGCCCACCACGGGCATGGACCCCAAGGCCCGGCGCTTCCTCTGGAACCTCATTCTCGACCTCATCAAGACAGGCCGTTCAGTGGTCTTGACGTCTCACAGGTAAGCACCCCGCCCCGCCCCTTCTTGGGCCCCTCCCCTGTGTACATGCGCGGTGTCTCCTGCAGCATGGAGGAGTGTGAGGCCCTGTGCACGCGCCTGGCCATCATGGTGAATGGACGCCTGCGCTGTCTGGGCAGCATCCAGCACCTGAAAAACAGGTGAGTCAAGGCAGATTGCCGGGTGCTTCTGGTGGGCTCCACAGGGTTCCAAGCCATGGCTCTGTCCTACCAGGTTTGGAGATGGCTACATGATTACTGTGCGCACCAAGAGCAGCCAGAATGTGAAGGACGTGGTGCGGTTCTTCAACCGGAACTTCCCGGAGGCTGTGCTCAAGGTAGGCGGGGCCCCGTGGGATTGGGGTTCCCTCTCCCACCCGCAGCCCTGACCTCTCTCCAACCCCACTCCAGGAGCGACACCACACCAAGGTGCAGTACCAGCTCAAGTCGGAGCACGTCTCTCTGGCCCAGGTGTTCAGCAAGATGGAGCAGGTGGTGGGCGTGCTGGGCATCGAAGACTACTCGGTCAGCCAGACCACCCTGGACAATGTGAGCAGGCTGGTGGTGGGGGCAGGGCATGCAGTGCTAGCCCAGGCCCACCCCACCCACCTGCCTGCCTCTGCCGCTAGGTGTTTGTGAACTTTGCCAAGAAACAGAGTGACAACTTGGAACAGCAAGAGACTGAGCCACCCTCAGCCCTGCAGTCCCCCCTCGGGCGCCTGCTCAGCCTGCTGAGGCCCCGACCAGCCCCCACTGAGCTTCGTGCACTGGTGACAGATGAGCCAGAGGACCTAGACACAGAGGACGAGGGCCTCATCAGCTTTGAGGAGGAGAGGGTGAGCCAGCATGCCACTGTCCTTACCCCAAGGACCTTAGGACCAGGGCAGCCAGGCTAGCTGTGCAGGGACCCATGCCACTTAGGGGGGTCAGGTTCTGGGATGGAGGGGGGAATATTGGCCATGGGGATGCCTGCTGGCCAGAGGTCAAGGCAGCAGAGAGGGACCTGTACCGTCAGGAGAGTGGACAGGGAAGATGGGACAGGCAGAGGAGAGAGACAGATGCAGAGCCTACAGCATGCTGGTGGCTCCAAGGACTCCAGAACAGAGGTGGGAAGCGGAAGGGATCAGAGCCTGTGGACAGGGGAGAGACACGACACAGTGGCCCCTCGAGTGGGCAGAGAGGCTGTGAAGGAGCCCAGGCTTGGAGAGATTGTCAGCTGGAGGTGGAAGCAGAGAGCCTCGGGGGAGCCGGACCCCAGGCCAGAGGCCCAGCGTGAGCACCCTCAGCCCCCAGCAGGGGTGCTGGAGGACACCTCAAGCCCAGCCTGCCTATTCCCCACCAGGCCCAGCTCTCCTTCAACACGGACACCCTCTGCTGACTGCCAGCAGCCATGTCAGGGATGCGGCTGGGAACAGGAGTCAAGCGGTGGCTGAGGCCCTACCTATGCCCCTCGTGCCCACCGCCAGGCCCTGGAGAGGGAGATTCAAGACCAAGGGGCTTTCTGCCTCCTCCAGCTACCACCGTCCTGAGGCCTGCCCTGATTGTGCCAAAGGCTGGCCCGGCCCTGGGTTGTGCACACCCTCACCCTGCTTTGCCTTAAACCCCCGGGGTCTGGCCCGGCCCCTCTCCTCGCCCAGCTCCACCAACCCTTCTCCGCAGCAGCCGGGTCAGGCTGGCTTCTCTTCAGCTGACCCTGATGCCATAGCCGCAGGGCCAGGGGCTGGGACTGTTCATCTATTTATTTTGCTTTAAGAAGGGGCTCCCTTGCCCTGCTGCCCGGCAGGAAGGTGGCCACCCATGGGAAGCTGTGGACATGGCTGGGGCTGCCTTGGCCGCTGRCAAAGTTGCAGTAATGGACAAGCTGGCCCTGCTGGTCAGGCGAGGGGCTAAAGCCCTCCCTGCCCCCTCCAGCTGCCTTTTCTCGCCCGCCCAGCTTGGCCCCGCCCGCACCCACCTGGGGGCCGGACCTGTGCAGAGCACACAGATGTTTGTTTTCAATAAATAAGCAAAACTCACAGGAGTGCGTGCCTGGGGGTTGGGGTGCTGGTGGGCCACTGGGCCCAGTTATCCGAGGGCGTTTCTGAAACGGACAGGCTGTGCTGGGCCAAGCCCTGCGGGGCCAGGTACTGGGCCGAGGTCAGCTGGGTCTGCCTGGAGGAAGAGCCCAGGCCTCAGACGGAGAGGCAGGCAGGCCATCAGTGTTCCCTCCCTGCAGCCACATAGCCAGGGCCCGCACTGGGACAGCCCCTAGGTGGTGTTCATGGAGAGGCCTGTCTGGTGTGTCCACAGACAGGCTGGCAGCTGTTGGGGGAGGTCTCTGCAGAGGTGCTCACTGATGCGTCCCCTGGGCCCCTGCCCATCCCACTGGGCCTGCTCCCCACCTGGCTCCCCCCACTCCAAGCCTAGTACCTACAAGGGCCTGCTGTGGTGCATGCTGGGCTGTCAATCTGGAGTTTGGAGGGGGCTTCCAGGAGAAGGTAACCTCCAGGCTGTTGCTAAAGTCCAGGTAGAAGAGAGAATAGGGAAGGGTATCCCACACAGGCACACACAAGGGCCCCACACTGGGGCCCAGGAGCCCAGAGCTGAGGTGGCTTCAGGTGGAGGAGAGTGGATGACAGGTCCCCAAACTCTCCATGGGCTTGGCCAAGGTCAGATTCCCATCTTAGGCTATTCAAGGGCCTGCAGCAGGGGTCACAGAAACCCTCTGGAGGGTATTCCACTGGCACCAAGGGATGCAGGTGGGGTGGGATTGGCAGTGGGAAGGAGCAGAGGAGGAGGACAGATGTGGGTCCCTGGCATTCCTGTGAGGCCTTTGCTGTCATACCTGCAGGGCTGTCCTGAAGTCCCCAGAGGCAGTGCCCAGAGGTGAGGCTGGGTCACTGGGCTGAGGTGCCCCTGGCCCTGGGGGCAGCTCAGGAAGGGAGGAACATGTGAAGCCCCCATGAATGCTGGCCCTACTGGGTGGGTGCAGGGCTAGGAGAGAGGTGGGGCTGCTGCCCACAAGGCAGGACCCTGTGGTGGCCTCCAGCGGCCCTGGGCTTCATCCTGCAACCAAATGGAGCTGAACCCTGCCAGGAAGAGGACCCTGTGGTCCAGAGGGGACCGCAGCCTGCACAGCACCTGGTGAGGCCCTGTGCTGAGCCATGCCCAGCTGACTGCTGCCATTCATTAGGGACAACTTGTAACAATCCTCCACCAATGTTTTACTGAACACAAACTTGCAGAAAAGTTGGGAGACCAGTGCCCACCTGCAGGCCCTTGGCCCAGGCTCAGGAGTTTGGGACTGTGGCAGGTTGCTGGGCTCACAGCTGACCCATCTGAGAGCAGGCGGCAGTCCCAGGCTGGCAGCCTCTCCCCAGGGTGAGGATGTCGGGAGGTGACGCAGTCACCCAGCTCCCACTAGCTCCCCAGTGTCGCAGGCTTGCCCTCAGTGCCTTTTTCAAAAGTTCCAGGATCCAGTCGGGAGTCACGTTCCCACCTTGCCTTGCCCAGTCCTCTACAGTAGCCTGAGCTGTCCGTTCTGCCCCTCAATTGGGACAGGTGTCACAAGGGCCGCCTGCACCCAGTGGTCTGGTCAATTCCTCTCATCAGACACAGGCTGAACGCGTGGCAGGAACACCGGGCGTAGGGAGGTGGGCCCAGATGTTCCTGTCCCATGGCCTGTGGTGCTACAGGTGGTTTCCTGGCCAAGATGTGGCCACTGTCTCCAGACCTGGGAAGACCATGGCAGGTGCTTCCTGACTGCAGGAACAGCCGTCCACACACCAGTCACAGGGCAATGGCGGCAGGAGGGTCATTTTCTAGTATTTCCCTTTCTGCATTCATTAGCTGGCATTTTTTTAATACTCTAGTTGAGCACAATATCTTTATTTTATTTATTTACTTTTATGTGGTGCTGAGTATCGAGTATCGAACCCAGGGCCTCCCATGTGCTAGGCGAGTGCTCTATCGCTCAGCCCCAGCCCCAGCCCCAGCCCCAGCCCCAGCCCCAGATGGTGTCTTTTCACCAAGAGCCTCTTGGCTTTAAAAAACACCAATGCTCAGGCTGGGGATGTGGCTCAAGCAGTAGCGCGCTCGCCTGGCATGCGAGCAGGCCGGCTTCGATCCTCAGCACCACATACCAACAAGATGCTGTGTCCGCCAAAAAAAAAAAAAAAAACTAAAAAATAAATATTAAAATTCTAAAAAAAAAAACAAAAACCACCAATGCCAGCTTGTGGGTTTTCTAAAAATGCACATTTCCTCTCATCGCTGTCACTGTTAATTCTTTTTGTTGAGGCAGATATGCATAATTCTTATCAATTCTTTTGTCACACTTCTATGTTTGCAGTTCCCTCACAGGGGTCCTCTGTGTCCCTTTCATGGCTCCTAATCGTCCTTGAGGGTGTCCTTCTCCCTGCCCTCCCAGGACCTCCCACTTCTCCAGGGAGCCCATCTTAGTCCCCTCAGGGCTGCCCTGGCCACTCACTGGGGTGCTCACAGCAGCAGACATTACTCCTGTAGTTCTGCAGGCTGGAAGATCAGGGTGCCGACATGCTGGGATCCTGGTGAGCCGCTCTCCTGGTCCCAGACTGCAGTGTGTCCTCAGGTGGAGAGCCGGAGCACCATGGGGGGGAGAGCCGGAGCACCATGGGGGGGAGAGCC